ACCTGCAAATGAGAGCTAATTAGCCCGGGGCGATGTGGAAACTGTTTTTCCATTTTATTTTTTTTATTTTTTTAAAAAGAGGATTATCAGGTTTGAGCTGCTCCTATTTCACAAGGGAGCTTAGAAAGCAAACGGCTTTTGCTCCTGTTTGGTTTTCCGGCTGCTGCCCGGGGCAGTCAGGAGACAGGAGGAATTTGGGTGATTTCTGACCCAAAAAGCCTCCAGATTGCCCCATCGCCTGCCCTGACCGGCCCGTTTTTTTGGGTTGAACAGCGAGGATTTGGTTATCTCAAGGCAGCCAAGGTTTCCAGGCGGAGGCCTTATCTCTGTATGACCACAGGGATTGTCCAGAGGCACCCTCTGCCCTTCTGCAAACAGGGGCTGAGCTCCGGGAGCATCAACCCCCCCAAAAAAAAAAAAGCAACAAAACTGGCAGCCAAGCAAACCAGCAGCAGTCACGCGCCAGCGTGAGCCCAGATCCCTCCGCAGGCAGCTGGGCAATCCCGAGCCCACCGGGTTTTTTGGGATAGGGTGGCTGGACATCTGTCCCATTCGCTTTCTGTGGGTCCTGCTGAGCACGTTTAAGCAAAAGGTGTTGCTAGATGCTCTGTGGTTCTCGCTTTCTTCTTCTGGAGGGCACAAAATTGGCCAAGTCATGTTTTTGCACACATCGCTACCCCTGCCAAGGCTCGGAGCAGGTGGAGCTGGTGCCGTTTGGGGCGATCGGCCCCTTTTTGGGGGTTTCCCTTTGTGTACAGAGCGGTCAGAAAGAAAAACCCGGTTCAGGTCCAGCTCCCAGCATCAGGCCAAGGGAAGGAATTGAGATTTCTTTGGCTGATCCTAACCGCAGCACCACGAAAGGGACAAGGAGCTGGGGATGGGGAGCAGCAGCCCGGGCTCCCCGGGTGCCCCCGTTCCCAGCTGTGCCATCCCGTCGCCGTTTTGGGTCGGGAAAGCCACAGCTAAAAATAATAAAAGGCACAAAACCCGAGCTCGGCGACTTCCCCGTTTCACCCCGGGCGGTTTCGGGGCGAAGCAGAAGCGAAACGGGAACAGAAATCGCGGCGCGGGGCCGCGCGGGGGCGCAGCGGCAGCGGGAGCGCGCCCGGCCCCGCCGCCGGCTCCGGGAGGGATTTTGGGGGGGGAGCCCGGGTCCTCGCGCCCCCCCTGGCGAGACAAAGCCGCCAGGAGCCGGGTGCAGCCCTGGGACAAAGCCAGGAGCCTCCTCTCCAGCCTCCCGGCCACATCCTGGCCCCCCTGGGAAGCGAAACCCCGGGGGGAAGCAGCCAAGCGGCGGGGCCGGAGGGCGGAATTGGGCAGCCCCTGGTGCGCGCCAGGCGAGCTGCCAGAAAAGCTCTGTCCCCGTTTTACGGAGCAAAGGGCAGCCCAGGCAGAGCAGGACGTGGCCACCGCCACCTCCTCAGCTTGTGCCGGGGGCAAAAAAACAGCCAGGATGAGAGTTTGATGCCATCCAGGGCCGGGATGCTCCTGGGGAGAGGAGCCCGGTGGTGCCACCACCGCTGCGCCGCTCCGTGGCTTCACACACACCCCTCCTGCTGCCAGCAAGGTGCTGCCCCACGCGCCTTGCCCTCGTTAGGAGCCAGACACTAACGAGCTGCGCGGGCCGTCACACGCAAGCACCCATACAACTCGTGTTTCTGCATAACACCACGGAGAAACTATGCTGGGAATGCACAAGAGGATGAAACATCTTGTGGGGACCCATTTTTGGGGTCTTTCCCTGTGGAGCTCGCGGGGGGGGGCGCACAAATTTCCATGCATAAGCCAGAGCTGCTGTCCCCATCCACCTGGACATCACAGCCCACCCTGCGGGGACAGGGACAGCCCTGCACAGCGAGGGGGAGATGCTGGTCCCCCCTGATGGGCCACAGTGGCCAGCATTTCCCCAAAAGGGCCACGCTCACCAGGGCACCCGTGCGCATCGCATCATTGCCTGCCTGGCACACGGGGGCCATCGGGTGCCACAAAACCACCCACAGACCCTACACGGGGACCAATGCGGGGGTCTTGGGGTGGCCAACGTGCATGGGGTGGCCAATACGAGGTCTTAGGGTGGCCAAAGTGGGGTCTCGGGGCGCATTTGGGGGGGCAATGCCAAAAGGGAGGAGGTGGATGCGGAGATGGGGGAGCGAGGAGCAGCCGGCGAGAGCCACGGAGAGGGAGCATTGGGGGGAGGACGCGGGGGTGGCACGGAGAGAAACTTTTCCCCCGAGCTCCCCGTTCCTCAGCAGGGTGCAGGATCCGTCCCCGGCACCGTGGGACGATGGCCTGGGGCCCCAGCCCCGCCCCGGCCCCGCTCCCCCCTCCGGCACCCCGGGAGGAAGGAAAGAAGGGAGGGAGGGAGGGAGGAAAGAAGGAGGGAGGGAAAAGGGAGGGAGGGAGGATGACAGCGCCGTGAAGAAAAGCAGGGGACCCGCCGCCCTCCCCGCTCCCGCACGGCAGGACCGGGCCCTCGGGGGTAGGTGAGGGTGGCACTGGGGGACACTTGGCCAAGGGGGGGGTCCCCGGGGGTCCCGGCACCCAGCAGGGGCACTGGGAGCCGGATCCAGCGGGGGCTCGGACGGGGAGTTGCGGGAAGTTGGGGGAAGGGGAAAGGGAAAAGGGGGAGGAAGGCACGATCCTGGCACCGGGGGGGTTTGGGGGGCTCCGTGGTCGCCCCCCAAAGCCCCTCGGAGGCGGCTCCAGGGCTCCGCCACCGCCGCCTTTGTGCTGCCTCCGGCCGCGCCTTTGTCTGCGGGCAGGGAGCCCCCGCCGGGCCTGGGGGGTCCCCGGGACCCCCGGCCAAGCAGCTCGGGGCCATGGCAGAAAATTTAAAAAAAAAACAACACCAACAAAACCAAATTCTCTCTATATTTATAGCGGGAGAGATGGATGCGTCCGGCAGAAGGCGAAGCCGGGGTGAGCCGGGAAGCAGCGGGGCGGCGCGGGGGGAACTTTTCCCGCAGCGATCCCGGAGTTGCATCATCCGGCCCCATGGGCAGCGCCGGCAAGTTGGTGGCGGGGGGCTGCTGGGGGGCTGCGGGCACTGGCCAGGTGGCCACAGGACCCCAAGGGGCTCTGTGGCCAGTGGTGGTGGGGGTCTGGTGGCCGGACCCCGTTTCGGCACCATTGGGCAGCCCCAAGCTCGGCCTGAGCCCACAGCATCCCCCCGCTGCTCGCCAGCCCCTTGCCAGCTGCAGGTGGTGCCGAAAAACCCGGCCGCTGGCTGCGGCTGCCAGTGGGTTTGGGTAATTTGGGGTAGGAGTTTGGGTCGAGTTTGGGGTTTTTTGGAGTTTGGGGTTTTTTGGGTGGCCGGGCGCCGCTTGCTGCCGGGCCAGGTGAAACCCCGAGTGTGCCGTAGCTGCGGGGTGCTGGGTTCGGCTGGGTGCTGAGCGGGGCTGGGCGCAGACAGCTCTCCTCGGGCACCAGCCGAGGCCAGAGGGAGGAAAACTCACCCCGTGGTGGCCACAAATTTGGGCTGGGGACACCAACATGCTCCTCCGACGGGCACCTCGCCGGCCCCAGTTTGGCCGAGGCTCGGGGCTATTCTGGGCAACTTTATAAACAGCGTGGGAGTTGATGTTTGTTTTTTTCCTCCCTCTCCTTTTTTTAACTTGAATTACACGTGTTGGTTTTGAGCAAAAAAACAAGCACCTCTGAGCGAAAAACCCCGGAGGGAGCAGCCAGCAGCCAAAGCCAAGCGGTGCCACGCTCCAGCGCCTCCAGCCCGCTGGAGGGGGACAGGAGCCGGCCGGGGGGCGAGCTGCTGGCCCCGGAGGACAGGCAGGGGCAGGGGCAGGAGCACGACCCCTGCGAGGCGAGGGCGAGCGGGGAAACCATCAGTTTCCCCAGCCTCAGGAGGGGAAGCAGTTGGTAAACACAGAGGAAGCCGGTTTGTTGTGATTTATCTTTTTTTTTTTTTTCTGCACGGGTTGCAGACAAAGAGATCAGCCCGCACGCCTGCTCTCTTTGTTGTTCCAGCCGAGGGTTTCACTGGGTCCTTTTCCCAACCTGATGGAGCAAAGTGCTCCAGAGGGCTCCCGGGCAGCGGCTGCCAGCCGGCGCTTCACCTACCAGCTCTGGGAACTCATCCTCAGCCCGTTGAGTCAGCGGAGGAAAATGTGACTTCACCCCCGTCACACCTCCGGCTGCTTTCCCCCGCGAGCCCACAGGCGCCTGCCCTGCCCTGGATGCCGTCTCCGGGCCGGAGGAGGGATGGGGAAGGGCTGGCCCCGTGCATCGCCCCTCGCCCGCTGCTCGGAAAGATCAGGCTGAAACGAAAAGCTCTTTGGGTTTAGGGAAGAGCCGGGTCCCTCAGCCCGCTCTGCCGTGCACAGAGCCCCTCTGTTCCCCCGCACAAAGAGCCGCTTGTGGCTCTCCTCCTGCCCCGGCCGGGCTGCGCCGCGCGCTCCCCAGCGAGGAAGAGCTCGAGGACGCCGAGCAGCCCCCGGCCACCTCGCTGGGTCACCGCGTCCCCTTCCTTGCTGCTTTCAAAACAGGACGTGCAGGGCTCGGGGTGCTTTCTGCCTGCCCCTCGTGCCTCCCCGGCCCCAAGGCTGAGCCCTGCGAGGGTTCAGGGACCCGGTGGCTCGTCCGCCGGCAGCCGCTCCGCTATTTAATGAATTACACCCACCCCGGGCCTTCAAATCTTGGGTTTTGCTGGAAATCGCTCTCCGTACAGTCCCCGTGAATGATTCCTGGTCTGTGGATCATTTGTGGTTTGTCCGCTGTGGGCATTAGAGAGGGGGAAATCCTGGGCTGGCTGCGCCCAGGGCGCTTGGCAGCGCGCAGAGCGCCGGCACTGACCCTGGGAGCCGCCTTCCCAGCGCTCGCGACTCCAGATCTGAAACTCATTCCCCTGGCAGCCTTCCCGGGAGCGGCCGGCACCCTCTGCCAGGGTCTGTACGCTTTAATTTCCCCTGGGGGTTGCTGAAATACCCCGAGCCCTGCCACTGCACGGGCACCGGGAGCTTGGTGGGGCGAGGGGAAGGCTTGGGGCAGCGGCGGGCACGCGGTGCTCCGGAGGCGGGCGCTTTGGCAGGGCAGCAGGGGCATGAAATGCAGGGTTTCCACGCACGGCGTGTGATGGAGAGCGGGGCCACGAGGGGCCCTCCGCCTCCATCCAGTTCCTGGAAACCCCCCAGCTTTCGCTTTGAGACCCACGGGAAGGCGGAAGCTGCGCCCCAAGCACGCCATGGCAGGAAGCTGCCCGGCCCCCCAAAACGTACTTTGCCCCGAGCGCCTGGCTGAGTGATTCCCCCTGCCCAGGAGGGGGATTTTGGGCTGGCAGCTGGCAGGGATTGGGTTTCGGCGCTGCCGGGAGGAGGTGCAGGAAGGGGTCTCTCCTCCGGCAGATTTATTTCGGGAGCAGGGAGAGCGGCGCTGTCAGCAGCTGCTGGGTGCGGGGTGGAAGCGATAAAAGGGTTTTTGTGGCGCACAGCGACGGGAAATCGCCTCCAGGCCCTCGGCACGGGCTCTCCAGGCGTGGACGCTGCTGGAGAAGCAAGCGCAGGAGAAGGCCCTGATGTGTCCCCTCCTTGTCCCCGCAGCCAGGGCCGCCCGGAGGGGGATGCCGAGGAGCAGAGGATGCCCAGCAGATAGCGCAGGGCAGCGGCAGCTCAGCCGGGGGCTCCCCTGAGGCCAGGAGGGACGTCGGGAGGACGCAGAAGCCCCGGCTTCCCGGCTCTCCGTCCCCATGGAGAGGAGATCCGCCCTGCCCCAGGACCTCCGCGAGGTGCTGCACTGCCTGAAGATGAGGAGCAAGTACGCCGTGCTGCTGGTGTTCGTGGTGGGCCTGGTCATCATCGAGAAGGAGAACAACTTCATCTCCAGGTAGGGAGCGCGGGGACTTGCAGCCTGCTTTTAGCCCTCCGCCCGCCCCCCCTGCCTGCTTGGCCACCCCAGGGGCTGCGGGGAAAAGCGCAAGGGGGTCCCCAAAACCCCTATGGGGGCAGAGGGGTGGACGGAGGGGTGTCCTCAGCCCCGGGCTGTGCTTGCTGTCCCGCAGGGTGTCGGACAAGCTGAAGCAGTCCCCGCAGGCGCTGCCGGAGGCCAACGACACGGAGGCCAGCCCGACGCCGGCCGAAAACGGGTCCCTGGCCTCGCTGCGCCAGCTGGACGCCGCCTTCTCGCAGCTGAGGACGCGGCTGCACAACGTCACCCTGCAGCTGGCCGGGGGGCTGGCGACGGCGGGGACGGCGCCCCCGGAGCCCCGGCGGCACGTCCTGCTGATGGCCACCACCCGCACCGGCTCCTCCTTCGTCGGGGAGTTCTTCAACCAGCAGGGCAACATCTTCTACCTCTTCGAGCCGCTGTGGCACATCGAGAGGACGGTCACCTTTGAGCCGGGCGGCGCCAACGCGGTGGGGTCGGCCCTGGTGTACCGCCACGTCCTGCAGCAGCTCTTCCTCTGCGACCTCTACACCCTGGAGAGCTTCATCTCGCCGGCGCCCGAGGAGCACCTGACGCCCTTCATGTTCCGCCGGGGCTCCAGCCGCTCGCTGTGCGAGGAGCCCGTCTGCACGCCGGCCCTCAAGAAGGTCTTCGAGAAGTACCACTGCAAGAACCGCCGCTGCGGGCCCCTCAACGTCACGCTGGCGGCCGAGGCGTGCCGGCGCAAGCAGCACGTGGCCCTGAAGACGGTGCGCATCCGGCAGCTGGAGTTCCTGCAGCCGCTGGCGGAGGACCCGCGGCTGGACCTGCGCGTCATCCAGCTGGTGCGCGACCCCCGCGCCGTGCTGGCCTCCCGCATGGTGGCCTTCTCGGGCAAGTACGAGAGCTGGAAGAAGTGGGCGGCCGAAGGGGCGGCCCCGCTGCAGGAGGACGAGGTGCAGAGGCTGCGGGGCAACTGCGAGAGCATCCGCCTGTCGGCCGAGCTGGGGCTGCGGCGGCCGGGCTGGCTGCGGGGCCGCTACATGCTGGTGCGCTACGAGGACGTGGCGCGGGCGCCGCTGCGCAAGGCGGAGGAGATGTACCGCTTCGCCGGCATCCGCCCCACGCCCCAGGTGGAGGAGTGGATCCGCGCCAACACGCAGGCGCCCCGCGACGGCAGCGGCATCTACTCCACGCAGAAGAACTCCTCGGAGCAGTTCGAGAAGTGGCGCTTCAGCATCCCCTTCAAGCTGGCGCAGGTGGTGCAGGACGCCTGCGCCCCGGCCATGCGCCTCTTCGGCTACAAGCTGGCCGGCAGCCCCGAGGAGCTGACGAACCGCTCGCTCAGCCTGCTGGAGGAGGGACCCCCCTCCTGGGTCACGTAACGCCGGGGGGGCAGCCGCAGCTGGGGGACCTTCGACTTTCCGGGAGGGCTGCGCAGCCCGGGGGCTTGCCGAAACCACGCCGTGCCCTCCAACGCTGCTGTCGCGGGGAGGGACTGAGCACGGAAAGCAGCACGGCTGCCCCGCGTGATGTGGGGCCCGAAGCAGCGCTGCGCTGAGCACCAGCAGGGACCCGAAGCCCCAAGGCCTTACTGGTTTAGTGCCTTCACACCAGCACGGACTGGGAGCCGCCCGCGGAGCCCCAGCCAGCAGCACGACGAGGTGGCTGCTCGGGTTTGCGCTCCTCAGTGTTGGTTCGGGGGGGTGGGGATGTGGGGTGGGGGTGTTTGGTTGGGTTTTAAGTTTGTTTTCTTCCTTTTTCTCCGTGTACCAGGGTTGCAGGGCAAATCTATTTATTTATTACGTGAAAAAGAGGGGGAGGTACACCGGGGGTCAGAGCTAAGCCCAAAAAAAATCAGAGCAGCGCAACGTGCTGCGGAGAAACAGGGACACCGACAGCGAAGGCAGGGGGATCGTGGCCCACGGGAGAGCCCCAGGAGAGGGGAATTGGGGGTGCAGCTCCCCAAAAAACCCTGGGCACAGCGGGGCAGGGATGCTGCCAGCAGCCAGCACCGGCCACAACCTCACACCGGGGCGAGGACGCCCTGGAGCAGCTGAACCTCGTCACCTGCTGGAAGCCGTTTCACCTGACTTAAGTAAAAAAAAAATATGGATAATACAAAGGAGCAGATTCCAAAGCATCTCCTGTCTTGTTGGTGTTCATCCCTCCCCCACCCCATAAACGTGCCCCATAAGCCACAGGCAGGATTCGGAGAGCCCCTGGCTCCTCCAGGACCCTTGGCAGCTGCCGAGGAGCCTCAGGGGGCAAAGCGAGGGGCCCCCACTGCTGTCCCCGAGCCCAGCAGGGCCACCCGCGGCTCGCCGGGGCCACCGGCCCCCTTTGACAAAAGCAAAAATAAATAAGCAGAACTCAGCCGCCACCGGCTCGGCTCTGCTCGGCGAGCTCACAAAAGCTGCGTTTTTTGACCCAAAGCGGAGAACAGAGGCGGCATTGAGGAGCGCGGGGAGCAGCCACGCCAGAGCCGTCGGCAGCCGTCCTCCCGCAGCAGCCGGGGTTTTTCCTTTCCCCCCCTTTCGCTCCGCTTGCATCTGGCCTCAATATGGGAGGGAGCCGGGGTGCTGGATGCTGCCGGGCTCCGGAGAGGGGGCAAAAGTGGGGTTTGTGCAAAAACAGGGGGAAAAAGGGAACAAAACTCAGCTCTAGTCCTTCTCCATACCATTAAGGACACGGATTTGGGGGAAAAAGGGTGCGTTTTCAGCCTGAACACCTACCTGAGGGTCCTGCTCCCCACACACAGGCCATGCCAGAAGACTGCATCTGCACCGACACCTAAAGCCCTCCCTGGGAAGGATCCAAGCTTTCTGGGACAAAACAGCTCCCAGAAAGGCTCAGGCTCACCCCAAACCAAACAACCCTCGTTATTCCACACCCCAGAGCTGCTCCCTCCCCTTTACAACCTGCCCTAAGCAGCTCAGTGCCTGCAGCTGTGCCGCGTCCCGCTGCTGGCGCAGGCCCCCATAGAGCCAGCCGCAGCTGTCCTTTGGGGAAAATTGGGGAAAATTGGTGATGACTGTCACCAGAAGGAGACTTTCTGCAGGCAGCCCAGCGAGGGGAGGACAGGGCCACCAGCCAAAGCCTGGAAATTAATTAAAAAAAGCCATTTTCCAGCTCGGCACAAGGTTTATCCCGAACACAAGAAGCCCCTGCTGCCCTGCCAGCCCTCCTAACCCCCCGTCCCCTTCTCCTCTCCTGCTCCAGCTCGAGTTAATGGGATTGGGTTTGCTAATCCCCCGGTACGATCGGAGGGGATTTCTGCAGCGGGACCAGGAGCAAACCTATGGCCAAGCCACCGTGTGCCCCGTCCACCCCGCTGCCTCCTGCCCGGGCCCAGCCTTGCCCACAGAGGGCTCGGCGCGCTCCCCGCGGCCAGGGCGAGGGGCCGGGGGCTGCAGCAGACGTGGACAGGTCAGAATTAAATGACGGCCTTGTTTTCTGTTGTGATTTTTTTCTTTTTTTTTTTTTTTTTTTAAGAGGCTGCATGCCTGACCAGACCGCATTTCTTGGTCCGCATCCCATATTTATCCTGTAATTACACCTCCAGACAAAGGCCGCCTGTCTGCGCGGGCGCTGTTTTTAAGGACACGGTTTTATTCCACCTTGGGCTTTCACCGCCGTGAAGTCCTGGGGATTTGGGGGAAGAAAACACCCCACGATTCAGGGGTGAAAGCTGTTCTTTCTTGCAACCCAGACCTCTCCCTCCCCGTTCTGAGGAGATCCCGAGCACACATCCTGCTGCTCCGGCACCCCGCGGGGAGTAACGCCACCAAACCCAGCACCGGGTTTGTCCCGTAGGAGAAGGATGAGCCCCAAGTGCTGAGCCCCATGTTCCGTGCAGCAGGACCAGAGCGATCCCATAAAAATCCCACAAAAAACATCCCAGGTAAGGCCGGTTGAGCTCCTTGCACCTGCCCAACCCACAGCACTGCCGGCGTTTTGCTCCAATTAACACCCACCGCGGCTTTGGCTCCGCAGGGGCGGTGAAGATGTGCACTGCCCGAAAACCAAAGGCATTCGGTGGGGTTTTGGGGGCAGGCTTTCCTCCCAGACAGGAGCTTCACCACCAGGAGCAGGGGGAAGTTTTGCGACCCCAGCTCCCCACGGCCGCTCTTTCGCTGCTCGTGCAGCCCAGCTGAAATGCAGAGCTGTGAGTTTTTCTTTTTTTTTTTCTTTTTTTTTTCTTTTTCCCAAATCCCTTTTTTTTTTTCCATGTGGGATCTGCCCTGTAAGTGCACGTGGATGTTTTGCCCAGCCCGAGGTGGCCTTGGTGCCGAGGGCTGTGGTCGGCAGCTGGGCGATGCCACCGAGGAACTGGAAATGAGAAAACGAGCGTGGTTGGAGAGGGGAATAAATAAAGCAGAGCCTTGTCGACTCTTGTTGAAAGCAGATTTTATTTATAAGGTTAAAAAACAGGCAGTGAAGACGTTTAAGAGCAGCCGGGAACTGGCCTGAGTTGTTTTTTCCAGGCAATTCTTTGCCCTGGGTTACCCGGGGCGGTGGCAGAGACCCTGTGGCACACGGGAACGACCAGAGCTGGCTAAGAGCTGTCCTAAAGTGGAAAGCAATCCCTCCTTCACACCTAGGGGAACGCCGGCACCTTTCCAGGGAAGCATCTGCAGCGAGCTCCCCGCGCCCACGGGGCCTTGAGCACTCGGGTTTTTTTATCCCCATTTGCCCGGGGCTGGAGGTGAGGCTTCCCAAGCCGGCCACAAAGGCCCCTTTTAGCTGGGCTGTTTGCTCTGGGCCCTGTCTGTGCCGCCGGCCTTGTCCTTCTTGTCGGTGCATCTCCGGCTCGCCGGCTTGGAGGATTTTCCCCGTGTTTTCCAGCAGTGGCCCTGACCTTCTGGTGTGAAACCCGATTCTCCTCAGCACCCCCTCTGCCCGCCAGCAGAAACCTGACGGGGGTGTGGAGCTGCCCCTGCCACCGGCTTTGGCTCCACTTGAAGGCACTCAGAGGAAAAACAAACCCACCCGGGGCCATGCCCGCGGATGTTTTCCCTTTGTCTTGGAGGCAGGTTTAGGGGATTTGCGTTGTGGCCAGCAGAGATAGGGCAGGAACAGCGCCTGCTTTGTGGCAGCCGCCGTGCAAATATCCCTATTTAAGGGATTTTGGCACCCTCCATGCTTGCAGGGCCTTTGTCAGCCCCCCTGCTATGAGGACACCCAGCACGGCCCCGTCCCCGTCCCACGCCGAGCTGCCTGCACCCTCTGGCGGCCACGCCGCCTCCCTCGCAGCATCCCACCAGGACACCCTGAAAACGCTGCTCCCACCCCAAAGCCTGGGCACGATTTGGGGTTTTCTGCCTCCCGGCTACCTCCAGCCGACGGGCAGGGCCGGCTCTCCGGGAGCAAGCTCAGCTCTGCCCTGTTTTTCCTGAAAAAGTGCAAATTCCTTCCTCCATCCCCGCGGGTGAGGGTTGGGGGGGGTGCTCCAGCCCTCGACGCGGGGCTGGTGGGCGCTGCAGGAGGAACGAGGAGCAGAGGCGGCCCTCAAAGCTTCCCGTGGAGCACAGGGCAGCGCTGCCAGCAGCGTGCCCGGGAGCTATAATTACCACGGGGCCGGCCGCCTATATTTATCCGCAGTGCCACAGGAGCCAGAAGACTTTGGGGGGGGCGATTTCTGAGGTCTGGGTGCCCTTTTTGCTGCAAACTTCTTCATCCCAAAGGGGAGAAAACCATTTCTAACGTGCTCAAAGCCCAAAGAGCTGGAGGGCTGTAGGTGGAGGCTGGAGCTTGCAAAAACGCTGCTGCAGATGGAGCTGCAGGGGCGCACGGCTCGGCACGGCTCGGCACAGCTTGGCACGGCTCAAAACAGCTCGGCACGGCTCGAAACAGCTCAGCATGGCTCACGAGAGCTCAGCATGGCTCAGCACGGCTCGGCACGCCCCGCAGGGTGCTGTGCTGAGTCAGGGGGCGGGTAAGAGGCGGGCCAGCTCCTGCAGCACTGCGCTGGAGCCTTCCTCGCCCCCCGAAGAGGAGCGTCGAGCCATGGGCTCCCGGCTGTCGCTGGACGACTCCGTGCGCGTCGTCATCGTCGGCGGTGGCTTCGGGGGCACGGCGGCCGCCAGCCAGCTGAAGGCCTGGGCCGTGCCATTCGTGCTGGTGGATATGCGGGATGCTTTCCACCACAACGTGGCTGCCCTGCGGGCCTCCGTGGAGAGCGGTAAGGGGCGAGCGGAGCCAGTGCCGTGGGCCTCGTGGCCAGCTCCTGAACCGTGCCCCGGGGCTCTGAGGGGAAAAGGGAGGAGCAGGGCAAAGGAGGGGCCTCCCCGGCTCTTGCCATGATGAAATGTTTGACATTTTCCACCTGGAAAACAAGCACTCGGCTCGGGGAGGTCCCACAGCACCGTCTGCGTTCGGCTAGCCCCGTGGCTCGCGGGAAAAATGAGGCGTAGTTATCCGGATGCTCTTTTTTAGTTTTTTTTATTGTTCTTCAAGAACTTAAAAAAAAGTTCACTGAAGTGAAACTCTCGGTGTCTGGAACAGGCAAAGGGATGATGTGTGAAATGCTGCCTCCCTCAGCAGCGAGGCCACACGGGACCAAGTTCAGTTTCAGCCTTGTCTGGGGCACCCGGCTCACCCCAACCCTCCAGGAGCTGGGGATTTAGGGGGGAAATTCAGCTTTCAGGGCTAGAAACAAGCAGCAGAATGACACCAAAACCTTTGTGGGGCTTGTTAAACCTCCAGCCGGAGGAAGATCTCTTCCTAACCATCTCCCCCTGCCCCAGGATTTGCCAGGAAGACCTTCATCTCCTACGCGGCCACCTTCGGCGACAGCTTCCAACAGGGCCGGGTTGTGGGCATCGACCCCGCGAGGCAGCAGGTCCTGCTCAGCGATGGCGAGGTGGGTGCTGAGAGAACTCGTCCCCAGAAAGCTGGCAGCCTTTTGGGGTCACCTGCTGATGCTGAACATCGGGCTGCAGCGGGGTGTGCTGTGAGGCTCTCCTCCTCGGGTTTTCTTCGGTTGGTTTTGGCTGCAGGAAGGCGGTACCCCCAAATCCAGGCTTTGTCTGGTTGGAGAAGGGATTTGGGATGAAGGCTGCAGGCAGCTCTGTGTGTTTGGGGTCCTCTGGCAGGGGAGGGAGTGGGCTCACAGAGGGCAGCACGCTGATCTGATCGCCCCTCGGCCCGCTGAAATACCTGGCCCCAAAGAAGATCCGTGCTGCAACAGGGGCGTGCTGCAAATCCTCCATCCCACCTGGTGCTCTGATAAGCTTTTGTTCTCAGGGCTGGATTTAGAGCTCAATTAGCCCTGGAGCTCAGATCCTTATCTGACCACAGGAATAAACCCAGGGAAGGAGCTCCAGGAGCTCCTCTCAGCCCCAGTATCTCACCTCTGTTCAGAAGGGGGTGAAGGTGGGAGGTCAGCCTGTTATCTGTGTCCCTCTGGACTCTGATCCCAGAGCTCCAGCTGATCTCTGGAGCCCTCTGTGACGGCAGCTTCAGCGACTGACACAAACACCGGGTTATTGCCTGTAAGCCCGTGGTTGTTCAGACTCCCTCTTTTAAAGGTCTAACACCCCCTCCCACCCTCTGCCCTCCCAGGAGCTTCACTACTCCCACCTCATTCTTGCAACAGGCAGCGATGGGCCGTTCCCTGGGAAGTTCAACAAAGTCATCGACATGGAAAGCGCCATCCAGGCCTACGAAGACATGGTTAAGGAGGTGAGGAATCAACTTACCAGACACAGCTACCCGTGTCCGAGAAGGAGACCACGATGCCCGGAGGGGTAGGACAAGGGGGAAGCCCCAGGGAAGCATGATCTGCACAAGGGGAGACCTGAAAAGCTCAAAAGTATCACAGTATAGACAGGGAGGGCGCATGGGGTTCTCATTTTCGTCTCCTCTTAACAGACCAGGTGGTTTACTGGTGTCAGGCTGACGCCGTGCATCGGGAGGGTCTGCTCGCAGAGCGGCTGAAAGCCTTTCTCTCCTAACACCAGTTTCTTCTTTACTTCGAGATCGAGAAAGCTGAGCGCATCCTGGTAGTGGGAGGGGGAGCTGCCGGCGTCGAGATGGCTGCAGAGATCAAAACAGAGCACCCGGCCAAAGAGGTAGCAGCACATCAGTTGCTTTTACTTGTTTTTGAGCCTGTTCTTTGATGGGCCTGCTGCAGGTATTGGAGATGGCTACGAATCAGGAGCTTCAGATGCAATGCCAACCTTCCTCCCCGCTGCCTCCTCTTCTGGGAGCACCCTTATAGCCTGCCACCAGCAATTTTTGGCATTTGGCATCTCTTTGGGCATTTTAATGGGATAGAAGGAAGCTGTCTATTGCTGCCTGCCACGTGCGCGGTGTCCTGGCCCACTCCTGTATCCCCGTCTGCTGTTTTGTCCCCAACAGGTCACCCTCATTCACTCCAAAATTGCCCTAGCTGATACCGAGCTGCTCCACAGCGTCCGTCAGGAGGTGAAGGAGATTCTCCTCCGGAAAGGAGTGCGCCTCCTGTTAGGTACGGGCTGAATGCCTCTGAGGATCTACAAGCCGCTCCTCCTTTAGCCTCGGAAAGGTTTGTGACCCAGGGCTCTCCGTCCCAACAGGTGAAAGGGTGAGCAATGTGGAAAACCTCACAACCAACCAGTTCCAGAAGGACATGGTAGTACGGACAGAAAAAGGCACCGAGGTGGCTGCCGACATGGTGATCCTGTGCACGGGGATAAAGATCAACTCTTCAGCATATGCCTCTGCATTTGGTAAGTGAGAAACACCGCGCGTGGGAAAGCAGCACAGCTCCTCAGTGCCTTCTACTCGAGTACCGGGAGGTTAGAAATCAAACTTAGGTTGTTCCATGACACAGCAAATGCTCCAACACCACGTTAAACACCCAACTGTGAAACGTGACCTCCAGAAACGTACAGATCACGAGGCTCACCACCTTCTCCTGCTCCTCCTGCTAATACCTGCAGCGTCCTGGGTCAGCATCAGGCAGGTTACACCTAGAAGCTGGTGACAACTCCTGTCATCAAGGCCAGGATTGCCTCCCAGATAAGGCGCTTGCAGAGTTCCCAGCACAAGTAGGCTCAGCACATTCAGCATTCTTGCTGCACAGTCAGTGCCACAGGGCATTGAGCGGATCAGTTTTTCAGTAGCACACCCTCAGTCTGAGTCCCTTACAGCCCACAACAGCTATGGAGTGCTGTGACCATTACCCAGTCCCTTTCTCTGATTTTAATGATTCCATGTTCCCAGACATATCAAAGGATAATTCGTTGTATCAGAACATAATTCACTCCAGCAAGGCAACGAGCATCACCTTCTTGATGTAGAAAAGAGGATGAAAACCTAACTCCCCTCTTTGTGTCAATGACATCTTGGTGGCATCAACCCCAGCCTGAAAGCTTGCTGTTTGGCCCAGCAGGAGAGCAGCTGGCGAGCAACGGAGCCTTGCGCGTTAACGAGCACCTCCAGCTGGAAGGACACGAGAACATCTACGCCATCGGGGACTGCGCAGACCTGAGGGAGCCCAAGATGGCCTACCACGCCGGGCTCCACGCCAACGTGGTGGTGACAAACATCATCAACAGCCTGACACACAAGCCGCTGAAAACCTACCAGCCAGGTGAGGTCGTCTCTTGGCAGCTGGCTTTAGCTGTTGAGCTGCTTTTCTGCAGGGAACAGCCGTATTAACACGTCTGCATGGGATGCTAGTTAGAGGGGGGGGAACCCACAATTGGGGTTGGCTATGTAGGCTTCATCTTAGTTCTTGCCAAAGACCCTGCAGAAATTAATTACCTGTGCCAGTCTAGGTAGGGAACGCATCCTTTCTTCACTAACATCTTCCTAATTAATCTACTGGTGGGTATCTGCCATTCATCAATCTTGGTTTCTTTGCTTTAAGTTCCTTACTGTCCAATTAAATCCTAGAATTAAGGAGAGGACTTGACTGTCTCCTTCCTTCTCCCCTTAAATGATACAACAAGCACAAACTGAAATATCTGGTCAAAAAAAATCTAGCTAGGTGATGGGTCTCGCTGATAAGCAACTGATTTGTAAATACTTACTGTAATTATCTTGAAAGCTGTTCCAATGGATGGGAGGTATCTGGACTGCTGTTGGGTTTTTTAAAGGTTGCCCAGTCTACTTTATTTTTTTCCTCCCAGCTTAAATTTTGTTGTCTACCTCTTGGACTCCCTCCTGGGAGGACAAAGTCATTCTACACCACACAGCATCAGCCAAATCCTTCCACTGCACAGCTCTAAAGCAGGGGATCTCCTGTTACACCATCAGGAGAGCAGAGCTAGCCTTCAGTTTTTCCGAAAGGCTGATGCCTCCTGAGAAGAGGGAATGAAAAAGGCAACCTCACAGATGTAGAACAGACAGTAGAAAGGAGAGAGTTGCATGTCTTTCTCCTTGGGCCTGCTCCCTTCCTTGTCACGCAGCACATGGGTTACTGTGCTCAGCAGAGGAGGCTGCTGGGGCCAGCAGAAGTACAGCACCTACATGGAGTACGGTTTGGTATTAAGCTTTGAAATTGCTTCATTTAAGCTCTGTCTCTTTTTTCCAGGCTCCCTAACGTTCCTGCTTTCAATGGGTAAGAACGATGGCGTAGGGCAGGTGAACGGCTACTACGTGGGACGCCTCCTGGTGACCATTGCTAAGAGCCGGGACCTGTTTGTCTCCAAGAGCTGGAAGACAATGGGACAGACAATGCCCTCTTAAAGGGGACTAGAAACAAACCCGCAAGGAATTCCACAACCAGAAGGTGAGGCTGCACTATTGTTGCTTGGACAGACCGATGCTGTCTCCCACACCACCTCTGAAAGCCACCCTTTAGTGCAACACAGTGAAGGGGGGCCCTGTGTTACTGTAAAGGGGAAGGAGGCACTTCCCAAATTAACGAGCAAAGATCTCATCATAAAGAACAAGGAAGGAACGTTTCGTTTACTTCCCCGGTGAGATAGCTCTGAGCAAGAAACTTGGTCTACCTCCATTTGTAACAATAAACACCTGTGGTTTGCAAAATGCGTGGCTTGTTTGTTATGTGGTTTTTCCCTGGCTTTCTCTGCTCTAGCTTCTAGGAAGGTATCTGCCTGTCACTCGGGTCCAGAGCTGGCATCTGCTCTGCAGCATGCAGGAAGAATGGCGTGCAGCAGTGCCTGTGCAAAACCTACCTAGAGCCTTGAAAAGACTGTGGCGATCCTGAAACTCATCAGAATACAACGCAGCTTTGTGCCAGCATCTCCCCAGCAGCTTTAATTATGTCACAGCACTCTACTTCTACCAGAAGTACTTGTGTACTGAGGGTGATACAACAAGTACTTAGGGATGCTGCCTTCCTGTTTTTTTAAGGTGAGAAATTTCCAGAGCAAAAGCAGGGTTTATAACAATAACCACACTTGACACATCTTTTTCTTTTTTTCTTATAAAACAAACAAAATCAACATGAAATATTCCCAGTAATTACAGAGATTATTGTGAATTAAAAGCAAAACAGAAGCTCCTCATGCGTCACTTCCAAAATCCTCCCCCCCACCCTCCCCCGGCGGGCTGGAGGCAGAAGTTTAACATATACCCTCATGGGAGGGGAAAAGGGAGCAGAATATTTAAGAGCTTTCTCTAAAGTGTGTGTGTGAAAAATTCATCACTACAAATCTAAACTGAAGTTACTCTTTAAAAACTTCTAAACTAAAGTAACAAGGGACACTAAAACTCCTGGAAAAGAGATGGCAACTCAATTGCTTAAGGTGATATAAATGGCTAGAGGATGCTGAGAGCATGAAGAAATCGGACTAAACCCCGCTCACCTCTAGTCACAGCTCTTCATCAAGTCACAACACATCACACTACTACCACTCCCCCTCCTCACCACATTGAAAAAATAAAACCCACCTCTAATGCTTTTAATGCTACTCAAGTTTGTTGAAAAATAAAGTTTCATTTGGCTGCCGTTGCTACTTAGTGTCTAGCTTGGCCATTTCTTGCACATAGATGCCAATACTTTCGCTGTCGAAGAGCAGAAAGTAAATGTTCTTCAAGGAGGAAGAGCTGGTGCCGTCAAAATGGGTGGAAATAGCTCTGAGAGTCACCTGGGCTGCCGTCTGTTTGGGGAAGCAGTTTCTATGTGACAAGGGAAGAAAACAGAACAAGAGTGTCAGCTACCTGTGCAAGCATTATGCACACGTGATGCCAAAAGGCACAAAGCACAGCCATACCCACTACAGGTTGCTGTTAAGACAGCACCAGTTACAGCTTTTAACATGTACACATCCCAGAAGCAAACCCCAAGGTTCTGATAACAATCATCTGCTGCTGTGTTAGCTCCCTTGCTGGCGTAGCTACTGTTTTCGTTTGCTTCTACTCTTTATAACCACACAAAGTATTTTAAACACTCGCCCTCAGAATCAAACTCGTCTATGCCATGCCAGGCAGGCTAAAAAGCTCAAGGATTTGTTGTTGTTGTTGAAAACAGAATTGGTTTAAAAAGGTGACATCCGACTTCCTTTCCCTGTAATTAACAATACTTTGCTTGAGACTTCAATGAAAATACAACCTCAAACCAAGGTCCACTCCCTCTGAATTGTGACTCTTCTTGGAGCACTGGGCCCATGTCTTTGAGACTTCGGTTTTATTGTATCTTAATCGCTCTCATACTCCTTTTTCAACTCACAGAAGTTCAGCTGCAGCTCGGTTCTTTGCCCTCGTTTCAGCACAGAGTAGTTACTGTGAAGGTCAGCAGCTTTTCATCTTTGTTTATATGAAATATGACTGCTATAAAAACAATTTCAAGTACTGTTCTACTTGAACTTGACGCATACCTCGTGAAACACCCTGCCTTACGCTGTGCCTGCGCTTAGGAAGGTCTCCACATCGTTGTACTTTGTGCTTAAGAAGGTCTCCACATTGCTGTACTTGTCTAACACCAAAGAGGTTCCTCGACCTAGAAAGCATCCCTGTCCTGAAGTGACAGATGCGTCTCTCTGTCGCTGAGATCTGGAGGGAAAGACACACTTTTTTTTCATTCCCTGATGGGGTTTCTCTGCTGCCTGACACTGGCTGTGATAGTTCTGCTGATTTTGCACAACCCTAGAGCACATGGATGTGGCTTCCTCGCTACATAAGCATGTAGAGAGCCAAACAGCTCCCAGAGTCTGGGTGAGACTGTGCTGGGGCACGCTGAATTGTCTGAAGGCGAGTTAAGACCTGGCAGAGATTGCAGATAGGCATTGAGCATAACTGTTGTTTGCTCTCGAGTTTAATGTCTCCTATTTAGATTCTACTGTATGATAATGCTCCAAAGGAAGTTAGATGGATGCCAAAAACTTCAGCCAGAACAACCACACCCTTACTCTGGGGCAGGATTGCACACAACTCTTCTGCTTCTCAATTAAGTTTGTCTTAACTTATCCTCAAAGATCTCCAGTGACAGGGCCACACCAGGACACAGATATGCCATTCCAGTGCCTAACAACGCTTACAAGTGAAAAATCACAGTGTTTTTAATAGCATTCAGAGCAGCTTTTACATTGCTTTCTTTTTTCCCCCTTCTCTGATAACAATATGCTGTACATTTGTGTATTTCTCCTCCTAAGAGCAGTACGACTCACTTCTATCTCAATTTCACATTAGGAATTTCAGACTTATCCCATATCTATTAAACACTGCCCAAAAAAAAGCTTGGAAACTGATCATCAACAACTGTCATGTGCATACTCGCTATCATCTAAATGACCACTGACAGACAGACTTTTACTAGCTCTGGTCCCACGACAGACCTCTGTAACAACCCAGTTAATACATCTTTGTGGCAACTAGCTACCAACAAAGACTTTTTGAAAAAGTTTTCCAGCTAGTTCATATTCACAACACGAAAACCACACCACCTTTGGGTTTCTTAGTCAAGAACACTTTATTTGCTAGTTATTAAGAAAGAAATGCGAAGTTTTACAGTTGGTGTCATAGCTGCCTTTTTAGAGCAGAACTGTGTTTAAGAAATGGTGATTTTCTTTTGAAAGAAATCATTTGTGTGACTAGTGTATTTACTGTATATTCTTGGGATGACTTAAGTAAATATTCTGCATTTACCTAGCTCGAGAAGCATCACTTACCTTCAGTATGGTGCCAGTGTAACCATATTAATACCAGTGGAGCTTTACTAAGGTTCACCACAATAAAATGAAAGGACATAACAATGTTCTTTCATTCTTCTACAGTCAGCTCAGCTCTCCTCTCCTGAGACTACGCTCATGAGTCTACTCACAGGCTCCCTCTCACAGCAGCAGCTCTGATAGTCACACAATTGTTACACAATTTAGAAGCCTCTTATGCAGAAAAAGCCATACCTGCCACTGGGAAAAGGGGGGAAAGCCACAGACTTCAACTTCTTGTCTTCTGCAGCTGTTAAGCAATTCTTTATGGTCTCTTCAAGCTGCTCTTCGCACTTGTCTGAGCCCCACTGAGGGATGTGACAGTGGATGACAAACTTTGCTGCTAGGCCACTAGACTGAGTAAGCGCAGCTATCAAAGGAAAATACAACAGCGTTTAGTTTTGAAAGTAAATCACCCGGCAATGACTTCTCAGTCCCACGTACTTTCTTAATTCCATTGCCTCTCCCAAAAGAAATATATGAGGAATGAAAGAAAGCCACAATGACTCACTTGCAATCATAATCTGACTGTGTTATCATTACTTGTGTGATCAATTGCTTCTTTATTCTCTAAAGAACCCGGGCTCATTTGGTTAACAAACAGTTATTCAAGAATAGTTTATAGCTTTCTCATTCTGCATGGCCTCTGCATGTTCTTTTTTTTGCAAAGTATCAAAACCTTGCACTGAATACAATGTCATTAATTCCCCAACAGACATTCCTGCAGTGTTGTCATGGCCTTATCTGAATGCCTTGCACAAATATTCTGCAACATCTGTACAGCTCCAGAGTTATACCTGGACTCCCTTCGTGGACAGGTGGTTTCAGAAAACAACCTGAGAAATCAAAGATGTTTATTGAAAAGTAGCCACCAGTATTAGAAATCTCAGATCCATTTTTCAGGACTTGCAACATCGACAGCATGGCACCAGTTTGCTTTTGTGGCAGTTGTGACTTTCAGCACTTTTAAAATCTGAGCCTTGGAACTCTCAGGTCAAACACCCAGAAATTAGTCAGGCAATTATTGCCCAAGGATGAAAAAGTTGGATTTATTCACTTGTTCACTATCACAGAAGAATTCCATCTAACGCTTCACTTTGCTACCTAAATTTCAACCAGGTGAGAAGCCTCAGGCCTTTAACCTAAGGAGCAAATTGACTGAAAACAACAGAGGTAACCTGTGAACAGCACTTGAATTCAAGGCCTAGGCTGGAGCTCAAGTGATTAAAAACCATTTGTTAGTGCTTGCCTGAAAACCAGTGGATGTGGCAACATCAAACGCAGCAGCACAAAACAGTGCTTGACAGAGTACATCTTCCTTCCATGAAACTAAGATTATCCTCTTTCTTGGGACCAGTTTAAGAGCACAAAGTAAGTCTATTGTCTATGTGATGTTGATAGAGAAGTAGTTTGGTTGGATGTTGTGGCATATTATTTCTGATGCAATGCAAAAGTGAAGTAAAATGTGCTGTACAAAAATCTCTCTGTGATTAGACTGTTCCTTTAGGAAATTTGAAAAATGAAACCCTTTAAAGTACTGACATGCTTTTTTCAGTGCTTTTAGTACTGAGGTACTAAGCCACATAAGGCACGAAGAGATGTATTGTAACTTCTCCCATCTTCACCCACATCCAGCTCCTATAAGTCGGCTAAATTTGTCTACAAATGAAGACAATCTCAAGCCCTTAACTATTCACTGCTCCACATGCGTTAAACATTTAAAGAGAGCTCCTTTGTAATTTGTATTTCTATATTGTAGCTGTAATGCCTGGGAGAAGAGCAGCAATTGCTCTTTGAAAACCATGCCAGTTCTATAGATTGTATCACATCTACATTTATTGGTGTTCAAACAAAGTGAGGGAGTTGCTCTGACTGCATTGTTCATCAAATATGCATAAATCCGGGTAATTTGTAAACTAGAATTGCTCACAGACTGAGAGCTAACCCTCTCTAAGAAATGTGGTACAAGTAGGGGAGGAAAGAGGCACTGAGGTAATAACACGATTTTTTTTCCATAACTTTTGGACTCCCACAGACAGGAACTGCCTAAGGGAAATTAATCATCCTGCTGTTACTTTTTAGGTGGCACTTAGAAGCCCAAAGACAGGATGTGCACAGCACAGAGGTATCCTAACCCTCTTCCCTTTTTCCCTTTTCCTGCCCCCAAACAGGTTGCCTGTATCAGCAACAATTTTGAAGAAGAAATGTTTGCATCACATAAGCAAAGGCACATATATAATCAAGAACAGCTTTGAATGCCAAGAAAAAAGAACATTTCAGTATGTTCTTTTTTCCTAATGTGTCAAGCCATTTCCACAAACAAAGCAGAATATCCTTTTTACCTTCAGCAACTTCCAAAGGTCCTTGAGATTTGCGAAGCTCCTTCACTGTTTCTAAAAACTCTTTTCCTCCTGCCTTTTCCAAAGCCTTGCCTGCAAGGAAACAGAGCAAAAGGCCTTGGCTTTGAGCTACCAGCAAAAGAAAACAATTCTACGTGATTTAAAAGGACATTGTGCACATACTGGCATGTTTCCCTCTATCAGCAGCAGCTGATGTTTATGCTTGCCACTATCAGCCACAGATAAAGTTTGCTTTTTATTGTTTTCACAAAAAACTTCTCTGTTATTACCGCACATTAACATAACTATCTGTAAGAATGCTAACTTCCTTTGGCTTATGGTTAAAAACAGTGAAGAGTGGGATTTTCCAGACTCGGATTTTCAGTCTCCTAAATCAACTCAGCATACAAACACTACTACTTTCCTGAAACAATTTCTGAAATAAACACAGCTGGGATGCCAGTCAAGTCCTCAATGACTGACTGTATACAACAAGGATCCAAAAAGCCTACTAGTGAATTCAGTCCTTCTGTGCAACTGGCTGCGTATCTTTTTTACCTCCCTCACGGCAATTCCCCTGTTTTACACCACAGTAATAATATTTCCTTGTATCACATGAGCAGTACAAGGCTTTGTACATGGGTATTTCTGAAGCATACAAAATCCTGTAAGGAAAAGCATAACTGTTATTACTGTAGATGATTTTCCTCATAGAATTTCCAAAAGCCAATGTGAAAAAGAAAATAACCCAATAAAGACTGGAATAATGATTATCTACACCTTTACTGCTCATGTGCAGCAACAAATCATCTGTGTTTTCATTGTTGTTAGCCATCATTTAAAAAAATGAAGATAAATTACTGATTAGCATATTATATCTACTCAGTTCCAGCCTGATTTTCAGAAGTGTAAAGTGATATTTTATGGCCTGAGGAAAATCCAGATGAAACTGGATGGAATCCCAGCAGGCAGCTAGGAGACAAACTGCTGTTGCAACTTTAGATTTTTTTTTTTCCCCTGCAGGTAGCAGGGCCTCACCTATCTCCTCCTTGAGGTCTATTTCAGCAGTTGTAGGGTGAACGATGCCTTCTACTTTCATGGAGCCAATATGGCTGATGTCACTCTGTGTCAGAGAAAGCTGCAAGATACAGATGAGAGAGTAAAAAGAATCAAATTAGTAATCTGTGTGTGAAATTACTTTCATACGAAAAAAAAAAAAAAGGCTGGACTCACAATTCACACAATTTTATTTTATTCAGTATGGTTGATTCTGACTTTTAACCTTTAATTAGTCTGTACACCATTCAGATGTTTCACGATGTGCCCATAGCTTGGAAGACTGTTCCTGAGGAAATTACTGCTACTAGATTCATTCATGTCCTAGCATCACACTTTGAAGAAAAAAAATGCTCACCTTGGAAACCCTCTCGTTTAAAGAGAAAAATACTAAAAATAAAAGTTTGTCCCCTACAGAAACACTTGTCCCCAGTAAACTGCTTGCAGGGGAACTACTACCGATGGGCTAGACCCTATCTTGATCCATACAGACTTCACCACCCACGTAATTAATTTCATTTCAGCTCCTGACGTAAATAAAACAAGGAATGTTTTACCCACCCATGCATCAGGACACAAGAACTGGCCAAAACTTGATGTCTTAAGGAGCCCAAAAAAGGCTGCTCCCCAAATCTCACAGCCTCATCACTTTGAGCAGCAACAGAGGACAGAAATCCTAGAAATTATTAAAAAGACTTTACAGTTGCTGAACATGTGCCCGATACACCTCATTTCTTACAAGTTAAGCTACAGAATTGATGTCCTAATATGAAAAATAAACACCGCCCATTTTAGAGAAGAAAGGGGGAAGCTGCACAGGTTCTGGAGGATCTTAGAACAGCACTGAACTCTAACAAAGGAGATAAAGGTTTCATCCACCTGGCAAGAATATTGCTTTTAGCAGTCTTCTGGATCTAGTACGCCTCTGGCATAAACTAGACCACTAGTTTATTATGAGATGAGATCAGGTAGACTGAATTTTTAAGCACTGCTTCATATAAGGGTACATCAGTATGGGGGGCTTACAGAAGCAATTTCAGGAACAACACTTTTTCCAGATGATCCTACTACCTGAAAATCAATAAGACAAAATCTTTATCTCTACAATAATAATTAAAAATCTGTACTAGACTTTATAAGGAAGGAAAGAATAAGACAGATAGTTGGCTGGACATCACTGACATGGGTATTTTGGTGGGACAGTTTTGCAGTTCTGGCCAGGCAAGGTGTCACAGTCTGTGCTGAGATGGAGAAGCTGGCTTGATCACTTTGAAGAGAAAGGCACCCCATGGCCCATTTTCAGATGGAGTGCTCAGGCTTCTGGCACAAACTAGTGTGTGGAACTTGATGAGTGATCCTCAGGCTTGGCGCAGAATTTTAGTTTATTTTTTAATAAGTAATAAATAGCCTAGAAGGTTAAACCTGGTTTGGCAGTATGCTAGACACGCAGACAAGTCCAAATGGAACAAAACTCTACTATAGGTTTAGCCAAGAAATCAATCTCTAGAGAAGAGAGGCTGACTAGCATTGTTCTTGGAAATCTTTTATCTGCAGACATAGTTTTGAGATCCTCTGCCCCACCTATGACTTGAGTGAGTTCTGGCCTTAAATTTGGGACCACTAAGGACAAAGGCAGAGAAGATTTTTTTACTGGTGTTAAAGCATCTTTCTGTTTATGTGAGGCTCCACTGCTACGATCCCAATCTGTTAAATCATAAATTGCATTACCTTTTGTCCTGGCACGAGGCTCTTGGAGGACAAGATAGTAAAACCATCCCCGGGTCCATCTTCAGATGTTGAATTTGAAGCTCCTTCTTTTTCGTTGTCCTTTTGTTTATTCTAATTTGGGGTAGAAGGGGAGAGAAACAAAAACTCTTGAATGCAAATTAACGCCTAACATTATTCGGTAGGAGATTTCATGAGTTAATACAAATTTCATCTTCTCTGAGCAATATACTACTTGTAGCTTTTTACTCCCCAAAGATCGTGTAATAACAGAGGTCTTCACTGTCTATAAAATGCTAAAACATCAGTGGTTTATCTGAGGCATTACATATGTTTGTAGACATTCAGTGTCGGGGCACACACCTCCACCTGTGGTTTTACTGATGATTAAGGTTGTATTTATGGATGGGTGTGTGCTAGTGTGTTTGGTTTTGCTGCTAAGAGAACAGAACTCACACTGAATCAAACAGGAACCCTGACAAAAGGAAAAAACATCGGAAAGAAACCGTAAACCTCAGGTAATGAATTGAATCATAAATCTCAATCCCTATTGACGGAAGGGAGCCATCACACCTCCATACAAACAGATGAACAACTAAATGAGCTAATAGGTGAAGGTTGAATGCAAAACCCCCTTTGTGAGACACATTCCTTCGTGCAGCCCAGCTCCAGGAGCAGGAAGCCTGCTCCTACATGGGCTGCTGAAGCACACCTTCAACTACACAGCTCTGCTTTCTTTTCAAAAGTTGTTTCTACACATTCTCAACTAGAGAGATATATCAAAGCTTAGAGGTCTCCAGAAAGATGTGCTTAAAAAAAGAAGTGTAAAAGGTTTAGGTCAAAGTTTAATGATTTAATGCCATCCTAATCAAAATTTAGCAATGTCTTAACGTGCAAGCTTTGGAATGACAAACCAAGTGCACTGATCTGAGTTACTGCTTTACCAAATCAAAGCATTTTGGATGGTGACAGAGGATGGGCAACCGTGAGGGAAGATGCAGTGGCCAAGTTCCAATTCATTTATTCTTCTCCTAACTCTTAAAAAAAACAAAACAAAAAAAAACAAACAAACAAACAAACAAACAAACAAACACATTTGTAACAGCACACCTAAGAATATATGAAACAAAATGCTTGTCAAAAACGACATGCATGTACCATGTCATGGCAACTTCTCCAGACATGAAAAATCTCTAAGAGCAATATGGTACCCAAGAAAGGCTGATGGTGTGACATGACTCAAAAAGAAAATGATTGTAAATGCAGCTCCCTGTATTTTAGTAAAAATTCTACAGTTATCAAGAAGGTACTGCAGAGGGTGACGTGGATATCTGAAAAGCTTCACTTGAAGCTTTAAAGGTTTTTGTTACAGAAATTCACTATAACAGTACTGTGATAAGCATCTTCCCTTCTATTTCCAAATTTAGAGAAATAAGTTCCTGATGTGTCTACTACCAACTCCTACCTCCAGTTGTGACAAATGCAGAGGCACCGATTTGTTCCTCCTGATAATTTCAGTTGGTTTTGATCCAAACCTTCTCTCACATATCCAGGATCCCGTACCTGCCTCATGCTTACCTTTTTGGGTGTCCGGGCCTTGTTAGACTTTGCCTTCTTCCCACTCTTTTTGCTCACCATGGATTTCCGTCCCTTCTTCTCAGGAGTCGGGGAGAGGATAGTCTCAGATTTGCCTTTGGCACCGCGTTTCTTGGCTAGGAGCTCTGGCTGAATTCTGGGCAGGACACCTCCACTTGCAATAGTCACACCTTTTAGCAACTGCAAGGAAAAGCAGCATAAAGGAGTTCATTATAAATTCTCAAAGTTTGCACTCCAGCAATTTTTGCTGACTTCATAGCACAAACACACCGAGCCCACACTTCCTAAAGCACCGTACCTTTTCTGTTTATCAGAAGAAAACCCAATTAGAGGGAAAACCTGGCAAGTCCCAGCGAGGTCGGTCAGCATACCCCAGAGAACTCTGTCACTCTACAGGTCAGACTCTTTTCTGTCTTTCAGTGCTGGTCTTTCTGCACACCTCGGTGACTCGCAGGCAGTGAGTGAGGGTAAGAGGATACAAGCACTTGCAGGCTACTTAAAAAATAAATAAATAAAAATTGCACCCCAGTGCTGCTGAAGGAAGGTTGTAGACTGCCTGCACAGGAACGCAGATGCGGTGGAAGTAAGCATAAGACCCAAGAACCTGCTTTGCAGGGGTAAACAACAGGAACGGGCAGCAGTATTTACACAGAGGGCAAAACCTGGCCGATCCAACTGACAGCAGTAGATCTGTTCCACAGGCCAGTGACCAGTTTTATGGTGCAGGGAACGGGCTGGTAGTGTTCCAATTCTTTTCCTTCTCTCATCACCTCTGTTTTGAGTTTTCAGTTTCCGTAACAGAAAACAGAGCTGGATGACTTCACGGGCACCACATTTTCATTATTTAGAGCAGACAAACTCGGTGCAGGAACCTTTCAAGGTGTGAGTGATGTCATCCATCTTTGCACAGGGCCATCCAAGAAGAGGTCCTCTGCTGCTGACTGATCCTTTCCAGCAGCCCTGAATGCTGCAATTCACAGCCCATGCCATGACCTCTCTTCTCCCTCCACAAGTGATCCTCAGAGTCAAAACACACTGCAAAACCAGTCAGTGTGCTAACAAGACTCAGACATATGGAAGGAGAGGCAGTGCTGGACGCAGCTACAGCAGAGAGTCAGCCAGCTCCCCATCCAAGATGGGCCTCACAGACAGCGTAATAGAAAACACACACACTTCCACAGCTTTTGGAAAAGGCTGTCTGTCTTGTATATTTTTGTTAAGTATCAGATATCACCGAGTTAAAAATTAGGCATCAAGTTCTCCCACTTCAACACAACCCACAGGCTGTGGAAGCAACGAAATTTATATCCAAGTGATTTCAGACATAATATCACAGAGAACCCTTTTTTTTTTTTGGCTCTTCATTTGGGTTGGCAACATCTTGCCATCTTCTGCTTTAATATTTGTGTTTCATTCATATGTCAGGCTAGAATGTCTAACTTTCTTGGGAGCAGCTTCATTCACGCTACAGCAGATAACACTCGCACTGCAAGGTAAAGGAGTACCTGATTCAGCTCCTCATCATTTGCTACTGCCAGGAGGATGTGCCTGGGGGCAATTCTTCCTTTCTTGTTGTCTCTTGCTGCATTTCCTGCTAGTTCTAGAATTTCAGCTGCAAAACACATTGAGATAAAAATGAGTGACAAAAATGTAACTTCTGTACACCCTGTGTACTCATTTTACGTTCCCTTTTCCTATCTATTTACCTCTTGGGGGGTATTTTACCGATTTAAATGATCTTTGCTTTGGAAATGCAGAAACCAAACAACACTCAATATATTTTAACATTACATAACAGAATTTGTTCTTTCTAATTTCCTAAAGGACAGCTAGCAGAAAATATGCTCAGCTTGGTTCACATAACTTCTTTTATGATTCCCAAGTCAGAGTTCTCTTTCAAAAAAGAACAAACACCCTATAAAAGTGTACATCAGCAGTCCAGAATGTAGCAGTAACCCTGTAACAACAGAACAGCAAAGCATGCAACGAAACCCCAAACCGAGTTCAGAAAGTTGTGACAAAACAGCAAGGATTCTGAGGACCAGGTAAGACAAAGACTGAGGTGCATTTAAAGAAGTACTTTGAAAGCCAACAAACTAGCCAGGCGATGCTGCAATTCGGTATTAAAGGGCATTGAAAATCGGTGAGAGGCTTCATTTCAGAACAAGATACAAAAGGTTTGGCTTAGATGCAAGCAGAGACAACACGAGAGCTTCAATGCATGATCTGTTGGTAGAAAGTTCTCTAGGTCTCCTGGAACAGGCGGTCAATTCAAAAGTTCGTTCTACTTTTGCAGTAACTTTTAGGCAGTGACTGAAGTGGCTGAGGGTTTTCTAATTGGTATAGAGGAAACACAGACACATCTTTCTTAGCAAACTGTAGCCGTCAGCATTATTAACTTACACAGTTTAGGCTGTATTTGTGACTTATTTCTCACATAAGAACTCCACTGTAGCACCAAGAAGAAAGGAGAAGGGAATGTTTTGTTCCAAATAACCATCAGAAGTCATATTTGCCTCTTATTTCATTTAAAAAGGTATCAAGTGCCCACCTTGTTTTTGTTTTTACATTTGTCAGTAACAGGAGTGAGAAACTTACAGCCCACCTGCTTTCTGTTATGATATCTTACTCCCATTTCATCAATTATATAAAGAGCTGCAACTATTACAGAAAGAACTTCCATGGAAAGTCTAGTGGGAATCTGCAAAATGCTCTCTGGCTAAAATCCAAAGGATTTCAACAAGAGGTTTAGCTCTCAGTTCATGGGAAAAATACAAGCTTTCAATTTCGCTCTGTTAGAATAACAAAAGTGCATACTTGTCATCCAGCTTTCACTGCTAAAGCACACATATTTAACTGAACGTTGGAGATGTGAGAGCCATTGTTTCAACTTGTGTGCACGTTCACAGCGAATTGCTCAAGAAACAGTCAGCCTCTGTTGAAACTGTTCACAACTATTCATGCAAAACTTGCAAAAAACATTATTAAAGTTGCAAAGAGGAGCATTTAAATTTTAGGAGCTATCAGAACCATGGCTGTCATAACTAGGCCTCCAGCCTGAGGGAAAAGCAGCGAGCAGACAGGCAAAAACAGGATCGGGACACCACCACAGTGGGTCTACAATAAAAGCTGGGCCAGCAACCTCAGCTCTGGCATTTCCCAACTCTGAGGTGTCTGACCTAGACTTGAAAGGAGATGGAAAAGAGATCCTGCACTGTCCGGTGATGGTCACCCCCGTGGGGCTGCAGGGCTGGTGCTTGCAGATCCCTGACCTCTGTCGGTGGAGCGAAGGCAGCAGCAGACAGCAGGAACAGATTGCCATCCAGTGTGCAGACCAGCAGAGAGCAAGAAAGGAGACCCACACTTCTCCAGGGGTTTGTGCAGATTTATGCTGACAGCAGAGGAGAATTGCAGCAGGAATTAAAAAAAAACAAACATACTTACCTGGTTGGGAACTGCAGTTCTTTCAGATGTGCCAACAACAGGCACATCCTGCTAACCGTGTGCTCACCCCACTCCCCCAGGCTCTGGGTCCTTTGGCCAGCAGCATCCTGATGGTGCACTCAATGTCCTCTGCCTAATGTTGAGAGCAAAAAACGCAGAACACTCAAACACCAGGCACTTTGCATCTACCACAGGACACCAGGAAGAAGGGAATCCAAGACAGAGATGATGTAGGGCAGACCGCAGAAGATGCATATAAGTAACTTACCAAAGGATGCCAATTATTTGCATAGGTACATAATTGCCTTACCTCTTTCTAACGATTGTCTATATGCATATTTTTCGAATGCTGGAGACTTCAGAATGAAGGCAGGGACTCGGTCTTAAGAACATAAAATGGCATGTGCAAAAAAGGAAAAAACAATCAAATCTGGAGGCTGCAGTTACCACATCCTCTACTGATAAGAGCAGATCCCTAAAGAAACTAGTTTATGTTTCCAGCAGAAACATCTCAACAGCTGAGGTCATCTAAACTCTAAGGAGACTGCAGTCTGAGAATATAACTCCTATAATGAAGTCCTTCACTGCAGCAAGCTCTCTTGAAATTGGGCATCTGGATATTCTCAGACCTAAGTTGGTTTTATTTTATGTCCTCCTAACAGCAGACATTAAGAATTAAAGTGAATTCTGAAATAATTTGGCTCCCTCAAGATTCGAAATCCACACAAGAAGCCTCCACACTGGAAGCTTAACTTCAAATTCAGACATCTTCGGCACAGATGGCTAAAAGCAAACGAGCTCATTTGTGCACACTGCATTTCACCATAGCCTCATGAAGGAATTGAACAGAGGCAGCAGAACTATGTCCAGAACTGGCACAGCACCTAGGCCATTAAGTTCCTGGGTAGGTGATCACCTTATCAGTGTTTAAAAAATCAAAGACAAATCTCACCCTCTACAACTACCTTTATAAAAAAAAATGTGGAGTTTCTTGGACTTCGGGCTACTACAAGAGAGTAGAAGAAGACTGGGCACTGGTGTTTGGATCTTGAAAAAGTTAAGTGACCCCAAAAAGAAGGTTTTAAGTCTTTTCAGCAGACCCTCTTAATCCTGTTTGATAAGTACTCAGGAGCAGGGAAGAACCCAGCTGTCCTGCAACCAACACAAGCAGCAGCTAAGCCATGACCTGAACGGGATGCCATTGTCTCATCCTGTAACATACAGGAGAAAGAGAGGTTTCCTTAGCTGATGGATCAACAAATCTGGAACGTGTGCGAACTAAAAGCATCACAGTCAGGCCGAAGTTATTTGGTCAGTTGAGCCCAGCCTGCTTTGTGAAGGGCTCAGTTGGCCCGATAAGGAAGATAACTGAGAACTAACGACCACAGAAGCAGAAGGATTTCAGACAGGTTATTGGGTTTTCCACTTCCCCTTTAAGGTACGCTGACAGTTCCTGTTATGCTACGACACACAAATCTGTCCTGTAATACCTCTGCTCTGACAAGATGCATCAGATGGAGTTTTTGGTCCTCCACTGGCAAGTGGAAAAGCAACTGCTCCATTTGTCTCCTGATGGCAGGTGAGAACACCAGACAGAAGAGCACGCCAGTCGATGTCCTTTGAAGGAGGAAGCATTTGCTGGCGCTGTTCCTTCCCTAATTTAGAGAACGCGGCTTTCCACTGCCACCTCGATCGGTTTCTCTCACCAGCACATCGTTCACATCTTGTCTGCTTCCTAAGCAAGATGCATCTGTATTCTCTGCCTACGTTTTGGAAGGTGCTTTAGGGCGCACATTCTGCTGCTGTTTGACTCAGACGATGACTGCAGTCAGCCCCGCACATGCTGCCAGCACAGTCTGGCACGTGCATGTTGCAAAGTCCAGAAATCAAGAACCAAGGTTATTTTTTCATCAGATTTTTGACTCTGAAGCCAGTGGAAGCCAACACTGTTCCAGGAAACACAAGCTTCTGGACAGGAATTAAGTTGCAGTTTTGCAATATGACCTTCAAGCCTAAGATATGAAACAAGATAGATTATAAAAAATAAATAAAAACATAAAAAGCTTTAGATCCTTGATAAGATCTTCCTCATCTTTGCTAATCAGTCGAGGTTTAAAAGTACCTCTTCTCAAGATACACTGCAGTGATTGTTGGCATTTTTACAACGGAGTTGACAAGCCAGAGCTCAGATTCAGTGTTGACAATGGCAGTGGGCTGCAGCCACAATCTGTCTTGCAAACAAAGGGCAAAAAGGGGATCTAGCGGCCTGCAACACAGAGAACGCCTGTGAAAGCCAGAAGGCAGACTGAACCACACGGTGGCAGGGCATAAGGATGCCCCAGGTGCACACGCACCATCTGGACAATGCCAGTCAAGAGGCTCAGTGCTTCAGGGTAACACAAATTCAGGCCACTGACAAATTACATACATGGGAGAGTCCGTCCTACGTTCTAGACGGATGTCAGACAGCTCTGGTCCAATCTGACACCTCCTGCCTCACCCACCCTACCCATTCCCCAGCTCCACAGCCCATTCCCCTTTCCTAGGCACTGAGACTTCCACCTCATTTTCCTTCCCTGGGCATTTCTGCCTTCTGTCCGCTCTTCTCAGACTCGATCTTCCTTTCTGGATTCTTCACCAGCAGCACCTCCCTCCATGGGATCCATGCCCTGTGCCCTATTTTTGCAACTTTCTCTTCAGCTTTGGGTGTATCATTGTGGGCGCCCTCTGCCACTTACTTCCCCTTTGGCCCTCAGTTTAACTTCCCCACCAGCATGAGCCATCCTCAGCTGTCTCCAGCATCAGCACTCTTCTACCATAACAATCAGCTCCCCAAAATGTTACTAACTGTTCCTCCTTCCCCGAAGGATCTGGAACCTGTTCCCTGGCCCCAGTCTCCCTTACCTGGGATGTTTATCCGCTTAATCCCAGCCCTTCCCAGTTCGCAGCCAGTAAACAGGATTAGCCTCTCCTACTCCCACCCAGGGCATCTCCAGTCCCAGACCTCTTGCCACCCGCCTCTTTGCGGCTTTTGTCAGCTCTGTGCCATGACCAGGGGCAGCCAGGGACAGCAGTGAGAGGGGAAATTCCTTCTGAGCACCTGTAGCCATGGGCTGAAGCATGCTCAGCCACTGTGTGGGGCAGCCCACGCGCGGTCCTGTCTCACGTCAGAGCTGGGAGAGGTTGAGGCACGCTCCGTCGCCCTGCGGGGACGATGCACTGGCAGTCTGGGCAGCACTAGGAGCTGGGAAGGTCCTCACTGAGCACACTCCAGCCTAAGTCTTCGGAGATTTTAAGCTGTTAAAATCAAAGAAGTCACTGCTGAGCGTGAGCAAATCTGATTTTTTCAAAGTTACAGCTTGGCCAAACAGCAAATTTCTTTGGGATGGCGGACACCACCCTTCCCCTTTCCTAAAGCAAAAAAAAAAAGCCTCTGCCTAAAAGCAGAAAATAAAAAATTAGGGGAAAAGTTCTCATGAATGCTTTAACATGGCAAAAGAGAACTGTTCAACCCACTTTGGTGAAAGGGTTGAAGAACCACACCAGAGTTCTCCACCCTTTTACTCCCACTCCCCCAGATTTCGCCTGAAGCAGTTCCCCTGTGTGCAGGCTTTCAGCCCACGTAGTCACCACTTGATGACAAAAACATCATCAAACCAATTTAAAACAGGAAGCCTCAGATAATGCTAAGAAATGCTACCAGTTTGATATAAAATACCCTGTCTGACAACAACCTCGGAAAACCACATTTCATTTCTAAAGGCATCCCCAAACCAAATATTCTATGTTATTGCATACCCGTTGGGAATAGCTAGATCAGCAGGGTCAGCCGCAGTAATGCTGCTTTTTAATCAAGCTATCCATCTCTGTAATCTTTTCAAACAAAACTCTGGACAGAGCACAGAAACTTTGGTTTGGAAGTCCACAAACAATAGGTGTTTGCTCAGAAATATTGCTCTGCTCTCACAATATATACAGGGCTGGGCAAGGGCTCTCTCTGCTGAACCAAGCAGCTTAAAATAACATTCCCTTACAATTTATGTGGGCCCCCAGCCTACGTATCTAGCAGTTCTCTTGCTTGGCTGACTATACATTCTGTTTTTTTTTTCCCTAAAACACAGTGTAGGCCTGCACATAATCTGTCCTTACCATATTAATCATTTAAATTTAACTGCATTTGCTAGCCAGAAGCAGAACCAGAACCGAGGTACACTGTTCTAGTTCAGACAACAGGCAAACTGCTGTGCTGTGGGTTCTGAAAGGCTTACCATGACTTAGTCTGCGCTATGGAGGTGCTGCATGCAACAGACACTAACTTGGCAATTTATTCGTACACCTCGTAATAACTGTGGCAGCTCAGAGAACAAGCTTCTCCAGATGCTTATTCTAGGAAACTCCTCTGAAGGCTGCGGGCCTGTGGGCTGGGAAAAGAAAAAAGGGTTTCTCCCAGGACTGAAGGTCAGCAGTCACTAAGGAATGTGTTATTCAATAACAAAAGTTAGGATGATTTCCAAAATTCATGTAATGCTGTGTTCCTCTTGTCACCCCCAGGCAACCGATGGCTGCAGGTGACTTCTAAGCAATTCATGATCAATGGTACCGAAAAGCAAACACACCTTGCTAGAGAAATCCATATTTATGGCAATCCTAAAGGTCTCAACCCCGCTAGAAAACATACAGGGGCCCAGCAATAACAACAAGGTTGAAAAGCAGTGTGGGCAGAGCAGGAGAGCTGTAAGAGCTCTGAATCCTCTACCACCACATCTCCCCCAACCCTGAAGCATCTCTGCTGAGCAGCATTCTGTGTCGCAGGTAAGGAAGCTCCGCAAGCCACAGATTTCCCTGGAACAGCACAACTGCGCCAGCTCCACTGAGAGAGAGATTTCGGCACTTAGAAGACTTCGATTTTAACATCTGAAACTGGATCGTGCAAATACTTATGTTCTTAATGAAGCGAAAGGGCTCCTCCAAACTCACTTTCAGAACTGATCCTTCTCTGTGATGAAATAAGACTGAAAAATACAAACGTGTTAGCTCTTACACAGCATTTAAAAAAAAAGTGGGGGATATGCTCACCATCTTGCATTTTGTTCTGCTTTTCAGTGGTGTTTTGGTTTAAAACCAGCTCCCTACTTAACTCCTGAAGGAGCTGGAGGTAAACATAAATGCAAATTTAAAAGTTTTGTTCAAGTTTTTTCCACATAAGCAACATTTTATTTTGGTCCTGCAATTAACCAGCACAAACGTGGAAGTTTCTGTAACACGCTATCAGGCATCATCAGAAATGTAACCTGAAGTTATCACTGCTTCAGATGTTCTCCACACCTTTAAAGGGAAACAGTGCTTTTAATGACTTTATGAGGTTTTGGTGTGTAAAAAGACAGCAGTGTTTACATAAAGGCCGGAGCACTGTTATGGACAACCAGGCTCCATACGTGCTTCGCCTGTGCCACTTTGGTAATCTACACTCCTGAAACATTAACCCACTCGACTAATTCCAGGCTGGTAACTCCTCACAGATTCTTTAATGCACCTCAGTCTTGACCTGTAACACTTCAGGAACTGGAACTAGAATCCTCTCTCTGCCAGGCAATGAAACAATCTGGCAAGGTGCTGTTTTCCCACACTTAAACACGAATCCAGGCAGATACATTCATAGGATGGTCCAAAACACCACAGTACATTACAACACACCACAGAATATTACAGTATATGGCATCCTGGTATCACCTGCCCCTTTCTCTGAAGTCACTTTCATAAAGCAAAGGAAAAGCTCAGGTATGGAGGAAGATTTAAATCCTGACGCGGTTTCTTTATACATCCAAGAAGCCAAACATTTTTTTAAATACAAATGCACCACCTCCATGTCTCATAGCACTTTGACACTGCTCCACGAGGAAAAATGCAGCCAACAAAACAGTTTGTTCACTTCAAACGCACTACAGACGTACAAAGTGAGGGTTTTTTTCCCCTCTCTACTGTTATTCACATCCAACTGTATCAAACCTATCAGTTTTCTCTCAAACTACCTATTGTAGAGCAGCAATAAAGAACAAGCAGCCCAACTAGTGATCAAGCACAGCGCCTCTAAAGGAGAAAATTTCCATCCTCAGCCTCTTCGAGAAGCAAATTAATCTCCTTGAGCACTTTAAGCGAATTTATACCTCTCCTGCCCTTTCAGAGCCAGACTTTCAGAGTGCTGAACACGTCCATACCTCACCCCACAGGTACCCCAGGCTGCCATGCACCATCAGCACCCGAGGGGCTGATCAGCATCGGGTTCTTGGTTTACCTGCTAGATACTCTATGACAGCTGCCATGTAAACTGGTGCTCCGACACCTATCCGGTACTTGTACGTTCCTTTCTTCAAGTAGCGCATCATCCTCCCCACGGGGAAAATAACGCCTGCCCTGCTGGAGCGTGACAGTTTGGACATTTTCTTCTTCCCGCTGCGGCCCGACATCTTGCGGCTTTGTGCTTCTCAACGTGCTGGTGATTCTTAGTCCCTTGCTCCAAACCAAAAGCTGTAAGAGAAAAGAAAGAGGACCGATGTTCAGGATATGAGAAACATCTTTATACATCGTTGCCTTGTTCTTCCAGAAGAAAAAACAAACAAAAAAACAAAAAAACAAAAACCACAACAAATCCAGTCTCAACACCTGATAAAATCGAGGCATTATTTATATTCAGACAACTGGAACAGGTGCTATAGCTTTGTTTTGTTTGCTTGTTTTTGACTACCGCACCACCAGTATAGCAATACCACAGAAATACTGCTTGGAGAATTAAAAATAATAATAAAAATCCAGCATACATTAAATGAATCTTTAAAAAGAAACACAACCCAGAAACAACTCTCAGGAAGGCAGACAGCACAGCATGGCAAGTTTCAATGCTGATTTTAAAGTTCAGTGAGTTACAGACAGCTGAGAGCTGGGGTGATGGATAGCAGTAAGCAACATGAAAAGCAGATGTTGACGCCACCTTCACCTGCAACTAGATGAAGCTGTGCTGCTCGCACAGCAGAAGACAAAACCTACCTACAAATACAGCTTCCTCAGAGGTCTTTTATACAGAAAATTTAGCATGTCGGGCTGAAGAGAAGCAGGGAAGCGGCCGTGCTTCAGGCACCTCCCCTCGCACCGCTCGGCCGCAGGAACAGAGCCCCAGGGGGCAGCTCACAGACCTCGTCGCTTTAATAATTCTCTCCGGATCACCTTCACAGTATCTACAGAGGGCTGCAGAAGCCTTCCTCCACGGATCTAAAGGATTAAAGCCTTCCCTTTAATCTCTCATCTCAGAAGGACTGGCTACCATTTTCTCCTGTCCATCCAGCTTTCTCGGGATGGGCTTTTTCTGCGCTGAGAGCCGATCTTGGTACACAAAGAGTAGCTCGAGATGCTCTCCTCTGAAGGCAGCGAGGAGCGCGACTGCCACAGATGGCATTTCTGGTACCGACGGCACAGCTACTTAATTCCCGGCATCCACCCGCCTCGGTGGAACGAGGAAACAAAAGGCAGGAGATGATCTAAAAAGTATTGACAACTTTACGTGATGGAGTAACATTTTTTTTTTTTATAAAATCACAACCTGCATTTTAAAATAGCCACCTGAAAGAAGGCCTTGGGCAGCACTGCAGGCCCTTGGGAACATCAACATTTGTTCGAGGAGGGCACAAAGCTGGGTTTCCTTTGTGATCCTCCAGTGAGGGTCACCTGGCCCCAGCACAGCCCGGCGTCCACAGAAAATGGCTCATCCCTAACAGCCTAATGCCAGGGTGGGTTTCTACGATAATCTAACCGAAACATTGGTTCCACTTACATCAAGGAAATAAACCCACCGCAAGGCCTGCGGGGATGGACAACGCCCTGGTGTCTCCTCGTCCATCAGCCAGATCATTTCTCTTAGTGCCTGCAATACATTATGGGGGCAGAGTAGCCGAAGCTGGGAAGGATTACACCAGTAAACCTATCAGATGTAGGGACATCCAAATTTATGCTGCTCGTCATTCCGTCCTGAGCTCCACAAAAACCGCCAGGCCGGAGTCACAAGTGATGGTAAAAAGCTCATAAACTGCTGCTTATCAGCAGAGATTAGACAGCTAGGGCCACTTCAAACACACCCAAGTGAATCAAAACTTCCATGTAATGGGAATAAAGTGCATTTATGCAGGAGGAATTAGTTGTGTAGGACCAAACAACTGGTGTGCAAAGGCAAGCTCCGTGCCGCGGCCTCCGTGCTTCAGATACGGCACCAAAGGGGGATCCTCGGGAGTGTGATGGGTTGGCCAGAGGCCTGACAGAAAATCTGAACAGAAAGATGAAGTAAGACATAATAATGGTCTTTTGAGACACAAATGACTGCTTCAAAGATGGAAAAGATGGGAAAAGCTCCGTGACAGCATCACTGGAAGGCGGCAGCAGCTCTCCCTCAGCACAGCTTCAGAGGATCTGCCACAAGTCAGCGAGGTACTGACAGGAGGCTCGACAAGGTCATCTCTCGAGGTCCCTCCACTTGACGAAGTTTGCTACTTCTGACAAACCCTGCACAACCTTCCCATTTTATATTGTGCTACCGATTTCCCTTCATAAAGCATCCTTTCCAGCTTGTGGTAACTGACGCTGCAACTAACCAGCAAACATAGGCTGGGGTCTAGGTTTCTAGCCAGGGGAAGAGCAAACTTGTGGATCAGCCTCCTGAGTAACACGAGCTACAGTATCACATTTTAATGTGAAACTTAATAAATGTGTGCACGAGTCTATGATCTGGTTCCTGCTACACCAGGATGGTTTCATCACCCAGCAATTCAGTTCTGCGCTGAGATCCTGACAGAGAGCCACACTGAAGGAGCACACTACAAAGAATCACGCATCTAAATCATATTAAGCAAGCCTCTCATATATTTGCTGTAGTACCAAATCCCAGTTGCTTATAAATCAATGGGAAAAAAAATAAAAAAAGCAAACATCATGAGGCTTGCATCCACAGAAAACACAGCGGTTGTACTTGATCTCTGTGATAGAAAATCAAAACATGTTTGCATAACTAAGCACAGCGCTCCAGGGCACACCGTTACATTATATACACTTGTGGGTATAATTAAACACTTCTGGCTCATTCCTTTGTTGCCTCATTGAACTTCCCACCTTTGTCTCTGTGCCTTTATTCTCTCCTTATCTCCCTCAGCCTCCGCTGTTCTCAGCCATTTTTGCCCCCTGCTGCCAAAGCAACCTTTGGATTCCCAAACGTTTTTCCAAATGCACTGCAGGTACCAGTCCAGGTACATTTGCAGAATTTTGCTTAAGCCTCAGAACAGGAGAAGTTTCAAAACTCTGCTATCATTCTTCCCCTCTTCTTTGCAATGTACATGGACCAGGCTACACATGAAGCATCTGGAAGCTCTGTTCTTGTCTTGTATCCTACAGACGATGATTACTGGTAGAAAACACCAAGCTCTGGCATAATCAAATCTGCTAGAATACAATTAATGTGAACTTGAAAAAAGAAACAGGATATACTATGGCAGTCAGCTACCTATGCCAGATATCTTAGAGAGGCTCAGATGAACATCAGTCCTCACTATCTTGTACAGAAGAGCTACACCTTGTCCACAGTGAGGTCCCAGGGGCCAGGATCATTTCTCCCCCTGGCAGGGACCCGTTTGACCCAGGAGGATGCACACCAACTCATACCTGACGCCACTTACACGATGCACCCACCTGGGCTGCTCCAAAGCTGCCAACAGCAGAAGAGCTACAAGTTGAGCTCTGCTGTTCCTCGTTGTTGTCTACAGGTGATGCTGCTTAAACGTCAAGATCTTATCAGTTGAAAAGCACTCAAGTCTACCCACATTAATTATTGCCAAGCGATGCAATGACTCTGAGTTTGCCCTAACAAACTACAGTCCCCACTGAAAAAACACGACCACGGCACGTACATGAAATCTATCGTCACTGAGTTGGAAAAACTGCGTCTATATCTGGCTACCGTGACATCATGAGGCTTGGGCAATTTAAAGCAATTAGTGCTTCCAATCCCCTAATTGGTCACGGCACACTCCTACTCTTCACAGCTCCACCACCCCTGTGTTGCTATGGGGGATTTAACAGCTACCAGATCTCCTGGAGCTCTCTACAATATGATGAAAATAAGGTAGACTGTTGCAAGCTGGGCCTTGCTCTGGGAATTGCATCTTCCCAAGAGCCCAAGGCAACCAACAACAATTTCCTTTTGCCTGCTGGAAGCAGGGCTCTCCCTGCTCCCAGGCGGATCTGCTTTGGCCACCTGGAGGTTCTGCCACTGCCCACCCCACCACGGTTACCTGCAGAGGGCAAGCACCAGACTGCCCTATGATTTGCATCCCACATATCGAGGTTTACCAAAACAACCTTAAAACCACTTTCCAGCCCTTCCTACATCGATGCGCAGAAGTACAAAACCACATAGTGACATTTCGGTGGTGAGACCTCCAATACTATTGAAAAAACACACGGACCCAAAACCAGATTGTGATGTGCAAGTGAGCATGGAGTGGAAAAGCTGGGCAGGAAGCAAGCTCAGAGATCAACAGGTTCAGAGATTTACAGGTCAGGATCTGGCAAGAAAGCATGGGTGCCCTCCAGGTAGCTCAGTGCACTACCAAATGCCTACAACAAAACAACTGATTTTTTGTTTATGCTGAACAGCTGTTAGGCAAAACAAAGACAAGATTTTTAATAGTTGATCAAAAAGTATCTAGATCGGAAACTGCTTGTTGGAGCCCAAAGCAGAAGCTGTTTCTTGCACGTGATGTTAGCAGCCTGATGGAGGGGACAGAAGCCAAGGCGCCCTCCTGCTCCCTCAGGTCCCTTCTGGCACCAGTTCAGACAAGCTCCCCAGACCAACCAAGGTAAACTGTCTAATTTTTTCTCTCAGAAAGAAAACTGATAGAAAACAAAGAAAAGAAAGCTTTGTCTGTGCAATGCAGAACAAAAGCGCTGCAACACGGGTGGAGAACAGCAACCTCCAGCTGCTCCTCTTCACATCCCTGACCAAACGCAAGGCAGGATAACACCTACACCAGGTATGAAGCACACGCTAGCGACTATCACCAAGCATCTGAGAAATAATCGGGTAAAGCCCTGGTCAGATTAACCCAGGCGCTATATAAACAGCGCATATACAGCCAGCAGGCTATATACACCGTTGTCCTGCTGGGTTTTCGAGGTGGCAGAGACACCCCTGCAGCACAAGGAGCCCAGGGGCACTGGGGCAGGATTTGGGGCAGGATTTGGGGCAGGATTTGGGGTGGGGAGTTTTGGCAGCAGGCGCTCAGCAGGGAGCTGCCCCCACAGCCCTGCGGCTTTGACACGGGGCTGCTGAGCGGCGTTTTGGGGCGTGTGCGTGAGCCGTACGCTTGTGCTGGGCACCCACGGGCTTTGCCTTCCACAAATTATAACTTTTATTCGGAAAATTAAAGGTGAAATGTGTTGGGGGGGGACAGGGGACGGGACCCGCGGCCCCTGAGGGGAGGCGGCAGCAGGGCCGTGTGCACGCGCAACGCCGCGCGGTTGCCATGGCGACGCCCGCCCCGCCCCTCCCTCCCCTCCCTCTCCCCGCGGGCGCTGAGGCGAGGCGGCCGCCGATTGGCTGCGAGCGCGCGCCCCGCGCAGGCGCCCTGCGGCGGCGAGCGGCGAGCGGAGGGGAGGGGGCGAGCGGGGAGGGGGGGGGGCGGAGTGGCCGCGGCTTTCCCGCGCAAACCCCCCCCCTGCCCCTCCCCCCCTCCCGTCAGCGGCCGGAGCCTCCGTGAGGGGGCGGCGGCGGGGGGCGCGCACCCCCCTCCCGCCCCCTTTAAACCCCTTAAACCCCCTTCAAACCCCCTTAAACCCCCTCAGAGCCCTCCCTAAGACTCCCCTCAACCCCCTCACCCCCCTCAGACCCCCTCACCCGCCCAAAATCCCCTCACACCCCCCCCCCAAACCCCCTCCCCCCCCCTCCATCCCCTCACGGCCGCTGAGGGGAGCGCTCCCCCCCCCCTCACCCCCCCCCCCCCTCACCGCCCGCTCCTCACCTGCCGGTGCTTCCTCACCGCCTCCTCCTCCTCCTCGGGGCCCCTCTCCCCTCTCTCTGCCCTCGCAGCCGCCGCTCGCCCTCGCCTCCTTTCCCCCCCCCCACCCCGACCCCGACCCCGGGCCCGCTCGCCCCGCCTCAGCCGCCGGCTCCCGTCTGCTACGTGAGGAGGGCGATGGCGGCGGCGGCTGCTCCCGCTCCTGCTCCCGAGGGGGGCGGCAGGGCTTCCCTCCCGCTCCGCTACACCGCCTCTAGGAGGAGTCACCGGCCTGCTGCAAGCCCCCTGCGGCTGCCGCCCTCCTTGCCCGGGGGGGAAGGGGCCGGCGGCGGCGGGGAGCCCCCAGCCGAGCCCCCCCCATGGAGGTGAGCCCGGTGCCGGTGTGCCCGGCCCCACAAAGAAGGGGGGGGGGGGGGGGCGGCTCTTTGTGTCTTGCGGCCTGCTCAGCCTCCTCCCCGGCCGCCCCTGGGCTTTGTAGCCCGGCCACGAGGGCTGCCAAGTTGCTTTCTGCCTCAGGCAGGGCTAAGCATCGGCCCGAGTTTCTCTCACCTTTTTATCCTCACACGCCTCGCATCGCTGCGCTGCTTCCCCTGGCTCCGAGGCTGCTGTGAGGCGGCCTTAACCCAGCCGGCTCCAGCTCGCACACGGCGTTGTGCTGGGAGGGTGGCTGGGAACAACAGAGCAGGAGGATAAAGAGGCGTCCATGCTCTCAGCCTGCCCTTTGTTGCTGCGAAAACCACCAAGGTTCACCGGCTTCCCGGAGTTTGTGGCTGGCCCTGTCAAAAAGAAACTTTTGTGCCCGTGTAGAATCGCATTCGGTAGGGGAAAAAAAAATGTTGAAGTGTTCCTTCAGATTATATTCATTGTGGACCACACCATCTCCCAGAGAAAGAGGGCGTGAGTGGCGGCAACCTAGGGTTTTCCCTGTGAGCACAGGCACTAACAACAGCTGTATTTTGACATGCTTTAAAAGGGAAATAAAGACACTCCTCGTCTTTTTCAGCAAGTTGCCCAACAAGATCCCCATATCCCCAGTTTCATGCTTTGGAGCCTTCTCTTCCCCCTCCTTCGGCCCAGAATTTTTCTGATGTGCTATGAGGAGCGATTCCTCGTCGCAGCCTTGCCTCTATGGGCTTTCCTTTCTCCTTTGTGGCCATCTGCCTTTACAAAACTTCCAGGACAGAAGTACTTGAGGTGTGAACCCCTGGGCCAGATTTAGATGAAACTGGCCACAGATTTGCTGGATCAGTGTACGGGGGATGTGCAGACCAGCAATGAGATAGCAGAAGTTTGTTTTTGTAAATGAGGTCAAAATGCTTTGAAACCCCAGGGAAAAAAAAAAAAAAAAAAGAAAAAAAAAACAAACAACAACCAAACAAAAACCCTTGCATTTAAATTATTTTACAGAAAAGGGGAAGTCTTCATTGGATCTCATCTGTTAATACTTTGAACGTAGCAAAGGGAAAGATACCTATAGAGTTTTAAGTGTAGTGAACCATTAATAGCTTTTGGGGAGGGTAGGGGGAACAGAAGATTTTCAAACACAAAGCATAAAACCAAAAGAATGTAAAACCCATGTGAAGGAGGAGGAGGAACATTTGTGTTTTTCTATTTCAAGATAGGAATAATTGCATCCAATAACGCTCACAACCATGCATGTGGCGCGTAGCTTTGTTATTAAAAATAATTTGAGACAAAATAAGCATCACATATTTTTGAAAACATTCCCAGTTTGTTGCAGATTAACAAATAGTTGCTGTGTGATAACAACACAAAAGCGTGGGAGGTCTACAAAGAAAAAAACATTTATGCCTTCTGCTTTAGGCAAACTTTCAACACTTGGAAAACTCATTCTATTTACAAAACAAAACAAAACACCACAACTTTTTCTGTTTGTACACAGCCTTCTCATTACCTGCAGGCATGTTGTCAGGTCCACCACATGGGTACGTGCCTTTTTGATGGCTTCGAGGAAGTAAAACATTGTCAACGTGGGGCTCCTGCATGTTTTCCTTTTGTGGTATAATGTGGCTATCAGATGCCAGTCCTAGAAGAGGCATAGCTCCTCTGGGTGCACAGGGCTGTGGCCTCCTCATGCAGCTTTTGCCTTCCCTAAAATAACAATCTAATTTCTGTTTCTTCTTTATCACCCACGGCAGGTTGTTCCCGTTTTCTGCAGCAGCAGCCAGGTGTCCCAGCAGCCGTCGTGTCCCCGCACAAGTCGCCACGCCACCGGCAGCAGAGCAGGTACTCTGGAGTTGGGCTTTCCTGTTTTGCAGCGGCTTTCTGCTATTGCTCACGTTATTTCTGTGGGGAGCGTGGTCTGGGAGGGGGTTCTGTGTCCAGGGAAGCAGCACCAGCACAGAGAAGACCCGTGTGCTCAGTGAGCCGTGCGTGCAGGGCCTCAGAAGCAGCCGTCAACTCACAAGCCACGATGCAGACCAGCAAGGATGGAGAGCTACCACCCGGTAGCTTTCAGAACCACCTTTTTTAGAGCAGCAGAGACACACACATTTTCTTCCCAGCTCTGGGCTCGGTGTTGAACGCTGAGGCTGCACGGGAACGGGGTGAGCAGGAGGTCCCTTACTCTGCTCAACAAGGCCTCTGTGGCAGAGGGCACCTTCGCCATCATGGTAGGCAGGGGATGAGCCCAAGGTTTTTGGTCACAACAGCTTTACGTCCTGGTCTGTCAGATCAACTTGTTCAGGGAAAGATCACATATAAGTCACATTCCTCAAATGGAAAACTTCCAGAGCTGGATTAAGCGGGAGCTTCCCCCTGCCATCAACAGGAGCGGAGTCTGCCCTCGCTAGGTTGTGCAGAGACCATCTGCCAGTTGCCTTCCCAGTGCAAATACAATCTGTTCCTTTGTCAAAATAAACAACATAGCTATTGACAGAGCAGTTATAGACTGCCGCCTGCCTAACTCACCAGCGAGTGGAATAACAGCCTGTTTATGGCACTTTCACTTTTGGGCAGAAGCTGTTAGATCTCAAACATTGCAATGAATATTTCATAGCGCCAGAACCAGGAGATACGGCTTCACTCTTGCTTAGGCTGGCAGGCATCCAGGGTTGGCCTGGCAGTACAGTAATGTCAAGCACTCCAAAAGCTCTTAGTGCCCTGTGTAATCCAGGAGTTTCATCAAAGCAGTACCAGTGTTGTCATGTTTTTAGGACAGCCTAACACAGTAAAAGTTGGTCTGCGTACATTATGGCAGTAGACAACAGATGTAGTAATAGAGTTCCGTAAATAATCCGTATTTCTGTTACGACTTTTCCACATTTTGAGCCATTTCTGAATCCCCCAAACACACCCTCCATAGCGTTTACAGCTTTAATATGCTGCAAGCATATTATGCTTTATGCACAGCAAGCTCTTCTTAAAGGAAGTGCAAAAACTAAACTTTTTTTTTGAACTCTTATTGCAGTATTAGTGTAAAACCAGGCTGTGGCATATACTTCATAATTAAACTGTTTCTGTGCCCGTCAGGTTCCGGCATGGTGTTTAAGGCAGACTGGTGGTTAGGATATCTTCAAAAAAAGTTGCAAACTAGCTCAGGCATAAGCAAAAAGAAGAGAGAAGCTTTTCCTGCCTAAGCACCCATTCTAAAAGCTAAATGCTGCTTATCAGAGGGGAAAAAAAAAGTATTTTTCATCCTTGTTATTTATCATTAAACACATTAGATGCAGTCTGCAGAGATAATTGTCTTGACTCAATTAGTCATATAAGTAAAAATATTTAGTAGGAATATTCAAATAGTTATGGTTACTCCTGATAATTACGTCTCTTGTCAAATTGAGATTTACTAAAATCTTTCAGAATTAGAGAAAAAAGAATAAAGGAACAAAAAGGGGAAAATAACACTATGTTCTTTAGTGTAGATAAAACCCGTTCGGGTTTTGTCCCCACAGCTCAGAAACAATAGCCAGAAAGGGGCGAGGTGTACAGAGAAGTGGCACGGTGATCACACAGATGGGGTGACTTCTCTGAATAATTAAACAGGTTGGGACTTCTAGCTAAGACAGCTATGGACACTTTCTTTTGCTTTGTGTCCCTGTACCTCCAAAGGAAACTATCTTTGCTGTTAATAAATAAAACCCTATTTCAGTCTCTGAGCTTAAGCAAAACTGGATTGATGGAATGGTAAGTTTGCGATGCGTTTGGCTCCAGATTCAGACAATAACCAAACACTGCCAATCCCAATCTAGAAGGCAGAAAAGCCTCTCTCTCTGTAACACACAAGTTTCTTGAAGCAAACTACAACAGCGTGCTTACGCTTTTACCACAGCAGGGTTTTTCAGGGATGCCTGGAGAGATGCAGAGAGCAACACACCCCAGCAGGCACCCAGGGACTTCTTCTGTAAGGGTATTGTGGTCCTGCCGTTTGTGGAACTTTGCTTTTTGTTGGAGGAGCAGGGGTGTAGCACTTCATCAGCTCACTGTTTGATCAAGTCACTCCACTATTCATCACATCAGATCTGTGCTTCGGGATGCTTTCTTAGCAAACTGCCACAGCTCATGGAAAACTAGATTCTTTATCTCATTCCTCACAATCTTTGGTAGTTGTTTCTGATTCGTTGTTCTCATGCTAGTAAAAATATTTGTCTCTTTGCACTTACCCCCTTTGGTATGATTTGGAGCTGTGATAGATATTCCCTTTCTCCTCTGGTGACATTTACAAGCCTGGTGTCTTCCTGCACGGGACCAGTATGCTCTGAGCTTTTCTCAGAGAAACTTCAAAGGACATAACAGCACTGTGCATTCATCAACTTTCATAACTGCAGCTCAATTTGATTTAAAATAGCCAGTTTAAATCATAAATCAACTTTTTATTTTTCCCTACAGAGCCTTCAGGTGAAAAAAGTATCTCAAACCTGATCTATAAATGGAAATATATAGAAAGGCTTCATTTGGGTCACTTGTTTGTAAGGAGCAGAATGCAGCTAACCTCCAAAACACTTATTTATTGCACAAGTGCAAAATTTACTGCTCTCCTGAGGTATAGCGATTATACTTGCAGGAGCAGGAAAACCAGAAGTGACCTTAGAGCCCCAAGAAATGATGGGAATCATAGGTTCCTGATGCATTTTCCTCTCCAAGTTGAAGCATCATAATGTGCTCTTTTTTTTTTTTTTCCCCTTTTTCTGTGTAGCTTAGTTCATGAGTCCCTGTTAACCACCCAGATCCTTGAGGATTTTGCCTCGTGATCCAGGGCTCATCACAGCTAAACCCAGAGGAGCTCAGGAGCGAGGCACTTAGTTTGGCTGCCTAACAGCTCAAGAGCTAAAGGTTTTTCAGCAAATCACTTTCCTCTCAAGGAAACACCACTGTGTCCATGGGCTCTTTCCCTCTGTGTTAATGCAGAGAGAAAGCCAGGAGGAGCAGAGATTGATTCCTGCAGCTGCCCGTTTCTCTCTTTTCACTGAGAAGGGAGCTGAGAGGACCTTACTCCAAGGCAGGCGCCTGATTTTCACGTCTGGAGTTAGAGGAGGTAAACGTATCAGGGGCATGGTGTGATGATCATGATGGCTGTCACAGCATTTGAGGCCAGTGACACCTTCCCTCTTGTTACCATGCCAAAACCAAGCCGCCAGGCCAGGTGCTGCTAGCCCCAAACCATCAGCCAAAGGCTCGGTCATTTGGGTTTTTGGTTGTTTGTTCCCCCCCAGTTAGGGATTCATAGAAGCTGATCAGATGTTTCATTTTAGGCCAGATCCCTTACACAACAGCTTTTGGGTTCTGAGCCTGCTATTTTGTGTTTTAAGAAAGAGCTCCGATAAGGCTGGTCAGGGGTCTCTGGTGTCCAGTAACAGAGCTCAGCTGATATTGCTGCCTTTGCCTTAGCACAGGCACTAAGTCGGGCTGTGTCCTCTGTCCAGCTGTTTCCACCAGGTTGGTGAGAACATTTTTGAGACTTTTGTCCCCCTGCCGAATGGGTTGAGATGTGCCACCTAGTGCCACGGTTCCTGGGGTGACTGGCGAACAGCAGATGGCGTCCTCTCCTTAGGATCTTAATCTGAACGCCACCCCCAAGTGCAAAGAGGGGCCACCAATTTCTGGTGCGTGATTTGCATTGGCTGGCGTTTAAAAAGAGACAGAAACTTTGTGTAAGTAAACAGGAGTTTTTATAAAATGGAAAAGTATGTACATCAGACGTAACAAATGCAGATCGCACTGGAATATTATGGCACACATTAAAATAGAAACCTCATTAAAACATTGACACCACGGAGTAAAGCTTCAACGCAAGGCACAGGGAATTCACCAGACTCCTCTTGGAAAATGATGGGACGACACACCAAACAGGGCGGTCTGCTGAACACCACAACAACCATCCAGCCCAAGACGTTTTCTGTTACCTCCTGCCTGGTTTTCCAGCAGTCCGTTCCCCAAACTAACTTCCTCCTGGAATCCCCCAGCTTTATCCTGATGCGGTGAATAGGCTAAGGCATTTAAAACACCAACACTCAGCTCTCACATAGCGATTTTCCTCGTAATATAAAACAGCACCTCAGAATAAGATAAGTATTATTTTCTTTATCTGATAACTTGGTACACGGTGATTAAGTATATAAAATTTCCATCACTTGCAAGAAAGTAGAAATGCTATAAAGGCACTATAATTAAGCTGTAGGTTACTTTTTTGTAACTGAATCTCATTTATCGCTGAGCAATCAGTCAGCAAGTTAAGCACACACCTACTCTTAAGGACAGGCATGGCTCCTCTGAAACCATTCAGTTAATGGATGCGAAGTGGGGAACTGAGGCACAGTTCTGGTTCTGACAAAAATCATAGGCTAGTTGTCGTTCATACTGATGGAAGTCGTTTAAGTGAATCCCTTTTCTCATGTTAAATATTTCATCTGTTAAATATCTTTTAAGTTCTAAATCACACAAATATTTTGCTTATAAAATAGTGTAAAAATACAAAGAAAGAAAAACTAAATTATTTTAAGTTCCGTTATGATCAGTTAACTCCTTATGCCATAGCTCAGAGTGTAACCCTACAAAACAGTACCTCTGCTTTTCTAAAATAAGGTTAGAAACGCTCAACATGGAATTCAGAATTTCCAGGTTTAAAAGACAAAACAAATCAAAGTTCTCCTATTACCAAGGAAGAAGTAGAAAAGAGAAAGCAAATGCTTGTTTTGGCTGAAGAAGCTCCTACAGAGGCTGGAAAGATGAGAAAGAACAGCCCTTTGTTCTCTTCATTCCAGCAATTATTTAGTGGGGAATTTTCTTACAGGCCAAGAAATTTTGAGTAGCTGAACTACGTCAAAAGGAGTTGAAATAGTGTCTCAGAATCAGCACATTGACAATAACAATTGCTGGTAATACAAAAGAACATTACAGCACTTACATTCGTGAAAGCCAAACAACATTGGATATTTAATATCAATCAGAGTTCAATATAACCAATGTAAAAAGTGTATACAGGCTTAAATGCCTCCGTCAATCAGTGTTTATAGGCGACACACAGAAACAATGCCCTGTTGATATTTACCCATAACTCAGCACTTTACTACAGCTACGTTAAATATTGTACATTCTATGCCACCAAAAAAAAAATAAATAAAATAGAGTCTCTCTTGTAAAATTCAAGAAAACCAGATAGGTTACAAATTGCTTCAGCAATCCTTCTCCTGCAGGGATTAGTGAATTAACGCCTGCCTGACATTGGCCGACAAGCAGACCTTTGGCAGAAAGCATCTCCAGCATCAAAGAATTTGGTGTCCAGATTAGAGGAAGCTGAGAAACATACAGTGCCAATGACACAAATGCTCCAGGTGTGGGAAAATGACACCAGGGAGGTGTTTTGCTGGGCTCTGAGTACCAAGGGGAGATCCACTTGACACAACTTTCTTGGCAGAGCTCGTAAACAGGGATGGAGAAACCCAGTGAGGAAGCCCTTGGCCACACATAGCGAGCTGGGGAGCAGAGAGCACCACCTCTGCACGGCACTGCTCTGCGCTGGCTGCATTTGGCACATATCACCATCAAAGGTGTGCTTCTAAAGCACATCCCCTGCCTGTGCTCTCACACTCTGCCTTGGCTCCCAGCACAGAACCGTCGAGCCCGTGGCATCTGCAGGCTCTCCCTGTAAACCAGCAGCTCCCCTCCCATCACTCTGCTGCTGAGCATCTGGAGTCAATTTTGCATCGTTAAGCCTGAGAATTCCGTGGAGCCAGGCCATTCCCCAGCATCAAAGGGATGCTCAAGCCTCCTTAACAGGGCGGGGGGATGCAACAGCTACGTTCTGCCCCGATTTACCCCAGCTCTCAATGAAATGCTTCTGAGGAAGCGTGTCATCTCAAAAACTTGCCAAGGTGGTGAGGCTGATCGGTCTGCAGCTCGAGCACAACACCCGGGTAAAAGCAAACCCTTGCAGGAGAGCAGAGGGGAAGATTTACTGAAGCAACGTTTTGAAACATTACTGGGAGAGAACAATGGAATTATCACAAAATGGAATTTCACACGCCCCACAAATCCCCGCCAGGGACAATGGATTGACAAACAGCCTGCAAGAGAAAGCAAGAACACCAGATCCTTTCCATCAGTTTCACAACTGACCCTCTTGCACCTACCACCACCACGTCTAGCCTACTACACTCAGCATGTGACAGCAGTTAAAGCCATGTCTTGCAGCAAAAAAAAAGTCTAGCAAGATTTTCTTAAACAAAACAACCCCTCTAATATTTGTACTAATTCTGTTTGTAAAAAACACTTCTTTATTTGATAACTTCAGCAAGCAAATAACCATAAGAAAGCTACGAAGCTAAACTGGTCTTGCCACGTAGCTTTTTAAACAGTAGAAGCTTTACAGTCAACTCCAAAAACTTCATAGATATCTACAGTCTTAATTTGTGTTTTGCTGTGATTTTTTTCCATTGGATCCAGGTGTTGGACAATGAAGGGCTACAGGAAAGGAGGAAGCAGTGCAGGAAGGATAGATAAATGAGTGGGAAAATGATCAAACTGTGACCAACAGGGATTTTCTGAAAATGCAGAAAAGAAAGTCCTTGTCCCTGACCAAACGGGTACATCTGGAAACAATAGGGACAAAAACAAGGGAAAAACAAAGATGTGTAAAAGAAACAGAGGCTCTCACCCAGCCCAGCATTTGCAGGCGTGTTCGATGTGGAGCAAAGGCCGAAGATGAGCTGAGTGTAAGTGCACTGCTGGGGCTAGAGGAGGGAAAATAATGAGAGATGACGATACTGTGGCAGGTAACAACCAGGAGCTTGCTGTTTTCAAGCAAGCAGCTTTTGAGCTGCTAGCTCAGAACCACCTCCTAGCGAAGTCTTCTTCAGGCTGCAGAATGCTCCTGAAGAGGGCACAGCGACCCTTGCCAGACTCCCTTCCAAATGACAGAGCATATGAAATCGAAAGAGACCGTCTTTAATCAACCGGTCCTTCGCGCAGCCCTTTTGGATTCTGTAAGTGGAGTTTTGGAGAGACCGTTTTGTCTGGGAGAGGTCACTGGTACCTGGTCCCTAGGCACAGCCTGTGGGGATGCAGTCTGTCCCCACTGAAAACTGGTTTGCCTATGGAGAGCACCATCCTTATTCTTGGACTTTGGGAGAAAAAACAACACGCTAGGAATGTCCTTGGGACATCTCAAGTCAGAAACTTTTACAGACTTATTCCAACAGCTCATCAAAAATATATTTAAAAGGAAACACTAGAAAAGAGCAAACAAATTGCCCCCAAAATATCATTAGTAAAAAGAAATGTAGAAGTAGCATTATCAAACTATATACATAATTGTTTTTTTTTTTTATTAAAAAAAGAAGAAAAAAACACACCTACCGCCTGCAGTTCTGGTCAGGTTCTGCCCTTCTCCCCCCACCCTCCAAAGAAATAAAAAATAAGAACTACAAATAAAACAGATTAACCCTTTCACCAGCCAGGCTCCTAACTGAAACAATTTATTCCCCTACTACTGTGCTTACTGAATGCATTTGTTCAGAAAAAAAAAATCACAACGGGTGTTCTTTAGATCAGACTCAAAGTAGAACTTTTCCCCTGCTCCTTTTAAGCCTTGAATTACGTTAGAAGTGTACTTTTTATGCAGTGGACGAAAAGGGCTGGCTGCGGGGTGCAGATGTCCTTCTCAGAAGGTCAGGACTATTCCAGCTGAGTGGACGAAGCTGTCTGAGCCAAGGTTATTGCGTTCTGGGGCTCGCTCAGATCTATTAAACATCACTTTGAACTTGAAATCAGCTCCTTCTCTCTGAAGCAGCATGAATTGCTTGTCATTTAGTTCTGCCTAATGCTTTAGATACCATTCATCAACTCTAGTAATAATGGCCCCGATTCACCAGAGCACTTAAATATGCAAATAGTATCATTTAGGCCAATGGCAATCACACACTCGAAGTCAAATGTGTGTTTTAGTGCTTGGACAAATGGGATTCCCAATGTACTCAACGAAAAAGAAGTGTTATGAGTCATGTTCACAAAGTTATGCACTTAGTCTTCATTTTAGCCTTTTTAGTGTATCGGAAGAGCTCTGGTGAAAGACCCTACAACGTTCGTGTGAACGGGATTTAACCTTCAGCAGTGGGAACTGACAGCAGGTTTGTGTGGCAGTTGGTATGAGGTGCCCACAGTTGCATGTCCTGACCTTCAGGTAGCTGGGAAACGTCCTCTGCGCCCCTCAGCACCTTGCCAAATCTTTATCTCCTTTCAGTAAATGTATTGGAACATGTGACAGTGGGATTTGACCCTTGTGGTCCTTATTTTCCATCTGGAAGTACATCTGTTGAAAGGTACCCACAAAAAGGGCCTTAATAGGACAGCAAAATACTACTTCTGGAGGGCTCCAGACAAAAAAACCATCCAGTGTGTGTGGTGGAGACCAAACAGAAGCACAGGAAGCAAAGGAACTGTCCAGTGAAACCAGGTTTTATCCATCCTTCACATTTTCCTTCTCTGACAAGATATTTCACACCTTCAGTACCTTTCCCCTTTGCAGCAAAAGGCTTTGTTCCTTTCTAATTTACCAGGAGATAAAAAGTTTGTGATGAAAAGGTTAAGGATGGAATCATCAAAGATACAGGTGGAAGTTTGTCATCTGGGAACCAGATAGGGTAGGAAAAGGTTTTCTCGTGTCCTCGGAGCAGCACTCTGAACTGAGCACGCGCAGCTTGACTGGCTTTCCTACAGAAAACATTCCAGAAGGATTTCTTTCTTGGATCAAAGGATCCCCCCACTGAAATTGTTTATGTCTTGCGCTCATTTATACAGCAGCTGCTGGAAAACGAGCCCAGTTCTTCATCTGAAGAGCCTGACCACAATAATAGACTGAAGTGAAAATGACCAAAGAAAGAGAACACAAACGGTGTCATTTCCAAACTCTGCCACTGGCCTCTGGGAGAAGGCCGAAAGCAAAGCAAGAAGTGCCGGCACGCTGAGCTCCCGCGGCCCCAGCAGGCCTTATCTGGGCACAGACTCCGACACGGTTGAAGAACTCTTCCCAAGCTCCAGGGAGGGAACTTGCAAAGCATCTCCAGCACATCTTCAGGAAGGTCCTTCTTCTCCTCTCGTTTTGCTGTCGTTTCCCAAACTTCTCCACCCTCGTTTCTCTCACTTTTTAGCTATCAGCCAAGGAGTTTGACCCTTGAAGGGGCAGACAAACAATTTCACATGAAACGGGCCAGCTGGAAAAACAGCGCTCAGCAGTGACAACGACCTGGTCCCTGGTTTCAGCAGGGAGAGGCCCTGAAACCAAATCACTGGATTTGGAGCAGCACAAGCCCAGCCTCTGCTAGGCGGGTTTTTCTTGAAATGCAAGGCAGGTACAGTTGGGTAGAGCAGCTGATCGGTACAATTCCCCTCTGACTCACAGCCTCAGGTTGACCCGAAGCGGCTGGGGGAGATCTCTGTACCCGCAACCTACAGCGGTTTCAGATTTTATGACTACGAGGGGCTATCTACTTCAGATAAGAAACAAAAAACATTTTTTTGCCAAGGTATAAAAGGGGCTACTGCTTTTCAAGCTGAAATAGAAATTAAATGAGTTTTCTCCTCTGAAACATCAGTCTCAAAAAAAAAAAACACTTTAAAATACTTTTTGCTGAACTAATTCCAGCTTTTAAGGGAACCCAAAAGGAAGCCTTGGGAAGTCATAAATTGTGCTGCCCACAATAAACACCTCAGAGCCCAGCAGTGCATGTGAAGACAAACCAAGGCTATGAACAGAACCATTTGAGACAGAGAAGAGGAAGGTAATAGGGACGAGCAGGCGAGCTGCTGCCATGTACACGTGCATGTAGGGGGCACGCATCTCTGCTGACAGGGAGTAGCTGAGTCGCACAGAAGGGGTAACACCAAAGTCTCCCAGGGTCTGCCCTGGATAACTCAGGAACTGCTGACGGAGGAGTTATGCTGGGGCAAAGCTGGAGGTAGGGACATCAAATCAAGCCCTTTTGGTCAGACTCCTCCCTTGCATTTCGCTGATACAAGTCAGGTACTTTTAAAAGTTGCGGCAGTTGTATTTCAGGGTCCCCTCTGCCTCAGGCAAAAGCTTTCTCTCTCACAAACATATCCCTAAAAACCAGCCCAAGAAACCAAAACAGGCAGAGACTCCTAGAGGAGCCTTCAGCAGCTGCGTTAAGACAACACAATACACACGTGCTTCTTTTACTTTCAGATGAGGCAAACCCAAGCAAAGTCCCATGCAGCACAGTCACAAGGGCTACAAAACAAAAACACACCACAGACAGCAAAGGGAACAAGAAGTATTGGCGGGTTCCTCCATGGACCTATCAGTTTTTGGTAGTTAACTACAGCCAGCTTTTTGAGAAAGGACTGAAGCATTCAAACCACCTACCTTGTGAGCCACGTGCTACAAGAGCAGAGAAGAAACTCCCTGCTGCCACCACCATCGCTTTTCAAAACCAGCACTGTAGCTGGGGGGGCTTTTATTGCTTTGTGTTCAACAGGTGTGTAACTAAAACACCAGAGCTGTGTGGCATCCTTGCTTAAATGAGGACTGTTCTTGGCTGAGCTTCACAGCTGCAGAGCTTTGTACCAACAAGCTGGGTCTTAAATCAGTGAGAGACCTCACTGAGAACACAAATGAGAATCCCTCAGTGCTCTGCAGTTCGTTTTCTTTCGCTGCCGTGTCAGCTCCAGTACCCCTGGCATCTCATGACAACATCACGGCATGGAAAAGTTTCACCCACAGCACAGTGTTGGCATAAGAAGAAATGTTTGTGAAGATCACAAATTAGTCTAGGTTGAAAGTTACAGGGAGCTTCCTGACTGCGAGAGCAATCTGAGCGGGGAGCAGCCTGTAGGCACGGGATGCGGGGGGTAGAAACCTCACTGCTTTTTAGCTGAAGCTCGAAACGTTTCTGGCAGGGCGAGGTGACAAACGGCTTTCAGTCAGACAGGGGCTGGGCTCTGCTCCTGGGGGCCTTTTCTTCTGCACACCAGAGGGGCACGAACCCTGTGGTCGTGGTGCTCTGTGGGGCGTGCAGGCAGCTGGCACACAACCAGCTCGCAGCTTGAAGCCAGCTGAGGAGCGAGCGCAGGAGGTGCTCATCATCACTTCAGCTGGCACAGCCAGGAGAGGCAGCTGGGGGCACAGCCTGTGGTTCCTGAACCATGGGGGTAAAAACCAGACAGCAGCAGCGTGAGGGTACCGATAGGAGGATTTTTAAGTACTGAAAGCAGCTCTGCATCCCCCTGGAAGCCCCAGGGTGCAACCTGCCCTTCACCCTTTGTGAACAACCAAGGAAAGCGGATGTGTTTTAGGGAACAGATTTAGACTTCCACTCTTTTGCTAATTTTGTAAGAAAAGCACTCTGTGATGTTCCTTAATCTGATGATGTGTTTTTTTTCTTGTTGGGTAACAAGCTTGAGACACTAACAGTGGCAGGACAGGAAGGGTAATTAGGGTGGACAAACACAGGTTAGGACACGCTGCAAATTTGCATGCGGCTTTGGTTAGCATTAAAGGAGCCACAGGGCTCGGTTTATCTCATAACCATTCATCAGGGTATCATCGAGGTACCTGCCATCTGCTTAATTGTAAACGAAGCTTTAATCAGGCTAGTTGCAGGCCTACAACTCAGAAAGATGTCTGAATTCCTGAACTGTGGTGTGAGGGGTAATCTAGAGGCAGGAGACCGAGAGGCTCTTCATACACACTGGGTCTGCAGCTCATGGGGACGCTTCCCTTTCTGCGCAGCCCCAGGGGCTGGCACAGGCTGTGCTTGGCTACCTGAGTGTGGTGCTGACACGTGGCTTCCTCCAGAATTATCAGGGAAGCTCAAAGTTCCCAGTGTACAGGGGCTGTCGTGAATCTTGGCCGCAACACCCTTATTTAACCCCCAAAACCCTGTGCATGCGCCTCTTTAGGAAAAATATGCAATACTCAGAGATACTCTTGAATGATTCCAGCTTGAAAAATGAAAACAGCCTTTGAATCTATACAGGGCAGCTGCCGTGGGCGCTTTTAATGCAATAATTTATTAAGTTCCTATATTCATCATGTGTGCACAAGTATCATGTAAATATTACAGCTGTACTCCATGACAAAACAAGCGTAAAGCAGACACAGAATTATACAGAGAACCGACAAACGGGGAAGAAGGGAGATGTAGTATTTTCTGTACAAAAAATATGCAGCTTCTTGATAATTTGTAAAAATGCATTAACTTTTGGCATTTCAGAGAAGAACACTGTATAAAAATAAATATTCTATGTAAAATAACACACACAGGCCAGTCCAGGGTTAGAATCATCACTGCAAAAGAAAACAAACGGGCGTTAGTGGCGGTTCAACAACAGCAGGACAGAGGGACAGCAGGACAGAGGGACAACAGGAGGGAAGCTGGCTCCAGCATCTGCTCCAGGAAGAAGCGGGTGCTGGATCTCAGCAGGAACCCTTCGTGCTCTCCTGGAAGCAAGGCCAGGAGCTGTGGTCCACGCTGCTCTGTACCTCCGCCCTCTCCAACCACTCTTGTGCTCTGAGTTACAGCACGCAGCGGGTCACGGAGCGGGGCCAGACCCTGGGGAGCAGCAGAGGCGTTTAGGGGAGCCTCCAAAGGGAGCTCCTGAGGTGGGCGAGCCAGCAGAAACATGGCGAGAGCGGAGGCACCGGCATTTACACGCTGCTGCTAGCGGCAGCGCCTGCCCCAACAGCAGGGCTATCGCTGCGCAGGTGCTGGAGCACTTCAAGGCCAGCCAGCTTACAGGCCATAAACCCAACGCTACCCAACGCTCTCCTTTTTAGCCCATAAAATCGACCAGCATACAAACAAGAGTTTTGCTTGCTGCTTTTCAGAGGTTTGGTGCTGGAAATCCCACGCGTGCCTCCACACCTATTTTGCTCATAGAAAAATCAGCGGGACCCGCAGCGCGGCCAGCTCAGCACAGCCACAACAGCGCCAGGGTTATTTTACCTTGTTCCAGCAGCCTTGAACCGGGAGGCCGTCTTCTCCCTGCAAAAGGGATGGGTGAAAGAGCAGGTTAGGATGTGGCAAGTCGTGCAGAGAATGCGAGAAGAAGGAACAGGCGAACTGTTACAGCTGCAACAAACAGCCCGAAGCGGGGCTGGAGGAATAGTCTGACAGATATTCCTCCCCCCTCTGCAGCGACCCAGCCCTGGGGCCAAGCCCAGCTGGAAGCAAGGAGGCAAGTGGCAGGTCTGTGCCCCCAGCTTGGCTCTGTGGCACCAAGGTGAAACACCACGCCTGGCACGCAAAGGGCAAGCAAACCCCGGAGGCAGCACTAACCTCGGGTCCAGAAAAAAAAAATCCATCTCCTTTCTGCCCTGCTTGTTAGAGGGTTGGCTTCATCGCGTGAGAGGCTGCCCAGCTGTCCCCTCTTGCCTCTGAGAAGCTCCAGGGAAACCAGGAGGGCGAGCAGCTGGCAGCCCGTGCTGGCTGAGCATCTCGCTGACTCCTGGAGTGTTTGTGTTTTCTCTTCCCCCCCCCATAACATCAGTGAGATTTCTGTGAAAATAGTTCTGCAGCCCTGAAGCCTCGGGCTACCCCATCCCAAGGTGGGCACAGGACTCATTTATTTTTTATCATTGAAGGCTGGATACTTTAAGGACTTTGCTACCAAAAGGCAGTTGGGAAATGCTTTTGTGAATTACTGCCATTAATTACATCTCAGCGCAGCTTTACTTAACGTGAGAAAAGAGGAAACAAACGTCAACAGTAACGTGCTCTTGAGCAGGAGATACACAGCTGAAAATTCAGGCACAAGGAGCTGCATCTGTGACACCAGAAGTCAAATACTTCTGTGTCTGTCAGGTTCTCGGGCTGGTGCTACTCCCACTGAGAACTGAAGGCAGTAAAATTCTACTGAGCATGATGCGGGTACATTTCTGCAGTCAAATGACTCAGTTCTCACTGCCTCCAGTACCAGAAACCACTGTTGTGCGTTTCATCCCATTTGAGAAAGGGAGAAAAAAAAAAAAAGCAAATGCACAGTAGCATATTCTGACAAAAACTATTTAACAGAGAGAGACTTTCCAGGGATTCATGAGCTGAGCACTGTCATGATGCTGTATGCTGTTTCTTGCTTATGTACTAAAATGCAAATTGCTTTCTGAATGCCTTTTCAGGACTGCAGTCTCCTCGTGGTTCTTTCTCCCCACTTCCCCCCTCTCCTCCCAATAAGTGGAAATCCTGAATCACGGATTCCTTAACCACCACTTCAACTGGGGCCTTCCCACTGGCACGCCGGTGGTGGCGGGAGCGACCGGTGTTGTGCGTCGCAGGAGGAGATGGCAGGTGAGGTGCACGGAGGAACGGGAAGGCAGAGTTACAGCGTGAGGATCGGAGGAAGACCAGGGGCACGAGGCAGTGTTTGTTGCAAAAGGGAAATGGGACATGCTTGTTAGCTCCGAGTATCCCCATCCATGTATCAGGTGTGTGAAGCTGTAGTTGGCAGCCTCCAGGAGTTATGCACGTGGATGTGCCAGCAGGATGCTAAGCTTTTAACCCAGTTGGATCAAAACCCATGCTTATTCAGGTTCCCAAGCTAGCTCGCATGCCAGTACGCTATATCTACATATCAATAAAAGTAATGGCATCTGCATTCCACCAGCTTCTCTGGCAAGTTTCCCTTAACAAAAATAGGTACGAAGAGGTGCGCATTCTCACATGGCCATGCAGGGTAAATTCTGACAGCAGAGACAAAAAAAGAAAGGCAGAATGTTGCGGCACAGGCAGAATCCTTGGCAGCTGCAAAATCAGGTGCTTTATTCAGCCAAACTTACTCCATAGAAACCTGGCTGTTATTAGTGGGAGGTGAAACATGTGGCTCTTCTTCCTTTGGAGACTGTTCCGGGCAGGCATGATTTCACTTTTGGGACTGGCAGAAGAGTGGCTTTGTGCTGCGCCGAATTTACAGAGCAGCAACTGAGAATGTGCAAGTGGTCACCACTATGGTCACTGCCCCACAGAGAAAAAGGCAGCACATGAAGCAGGGAGTGCTGGAGGCAAGCTGACACCAGCTCTTCACAAAGGCCAAATAACGAAGGCTTTTCTAATGGCAACCCTGGGGCTGGTTTCCTCAGGAAACTAAAAACCCCTTCTGGACAAAGTATGGCTTCACCTAGATACGTTTTTCTTTGGGATACGTTTTTCCAGCCAGTTGAAGGAACTGATCTCACATCCCCTGTAAATGGCATCAGACAGCTTTAAGAGAGCCTAAGGGATGGAGAGCCCAGGCATGGTGAACGGGGGCTGGAAGGGCAGGGGGATACTATGGGGTGGCTGGGACAGCTGTAGGGATAAAACCCTCACCTGGATGCTGCGCAGCCACAGAGCAGCTCTGAGTAAACCCACAGACCAGTGATGTTTAATGCAATACTTAGAAATCAGGTGAGGTTAAATGCTCCCACCTGCCTTTGTGCTACAGTCATAGGGTTAGATGCAGCACTGGTGCAATAAGCATTCTGGAATAGATGAGTGATTATCAGGAAATGGGCAGTTCCACACTTCTTGGGAGCTGTGGGTACCATTTGGAGTTTGGGGAGAGCCACAAATAGGAATGGAGGAAGATAAGTGCCTAAATGACATGTTTTACGTGGGCTTGCTAACAGCTAGCTGTATTTTTACAGTCAATGGACGGTGACTGAGGCAACACAGAGCAGCGCCAGACTGTGCTAACCACACCGAAACGCTTAAACGTGGAACTACGGAGGGAGGTAAGCATCGCAGCTCCTTGGCTACAGAGCCAAGCTAGCGCAGCTGCAGCCTCCATACACGAGTCTACTGAAAGCTCTCAAAGTGAAGGCAAAGCAAGAATCGAAGCAGTTTTACAATTCTCATTCCTGCTGCATTCTCCTCATGCTGGCAGCAGCTGTGAATCATAGCACCAAGGGGAAAGGACTGATCCTGGCAATAGCAGTGTGAGGAAGGCAGGGCAGGAGAGGTGAGGAAGGAGCTGCCACATGCATCTCGAGGGCATGCAGCTACTTGGAGGTATCGGGAAAGAACAACCAAGGCAAAAAAGCAAACCACCATGCAGGAAAGGGAAGGTACGCCATACCAATGGGCACGGGGCATCCAGCCCGTCCAGCCCAGGTAACCCCGGCTCACCCTTCTCGCCTTTAAAACCTCGGAGACCCTGTTCATGAGATCAACCACTGTCGTTATTTCAGATAATGCCAGGCACCTCCGTGGCACAGGAGGAGAGGCTCAGACCCGCGCTGGGACTGTCGCAGGGCACTCTGCTGCCTGCCCAGAGGGCACACCTCCCCGGTGGTACTTTGTCCGTGTAATCAGCAGGAGCAGGTGCCTGCTCCATGAGTCAGGGCACACGTCTCCAGCTGAGCTCAGCCTGAGGATGGCAGTGATGTTTCATCTGCTTTGAAGTCCTCCATTTTTCCCATTTCCCAGCAGATGAGTTTCTAGAAGCACGATGCACGAGTAATGCTGGGATTTATGGCAATACTACCGATTTCTGGCAGCGTATTCACTGCAGTGTGAGCTGAGATGAAATGTGCAGCTATTCATACATTGATTCACCCAGACTGACAGACGGCACATTCTGCCAGAAACGTGTCCCGCTCAGAACCACCGAGATGTGCTTCCCTCTGGGCAGTGCAGCTCGAGTGCCCCGTGTCACTCCCAGGCACTCACGGCGGCCAACCCTTATTGCAGGCCAACAAACAGCTCTGCTGTCACGCAGACGTGATGACACCGAACATTTCCTGAGAGCAGTGAAGGAGGCTCAGGGCTCTGTCCGCACAGGAGAAAGCCCTGGGCTCCCAGCACGTGGCACGTAGCCACGAACCCCAAGGCTGTGTGAGCTCCGGAGGAGGAAGGAACGTAACCATGGCCACTCAACGGATCGGCTGCTCCCCACTGAAGGCTGCAAGTGGGAGCCAGACCGGCCTCATCTTAGCGTTATGCTTTTGCAAGGCCATTATTTCTGTTACGATTTCCTTCTTCCTTCCCCACCGCAAATCTTAGAACAGTACATTTGATTAAACAGAACATACCAACGGACAGGGTGCATCTAATCCAGGCGCTCCTTGGTCTCCCTTATCCCCTTTAGACCCTCTAGAGCCTTTCTTGCCCCTCTCCCCCTGTAAATAACAGTTTGGTCCAAAAAGAAAAAAAAAAAGAATACACAAAAGCTTTAGGATCATCCATTTCAAACAAATGTCAGCAATAGTTTAAAAAATGATAAACATTGAGGAAACATTTTAAAAGAAGTGAAACCTCCCTTTGGGATGTTAAGTGAGCCACAGAAGGGACCAAGGGAAGGCACAGGTGCTCTGTGACAATATCCTATGAGAGCAGGGCAGCCAAGGCCGGGTGTAACAATGGGATTTGTCAGAGGAAATTCTCAAAGCTGCTGAGCATAAAACAGGGAAAGGGGCAGCTGCACAGGGAAGTGAATTTAGGGTCCTCGTGGGAAGGGTTAAAGGAATTAGGGGATAACATCAGACAGCGCAGGCTGCTGGTTCTTCTTTAAAATGTGTTAAACCCAAAGCTGGCAAGAGAAATGGATGGGAGAGGAGAAGCAACGAGGCAAAATCACCCAGAACCAAGCACTGGAACAGAGAGGATAATCCAGGAAAATGCAGCGTGGGTTGCTCTGGAGGGAGCAGGAAGGAACCAGGAAGAAAGGCGGAAGAGGAGGAAGGGATAAAGGGGACAAAGGTGGACCTGTAGGAGCGAGGAAGACACACGTACACACATGAGAAAAAATACAGGCATTAGAACAACAGCAGAGATATCATCTTGGCAGCAAAAGATCAGGGTTTGCACTTTTTCAGCTGGGCATCCCAAAAGGCTGTGCCTGTTCCCATCGGGACCTACTGGCACCCCAGGCACAGCTGTGCTGCGCCCCACGCTGGGCAGCAGGAGGGCTCCTGCTACTGCAAAACCACTGCTCTGCCTAAAGGAACGGGGAGGGTTCGCTGAGGAGCTTGGCAAACTGTCTGGAAGCTTAACAAAATTGATGCACTCCTTTAAGTAGTGGTGACCTAGTCACCATTTCTGGAGCGGAGCAGGAGTGAGGAGAAGCCCTGGTACGAATATATGGTGGGAAAAGAGGCATTTTCTAGGATCCCACCTGAAAAGGCATTGCAGTTGCCCATTTACAGGCTCGGCTTCCTCACGTTTTCATTTCAAAATGTTGGTTGCAGTGAGGCAAAACATGCTTCGAGGGGCCAGCGAGTCTTCCCACTCGTGCTGCTTTCCAACCCATCCTCTACAAGGAGGTGTTTCCAGTTTTCATTTGCTTTTATGAGAGCTTAGGGAAATCCTACTGGCACACTGCAGCCAGTGAAAAACCCTTCTTTTAAGTAATACTCCTAGTTTAAAAGCCAACTGAAGAAGTCTAGGAATTGTTATTTTCTGTTTAGAAGCCACACAAACAAAAACACAACACATCTCGCTAAGGAGGAAGTTAAGAAGCAAAGCCAGAAATGGAATGATTAAAAAAGGGGAGGACTTTGGAGCTCCCAGGAAATTTGGACCTTTCTGCCCTGGTTTAAGATGCCAATTGGCTACTGCACTCCAAAACTGCTTGTTCTGTGCAGAGCAAGGTCAGAAATACATTGCAGATAAAAACAGAGAACACTCATTATGTATAAAAAGCAAAATCATATAATGAAATCACTGCACAGGCACATGCACTATAAATATTTACATTTTCAGAAAGATTTAGGTCATACCAGGGTCTTATCAAGAGAATGTGTGAGCACATGCGTAAGACATACACGTTTGCTTTATTAAAGCTGTTTGACATATTTACACAACTGTAGTCTTAAAACCATAATCCAGAAGCCATTTATATTTCTAACTATAAATTATATTCAACTGTTAGTATTTTAACTGTTTTGAATCGACAGGATTCAGACTTAGCAAGCAAGAAGTTCCTTATGTTGTTGAAAATCCAATGATTGGAATGCCAATGAAAGGCAAGGAGTGTTCAGTGCACACTTTATACTAATATCTATCTTTTTATAACATAGGTGGTGTGACAGAAGAGCAGCCATTCACATTACGTGTTTAGATCCAGCTCTTTAGCACATTCAGTCAGGACAAAGCCTGAGGAGGCTTCATGTCTGACTCTTTAAAGTATGCAAATTTAATTTATCTTCTCCAAATTTCCATCTTCCAAATTCTCTGGAGAACCCTTAGCTAGAGGTCAACTTTTTTCATGCTTCAGGGGGAATTTGAAAGTAACGTGATAAGATCTGCCAACTGCATCTCAGTTAATTCTCATGGGAATCCCTGGACACACTACCAAGCAGATAAGCAGGATTTCCTAAAGCACGCCTTGTTGACCTAACTCCATAAGTTATGACCTAAGCCATACTTCAGTGAGAACAGAGCTATGACAACAAAGAACACGTTAGAAAATCCCTCCTGTATCTTTCAGAGGGACATGCTGTGATGTCCTAGATGATGACACAAACTACGGGTATCACCTTCAGAAATACAGGTTTGTGAATCATTCACGCAACAGGCTAGCAAACAGAATCTCATGCTAGCTGTCTCTCAGTGGCTCAGGCAGCAACCAGTCCACCACTGTGCAAAGACCAAGACTTGCTTGGTAACTTACCCGGATTCCTTTGTCACCAGGCAGACCTTGTAAACCCTGAAACACATCAACGCAAAAATAGAAATATTTCACAAACGGACAGGTCCCACTGTATACCTCCTCAAAACGAACATGTGCCCAAGAGTTTGTTTCCATTGCTATCCATTACTGTGTGGTAAAAATTAACATTTCCTGTAGACAACCTTCTCCTCACCTCCACGAGACCATCCAGGCTAACACAGCACTGCTTTTACTTTAAGAATTTTTCACATAGAAACCAGACTTGCTGAAAGAACTCAGTTTCTGAAGAGGAAAACAAAAGTACACAACAGCAACCTTCCTTTGTGTTTTTTTTTCCTCTTTTTTTTTTATTTTCTTTTTTTTTCCTCTTAAAAAAACAATGAAGCAGTTCCCTGATTACCTGAAACCAAAGGTCAAGCACTTACTGCATTTTGCAAAAGTAACCCCAAACAGTGGAACTAACCTCACTCAAGGCAACTTTTGTCACTGTGATGAAACCGCAGATACCCAATGTGGAAAGGTACACCATGCTCAAAAGCAGTATTTTGGAGTAAGATACAGCTCCTGCAAGTCCCGCACAGCTTCATTTGGTACTTTGAGGGCAACAGAGAATTTAGAGTTCCCTTCAGCTTCACTTATCTCATTCTGAATAACTGCTCTGAAACTACCCAGCTCTTCCTGTTGCTCCCATGGGGTATTTGAGCTCATAATTTTGGTTCTTTAACACCTAACCTAGCTGAAATTAGAAATATTACATTACAGCAGCACCTTAAACTATCAGCCACAGCAAGGAAATAGGGGCTTGTAGATAACACAGTCCTACTGCTCTCACACTTACGGGAAGTCCTGCTGGTCCCATTGGTCCTACAACACCAGGATCTCCTTTACTGCCCTGAAATAGAGACAAAAAGAGTAGAAATTGTTAACGCTCCTATTTGGTACGAACAGGCAGCACAACAATGACTACAGAAACACTATAGAAGAAACAGGTTACGATTTAAAGTACCTAAAACCCCAAGAATAAAATGCTTAGAAATCAGAGACCAAGTTGAGGGTCCTACATGCACAAAGACAGAAGTTTCAGCTGCTAGAAAGACCTAGAGCTTCTCCATTTTAAGGAACTGTTGTGTCTGCAGAGAAGTTACAGAGCATTGGTCAGTTTTGAACCAAACTCACCCTTTCTCCTTTTGGTCCTGCTGGTCCCGAAACCCCCATTGGTCCTGGAGTACCCTGTAGTTGGAGGAAGGGAAACACATCAGGCCTTTTTCATTCCAGGGCTTCGTTAAAGCCAGGAGCCACTGCTGCTCCTTTAGGAAGAAGCACAGCTGGGAAGGACAGTGCAGTGGCTGAAGGCATCGAGCGCCACTACAGCTTTCAGCGGTGGTGGTGGTGGGTTTGAAGATGTTACATGCAGCCTGACAAACAGGGGGACTGCTGCACTCAGTCACACCAGCACCATCTTACAGAGCCTTGTTTTCTGTTTCAATCTGTACAGGGGGCATTTCTACTAGCACCACGAGGGAATATTTTTCTCTCCAGTTTGTCACAGACAATACTGAAAGCTGTAGCAGAATAAAGGCCATTTATTTCGACATACAGTAAGCAACTTCTGTGTGTGTGTGTGTGTGTGTTTTCTTTACCCCCAACCTCCTAGTGTCACTAGGGTGGACAAAAGTAAAAGCTTGCATTCCTTGGTGGTAGGCAGCCAGTCATGCAAACTGAAAGACACCATGCAACAAAGAGGAACGCAGATGCATACCAGGAGGGGTGGTGGTATCATTCATTCCCAAGCCCTCTGCTCCTTTTTTGCCATTTCTGCTACTCCATCGGGCTCTTGATCACACTGACAGGAAAACCCATTTTTTCACTCCACTTTTGGCACAGGGGCCCTCTCCCACTGGCACACCAAACCTTCGTGCAGGTAGTGCTGAGTCTTGTTCAGTTTTGGGCAATGAACCCAGCCCAAACTGGTCTTTAACGGGGGCAATAGAGCAGGCAGCCAACAGCCCTAACAAAACACTCCCGTTGGGGCAATGCTGGATCCAGGCACCTTCAGCCCTGTCCAGCCTCCTGGGCTTTGGAGCTTTCCCTGCTGTAGGGCCTGCTGCAACTCTCCCGGACCAGCCAAAGCACAGCCTTCACCTCTGCCGTGAGCACTGCTCCCAGCCACACTGCACAGTCAGGCATTTATTTACCCAGCCCTACTGCCTACGCTTCTAAGACTGGCAAGAATCACAACACATAGTCACAAAAGTAACCCCTCCAAGCTGAGTACCACTCCTGGATCAGAAGAGCTTTTCAGACAAGCCAAGATCTGCAGGACATAAGTAGAGACACCGCTCATGCAGCACGGTTTCAATGCAGTGAAAAAGAGTGGCTCTCCTTGGATTCATGCACAGGAGTCTGCATCACAAAGATCCTAATTGCCTGCATATTTGCGTCATTTTAAGGTAATTTGGTGCCATGAAATATACTGAGAGCTGACCTGCACACTTACAAAAAATCAAGCTACAATTTTCCAGAACGAGTGAGCAGATAAGCTGTAACTCAGAACCTGTCCTGAAGTTGCAGAGCAGGGGATTATCCCCAGTTACACTGAGGAGAAATCACTTTGTAAATAGCCAATTGGAGTGTACGTGGGTGATGCATTTCCCAAGTGGGATAAAAAATGTATTGGGCCCATATTTAACAGTTTTTACCCAGGAATGGCAGAGTGCTTTATGAGAACCAGGTTAGTGGTACTCGTCTCGTTCCAAGTTTGACAGGCTGAGAAGCTGAGCCAGAAGGAATTTATTTCCTTCACATCTCACAAGTTAGCAACAAGAGGTGGGGATCTTCTTCCTGTTCAACTGAGAGAGGCCCTTGCCTCACAGACGCACGCAGCCGACTGGAAACCCCCCCAGGTATCTCAGCCTGAGGGAAAGCATGCACAGAGCTCATGGAGTTGCATGGCATCGTGCTGGCAGGTGAATGGCAGGTCCTGCTTGCAGAAGGCCTTTTAGATGCAGCTTCTTCTAACAGAGGGATGCTTCCCAGGCAAAGGACAGAGACCCGTAAGCATAACCCGCAGTAACGCAGCCCTGAGCACCCAGTGTGAAAACAAGGCACGGCCGAAAGCTTTTGCTCACAAGATAAAGCAGACAGGCGTGATTATGGCAAAGACACAACTGAGAAGCTGCTGTTGTGAAAAGGCTGCAAGCAAGGCTGCCATAGAGAACAACAGGGCGGAGGGGTGGAGACCCCTCACAAGAAAGCAGAGGGGAACCGAGCACCATGGAGCCATGCGGAGGTTTCATTCATCTGGTTACTGAAATGAAGTGGAAGAGGTAGGCTGTGATCCCAGACAGACTCATGGTATCAAGAAACAAGCATGTGTCTTAATCACCTCCCAGGCTTTAGCACCCCCCCGCGCCCCAGAACCTGCTTTGGAGAAAATGAGGTTACTCCTGCCATAAACAAGACTGGTGGGGAAGACGAGACAAGTCACGATACGGGGGGAGGAACGTAGGGCAAAGGAGAAATGGAACTCACCGGTGGCCCAGGCCTGCCGTCCAAACCTGAAGCACCCTGAACAGGCGGGGAGGGTTCACAAAAACAAGGCAGGAGGAGAGGGGAGGAGGGTGAGGGGGGAAAGGAGAGGGGAGAGGTGAGTGAAGCCGTGACTTGAGACAAACATATGCTTGCAATCAACAACTAAAGGTCTCGAGGACAGATGATGGTACTTACAAGCAAACCAACAAAAACAAACACTGAGTACATGTAATATTGACCTATATCTCCTATATCCCCCTAGGAACATACATTTGTTTCCCTCTTGCCATGCCACCAAGGAAACCCCTGAGGAAGGAGCTGCTCTATGACAGGTGAGGACGATGTGACAGTGGAGTTGAAGCTTGCACAGGCTTTGCACAACAGAGACAGAGCTCAGAGGCCTTGCAGTGGCTCTGCCCAAGGTGGTATCTCGTCTAGCCCAGTGCGGTATCTCTGGCAAAGGCCAGGTGAGCAAGCTGAGGTAGAACTGGCACAAGCGGTGAGTTTCCTGCACTTGCACGTGACAAAGTCCTCAGCCTGTCAGCCACTGCTGCAGACAAACCAACTGAAATTCTGGCACAACGTCAAGCACAAAGTCTCACATGAAAAGCCAGCAGAGCCAACCGGGGGGGTTTTGTGGCATCTTGGTAGTAAGCAGCATCAAACAGGTCCTGAAATATTTCCACTGCATTTAGTTTGACAGACTGAAAACATTCTGGATCACGCAAGGAAAAAGCTTATGGAGAGAGGTAGTTCTGAAGAGGTCTGCAATATCTGTGCAGAGGTCAAAAGACCAGATGCAGGAATAAGCCACAGGACTCTGGTTTCTGGTGGGGCTCTGCAGGGTAATTCCCAGGGCATCTTCTGCTCAGACTGTCACAAGGACCTCCCTTCCCTGCCCTGGTTCCCTCAGAGCTGAGGGAACACCTGTTTGTACACAGAACACTTATTTCTCATGGCAGAATGGGGACTGGGTTTTTATTTCTCATGGCTTCACTGTCCTTTGGATTAGAGCCTTCTGAAAGCATCCCCTTCTCGCCACTGGCTCTGCGAGGAGCCTGTGGCAAATACACTCACAACGATCTCATGTCAGTGCCTAGAGTTAGAAGAAGTGCATCCAGGTGCTGGAAGGCAACGGCTATAAGCACAACTGAAAAAGCACAACATTTTACAAACAAAGACACGCACATCTCAGCCAAAGTCAGGGACAAGAGCTCTGGGTGATCAAACAAAGGCAGACAAAGCCACACAGTACACATGATGCGCTTTTGGTAGTGCTCGCTTCCAGGCAGGACTTCCAGCAAGGGGAGATGGTGTGCTCGGCCATCAGTGCTTTTCCTGAGAGGATCTGGGGGCTGGCAGAGCAGCTGAGGAGGACTGAGCCAGTGGTAACTCATTCTCAGCACTCAGGTGAGTGTCAGGCACTGGGCAAGGAGGCTTTTTAGCAGATATGACGTGAGCTTTTCTTTGCAAAGTCCTCAGGTTTGTATCTAAAGCTCTTCTAACTTCATAATCCTGCCAAAACTCCTCCCTGCAAGCTAAGCAGTGCACTAGTGCTAGCCTGGTGTTACTGAGGTCACAAAGCAGGAAAGAGCAGGCTTCTGGGGTGACAGGAAGGTACTGGCTGGCAAAGGCTGGATGCACACAGAACCACCACCCTTCTGCACAAAGCCTGGTGCAGGTGCCAGGCTGCTGGCAGGATGTTTCCTTTGTTACTTCTGCACATCTTTGTGCTTCAGGGAGATGGGGGCGAGATCAGCCACAGCCCTTTCAAACAACCCATGGGAAAGTTACTGTTTTGCCCAAACCTGCCACAAGCAGGAAGAGCTAAAAGGATCAGCGATGCATTTAACAGGCCTTAGGAGATTAAGATTGTGTACAGAAACTGAAGCTTTGTAAGTTTAAGCAGCAAAGGCACAGTTATTTATAGATCATCTTTCTCTGACTTTACATATCAAATCCCTGCGTACATCTCCCATTGAGGGATCTTCTTACGGCTGAAACAAGTTTGGCTTGCTGCAAGTGCTGCTTGCTTCCTGGATACTTACGGGTAATCCCAGTGGCCCTCTGTCTCCTTTTTCACCCTGGGCACCCTTCTCTCCTTTCATTCCATCAATCCCTGCTTCCCCCTAAAGGAAGAAGGATGGAGCAGAAAATAAACCCACCGCGACACCACTTATATAACAAACATTCCTGTTCTGAAGCAGCAGAGAATGTGAGAGGCAAAGAACAAGGCTTTAGCCTGATTCTTGGCCCAACCTGAAGAAATCCAGTATCAGTCAAGTGACTTGCACGAGTACCTGTCCTACACCAGCGCCAGTAAGAGGGGAATCAGGCCCAGAGAATAACTGAAGATGGTCAAAGGGGGACTGAACTTGCCTCTGTGTTATTCCCCCTGCTCTTGCAGGGGTTGTCAAGTGATTGTTTTAAATGGCTTCACATTTAAAAGTGTGAATTACTAATTACAGGGATGGAACAAAAACTTCCCCTCTCAGGACATCTCACTGCACTTGTTAGTTTAGCCTACACAGATCCTCTGTTTGGGGAGGAAATCAGTGCAGCACTGTTTGTAATCCAGCCTGTGCTGTGCAAGACTGCCACCTGCAATTATTTGGCAGCCAGCCCCCGAGGAGGGGCATGTGCCAAGACTTAGGGAAGTTTCCCCAGACACTTGATAGCAGTAGCTAGTGAGTTACGGACCAGGAAGGCAGATTAATTGTATTTGTAATCAACATCCAGAGAAGAAATGAATCAGGATAAATGTATCCTCCTCTCTAATGCCCAAACGGCACAGTGAGCCAAACGCTAAGCCTAGCCAGAATTAAGATGTTTTGTACATCTTCAAACCTTTGCTGAGAGTGCCAGGAAAAATGCAGATCTCACTGAATATTTCCGCTCAATTATATATATTTTTCACCTAGGTGCATTCATTTACTGTGGGTAAAGGGGTGGTGCAGACTGAACATGAACAGATTTAGGTGGAGATTAGAAAGCTTCAGATCACCCGGAGGAGTGAAGTTCTTGAATGGGTTTACAGCAGAAGTCACAGCGTATAAAACCTGGCTAATTTTAAGCTAGAGGTCAGCTACTTAGGATTGTGTGACAGGCTGCCCGTCCTGTTGTATGGACCTTTCACCCTTCAGACAGAGATTTCAGCTATGCTCTCATGGGAAGATTTCCAAGGGCCCGTTGCTGCCTTCTTCCCTAGAACAGGAGCGCACAACTGGTTTTCTGGATCCTAAAACGAATGCTGCTAATCCATTTTCTTCAAGAAAGTATACAGGAGGTTTTATTCTCTTACCAAGTTGGAAGAAAAATAGCTTTGAAAGCTGAGGGGTTGTTGAAGAGAATTCTTGCACCCCAGACAACCCTAGTCAAATTTCAGGATTTGACGTCTCACAGCCTTACCTTCGGTCCCGGGAGGCCCTGAGCACCCTGTATTTGGGATGAAAAACAAGGGATGAGCAATGCTTAAGGGTGTGCCTTAAAAGCCAGGTATTGCAGTTCACTGTGCAGCACAGAGCTTTCATTTTCTGACAGGCTGAGGGCACAAATGCTTAGCCCAAAGGCCTCTTTATTTGTGTAGAGGGCACTTCATGTACTGTTCTCATCTGGTAATGAGGAGGCTCTCGCCAAGAACAACCTGGCTGCAGGCCAGGCTTGCTATTAAGACCATTTTTGCAGTTGATCCCTTTAATCCTGTCCATCCCGTCTCACTACTGTCTTCCCTTTCATCTCAGACTAACGTAACCTTCTCCCTTTACTTCCCCAGCCCCTCGTAGCTCTGACCTGCCCTGGGGGTGGTTTGGAAACGACGCTAAGCATGTTCCTGCTTCAGTGCTGCAGTGTTTCTGGCAGTTATCTCCACCCAAAAGCCTCCCCAGCCACTTCCCACTCTATCCCCACTCCTGATCAATCAGGACTCCTCAGTGAATCACGCAAAACCTACCGGAGGTCCTGGTGGTCCTTGAGGTCCAGGGGGGCCAGACATCTAGAAAGCAACACAAGAGAAGTCCCTGTCAACCCAGCAGCAGGTGAAGGGGAACTGCTCAGTGGGGAGGGCAGGGCACAGGCTGCAGCTGAGCTCTGCCAGGCTTGGAAACCTGGGCTGCCCCCGAGGGCTGTGTTAGGAAGTGGCAGCAATCCAGGACAGAGCAGCCAAGAAGCAGCAGCAGGATGCTGGGGAGGGTTATTGTGGCAGCTGCAGAGACTTAGGTGGAAGGAAAGCAGTGATTTTTATTTTTTTATTTTTTATTTTTTTCAGAAAAAGGTCCACTTCCACTACAGTCCCACTGTTACTGCAAGGTTTCACAAGATTTACAGCTAAAATATCAAAATATCTGGAGGAAGGTTGCTGGCCCTACACACACAAGAGTACTGATAGCCCATGGGGCTCGTCACTGCAGGGTGCTACAGAAGTTAAGAGTGAGCTTTGAGGGGAGAAGTGACAAATTCATGAACCCAAGATCTATTGAAAATAGATAGATCCAGGCAGGTATTTTTTCAGAAAATCTCTTTGCCACAAATGCCAAGGAAAATAATTGTTATGCTTCTCGTAGGCTCCTGTTCTTCCCTAAGCATTCATTATTGATTGCTTGCCGTGAGCTAGGTTGGTCTTGTGCAAAGGAGAAGGAGGGCAGCGGGAGCTAAAGAGGGCTGGCAGTTCAGCCCCGCATGATGAAGCTGGCTGTCCCTCCGTGAAGGATGTGTCGTAAGAGGGGGGGATGTGCTAGTTTCCAGCAGCCAAAAATCATCCCTCCCCCGCTGGCAGAGACTGCAGAGAAAATAAGAGAGGTGACCTACCGATTCTCCTGGGTTTCCTTTGTCTCCACGCTCCCCAGGCTCGCCCTTCTCTCCCTGCACACAACAGACCCTGTCACAACGGCTGCACGCTGGTGCCTCGCTCCAGCAGGAGCCACCCGTGAGCCAAGAAGCTCCCCAAAAAGGGCTGGGAACGGAGTGGGTACATCACACACAGCTCTGGTGTCCCTCCAGCACCCCTGCTCCCAGAGGTGACAGCCTACAGAAAGCGAGGCCCCTGGGAGCAGCGGGACACTGCCTGCCTCTCCCCAGCAGCCTCACACCTCTGCAGCACTACGGCACCGGAGAGAGGAGACACCTAGCTGGCTCCCCGCCTGCTGCTGGAGCCCCAGCAGATGTTTGCTGCCACCTGAACACCTCACTCCAAGGGACGGGGGCTCCTGAGACACTCTGCACTTTGAGGAATGCCTCTCTCTACGCTGTTTTCACCAAGCAGGAAAGGTCAGCCTGTCTGTTCACTCTTACTGTCAATCCTGGAAGTCCAATGGGACCCGGCAGTCCTGATGGTCCTGGCATCCCTTGGTCACCTCGTTCGCCTTTTTCTCCAGTGGGGCCATCAAGACCCTATGGATCAAGAAAGATTTGCAGTTTTCTGAAAAACTAAGGCAGGTGTAAGAGACATTGCCAGAGACGGGACAAGCTCCGGTTGCTCCAAAAGCACCCTGCAAAACCTAGACAGCCTTCAGACACCTGAGGAAAGGGAAGGCTGCACCAGCATGGAAAACAGACAGCGAGGTGCCTGAACCCCCTCCTGTCATTGGGGATGTGCTGTTCCCCAGCGCAGGGACGGGGAGCTGCTTTCCTGCCTCCAGGTTCTGCTCATGGTTAAGCAGTTCGCTGTAGCCCATGCTAGAAACACTCCAAAAGCCAGCTGCTGTGAGAGCAAGAGGTTTTTTTTTCCAGTAATCCTGCAGAGACTGCAAGATTTCACTGCATAAAACCCGCTTGACTAGGGCTGGGGATGCAGAAGCTGTGACAGGCTCAAGCCAGGACACTGTGCACTGCCCCAGTTACTTAGGGGCTCTGAGACATCCAAGAAACCCCATAACCTGGAGGGCCACAAGGACAGAGCAGCGCTGAGAGGCTCCAATTTACTTACCGGTGAGCCGGCTTGTCCTGGCTCTCCTTTATCCCCCTTCTGCCCTGCAGCCCCAGCATGGCCGGGCTCTCCCTTTATCCCAGGAGGTCCGTCCTTTCCTGGCAGCCCATGAGGGCCAGGGGGACCCATTTCTCCTGGCTTGCCTCGTGGTCCCTAAAAGAAACCCACACAACAACGAGTGAGTGTAGATAAAAGTTAGACTCCCTAGCCCAGAGCCTCTCTCATTGCTCATTCACTCAACACTAATACAATTTGCAAGAGGCAGGAAAAATAAACAGTAGTTTTGCCTTGCCATCCCAACTCTTCCTTAGAAGTCAGTACTTTGATAAGCCACTAACACACACTTCTGTGGAGCCAGATCATTTCCCCCTACCACCTCCCAGGGGAAAAGTAACTGTGCATCAGCAGCAGCAAGATGGAGCAAACTAGCCCAATTTAAGGCCACTGAAGGGAAGAGCAATCACAGAGGCAGCTTGTCTTACCTTTTCTCCATCATGGCCTGGAGGACCCGGCAAGCCAATTTCACCCTGAAACACAAGATTGTTACTCCTGGCAGTTTGGAAGCAAGTTCTCTGACAACTTGTGTGGCATTGGGATGATGAAGGATGGGCATTACAGAGGCAGTCAGCAGGGACTCTGACTTTGAAAACTAATAGTTACAGAAAAAGCATGGAAAACCCTGGTGAAACAGTACATCATGTGAGTTCTAAGAATTTCCCCAGCCTTGTTTACCCAGAATGACAGTTCACGGCCCCAGCACTGTAAGTCTCCAGCCAACACGATCCCTGCAGAGATCAGTTCCCATAAGCTGCTTCTTAAAGGGGAGTAGAACAGCAAGGGTCCCTCATCTTTGAGATAATGGGTGGGGGAAAGGGGATTCAGGATTTCATGCATGAGGCGTGGTAGAGCCTGACCAGATGCATCCTGATAGTGCCGATAGGAAGAAGAGGAGCACAGGGGAGGGATGTGTGTGAATTCTGCCCAGCCCACTCCCGTGTTTCCCTCAGCTCCACAAGGGCTGAGCAAATACCTTCTGTCCTGGTGGCCCTGGAGGTCCAGCCACACCCGGAAGTCCTGGTGGTCCCTAGACAAAGAAAAAACAGTTTTCAAAATATCATCAGGGTTTTTGTTTTTGTGTTTTGGACCCTGCTCCTCTGAGCTTACAGGGGAATTTTCCTGGGGACTCCTAGAATTGTATTTGCTTGGGAAGCTAAGCAATGGCAGGCCCTGAGTTAGCAACAGGCTAAATCCAAAGCAAGTTGTGGATAAGTAATCGTTTCTCTACTTTCACATGGAAGAAAAGTTACGACAGCTATTCACTCTTAAAATTGAGAAGAACCTAACAAGGTTTTCCCTTCCCATCTACAAAAATGTATTTTTAGACTAGAGCTCATAGGAGACACGACGCTTCTTAGATCCTAATATTTATGAGCAGACTTTATGACCAGCTTTGGCAATTACCACTTTAAGGCAAGCAGCGTAGCCTAGCAAGCGGTGATGCTTCCACCCATTTTGCTCTGTCCTGTTGTTGTTCTGTATTTTAAAAATCCAGCTCCCCCCACCCCTGCTTTAAACAATTAGATCTGTATGGGACTCACGTCAAATTACACTTACTAGTGGTGAAATGATGTCCTCCCCACCCACCACTAAGTGCCCACCATGGACTGCCAATGTTCTTTATTGCAAATCACCCAAGGTCTTTTTTCCACTTGGGTCAGCCTCCCCTTGCTCTTCCCTCCCTCTCCTAAGCAGTGTGCATTACATTACCTCTTAAATCAAAGAAATCAAGGGCCTGATTGTAATTCAAGTGCTAAGATCAAAAGGCAAGGTGAGCTCTTCCCTCAGCTGTCAACGCTGCCCCCACAGCAAAGGTCAAAAAACTTCAGTTGCACAAAAACCACCAGGCTATCTGCTTAGGATGAACATATGGCCACTTGCTTAAAACCACACAGTGAAGCCAGGAACTCACCATCAAGGCCAAAGTTCGTATTTCCTAGGGAAAAAAAAGCGAAGAAACAGTAACAGTCATGTGAAAACAGATTCTTCTCAGGCTGGGTTTGTTCTCTATTAATGTAACACCAGCCCAAACGAGTAAGCACCTTATAGAACGAAGCCAAAACTCATCTCCGAGTCCCATAGAGCTGTTATTCAGCAATTCCTCCCCCATCTCTTTCTTCCAAGCAGAACCCAGGCCAACCAGCAGCACACAGCTCTGGGAGGCTTTGCAGAGCTTTCACCAGTTTACTCCAAGTCACAGGCCCCTCCTGAGGGGCTTCGCATGGCCTTTGTGCCCACCAGTGCTAATGCACCTAATAAACAAGGTGCAAAAACATCTACTGAAACGCAGCACGCAGTGAGCTGTGGGTTGAAGGGAGCTATAGAATAACCAAGTATTTCCTTTGCTGCTCTGGGTTTTCTGCATCCCCTGGGAAACAGTAAGGCACCCAACAGCCACCTCGTGGACAGCCGGGCAGTTGCTCACCTGGAGAGCTTCACTGATGTTGCCATCGTAGTCCATCATTTCATCCTTCCCGGGCTCTCCTTTGGGGCCCTGCAAAATACCAGATCTTTAGTCAGGGTTTAGGGATCGTCCTTCCCACGGTGCAGCCTGAGAGCTGCAGCTCACCCTAAAGCAAGGAGGTGGCAGAGAAGGGGCAGTTTCACAAGGTTCTGGTTTTCAACTAAGCTCAAAAGCATATTTTAGAGAGGAAACACTACAGAACTGTAGCCCCCCAGACTATCAGGCAACAGTCAGGGTCTGGCAAACGATGAAGTTGAGGCGAGAATCCAGGAATTGTCTCTGTTGCCAGACTTGGCATATCAGCAGATGGCAGCAGCAGGGTGTCCAAGAGCCAGAATTCAGCCGGGGGTGCCCAGACACACCTCTTGCAGATGAGCTGAGCGTGAGGTGGCTCAGAAGTCTATTTTTTTTCCCCCCTGAAGTAGCAGCACCTTCTGATAAGGGTATGGAGAAGTGGCCTGCGTCAAACTTAACCCGTGACCACCTGTAAGCACTTCAACAGATGGTGAGAACATCAAGAAAGCGGAGACCCAACCTAGACCATCAGTGCTTAGACCCCTGTGAAGGGCCAAAACCCTTTAGAGGTGTTAGTGAAGGACACCTACCCGTGGGCCCATGGGTCCCTGCTCTCCCGGTGCGCCAGGCTCCCCCTGTAACAAGAACGTGCTGTCAGCAGTGCCCATCACCTCGGCTGCTTCAGCTCCAGGAACCTCCTCTCTCTGCTGGTCCTCTCTGACAGCCTAGGTTGGGCTAGAAGACCCTGCATGTGCCTGCAATACCTCAGTCACCTCAAAGTTTGTAGGTTTTCTTCGTAGGAAGTAGCCATCCAACCCCCCTGGAGCCATGCCTGCTCCCCCAGACCAGCCTGACAGACTCTCTGGCACCCTGGAGGTTCAGCGTGCTCCAACACAGCCTGCTGCTGGAAGAGCTGCCCCTGGGGCACCAGGCCAGCCCAGAGGCTGTATTTCACCCTCCCCTCTCAGCATGCCGTGAGCACAGCACCTGTTTTCTGACACGTGGCCAGCCCGTTTTGCACAGAGGCATCTCTCCTTGCCCCTCCGTTCCTCCCCACCTACCCAGCCGAGGGGGCACCCTCACCCACAGCTATCGGGCTGGGGCAGCCCCTCTGCCTCTTTCATCCCGCAGGTACAGCAGCTGAGCACGGGGGGCTGGCCACCAGCCTTCAAACAGCCTGACCCTCTGCTTAACCCTCTGCTTTTCGCCTGCTTCCTAGGCAGCTCAGTTTAAAGTGCTTCACTTCTGTGTTTTCCATGTACAGGAATCATTTTGCAGCTGAACGTAGAGCTGGGTTGCACGCGAGCCCTCCGTACCTTTTCCCCCTGCGGTCCTGCAGCGCCAACGTCACCAGCTTCTCCCTGAGAGGGAAAGAAAGGAAAGGGATCGTTCTGCATGGGGCAGGTGGTGCAGCTCCTGCATTTCCAGGAGGAAGGCCCACACCAGCTGCTAACCGTTAGCTGGAACAACTAAAACACCCTGCAGTAGCTGATATCCCTTCAGCGTGTAAGCAGAAATGGGGACAGATGAGTGCAAACTTCCCCCACACCTCATGCTGGGCACAACCCCTCACAACAAACTCCCCACGTGAGGACAGACACTCACCTTTGGTCCAGGGGGCCCAGGCAGACCTGGGGGGCCAGGTTCCCCTTTCCCTCCTGCCAGGGCATTCTCGCTATTCCCCTTCTCGCCCTGCGTGCAAGGAAAAACAGACCACGTCTCACTCCATCTCTGCGATTTCACCTGGCAAACTGCTGGCTTAGAGACTCAGGGCCCAGGATGGATTTTGTCACTGTTCCCCTGACCCTCAGCTGGCTTCCTGCTAGCCCAGGGACACCTGTGCTCAGAGCCCCAGCTGGGTGGCCACGAATCAGGCCAATATTGCTCCAGCTCCAAGCCCTGCCAGGGCTTCACCCAGCGCTCACCCCTTCGGCTGCAGTGCTCATTCCTCACCCCCACACCTCCAGCTTGACCCCACTGTGGGTTGTTTTTTCCCCACTGTTGAAACCGAGCTGATAAAACCACTTGATGATGGCTTTTTTTGGGTACATCTCCCTCTGGAGGTGCAGTTCTTAGGCAGACAGCCTTACAGAGCAGGTACAAGAGCAGTAAGAGGAATTGTTGTTAAATCCTCATCCTCTCCTGCAGCTGGTCCACTGCCATTCAGTGCATGGCCCCCTTGCCAAAGAGCAAGTACCTAGGGCCTGGCCTGGGAGGTGTGATGGCCCCAAATCACAGACAATACAAACCTTCAGGCCGGGGAGTCCAGGAAGCCCAGGGTCACCAGCTCGTCCCTTCTCCCCCTGTTGAGGAAACACAGCCAGGGGCTGACTGCAGCCTGTGCAGGAGGAGCAGCCAAAGGAGAAGCTGCTCCTGCTCTCAAACCTCTCCCCTTCCCCTCTGGGATCTCATTTTAGGCACAGACCAGGCACCTGCCAGCACTGCCTGCTTGGGCAGGGAATTGTTTTCTCCTGCCCTTTGCCCACCTCTGCACATCACTGCCATTTCTCTCCCAAGGAAGGTGAGCGGGCAGGGGATCCAGACCCTCCCACCCTTAATGCTCTGGTCTGCTAAACCCTTCTTCCTGTCAGCCCTCCAGCACAGGCTCTCCCCACTCCTTATAATTAGAGAAGCTGCTGCCCAGGGTGCCTTATCTTATTTGGGGTGCAGGAGCTCAGCTCTTCCCGCAAGAGCTGCCCACTGATTTCCCAGTTTTCACCCCTCCCAGCCGCCATGAACTGCTCTGCCCTGGCAGGGATCCCAGCCAGCGTTCCTACACCTCTCCCGGGGTGGCTCCTGCCCCCACCTCCACACCCCAGCCTCATCAAGCCGGAATAAAAGCAGCGCAGCAGCTCGGTTAGCAGCCAAGCTCTGCGACACACAGTGGTGGTGGAAAGCAGCGAAAACAGGAGTTTGGGAAAGGGCAGGAGTGGGTTGAGGCCCCCGATGGGATGCCCGAGAGCACGGCCTGCTCAAGGCACCCTGGAGGATGAGGGATGGTGCAGGGCAGTGAGTAGAGAGGGCAGCCAGCACCCAGCCTTCGCTTGGTGAAGTGACTTTGCTTAGTTCACCACAGCATCGGCATCATCTGTGGATGCCTGGGGTTCAGCCAGTGGTCTTGACTGTTGAAATTAGGTTCTGTTAATCCTATCCCACCCAGCCCATGGTTTCCAGCTACTGCGTGCTGCCTGGGGCTCTGCCTTTTGTCAGGGCAGTGTGATATTGGAGGGCTTTTAATGCCACAGAGACATTTCAAGCGCATCACCAGAACAAGGTGTGTCCTTACCTGCAATCCTCACGCCTCCAAGACTAACAATTTGTGCAGATTACAAAGAACAATCCCAACCCCCTTTCCTAGCAGGTGCCCAGCTCTCTCCAGAGCAGCACCGCGTTCCCTGGTGCCGCACACCATGGAGTCTCATGGAGCTCAAGGGCACACATCTGGCATGCAGGGGGCTTGCATCAATGCTCCAAGAACAGACATGCACTGGCAGCTCCGTGGAAAATAATTAACAAGCAGTAATCATTTTTAGGCAATTCAGGAGTGCAGTGACCCCTTTCTCTAAGGTATTTCAGCCTGCTGCCACCTGGAAGGCCCCCACCAACGTTTCTCCCATAGCAGAGCAGGCAGCCATGAATAATTCTCTCCCTGGAAAGAATAAAAACCTCACTTGGGCAGGACTTCATGCCTGAAGAAAAAAAGTTTGGCCTTCAGGGTTTTGGTAAGGATATCAGAATTTAATCATCCCAAATCCTGTCCCTGTAAGGGCTACAAGGGCTCTACCGAAAGCTTTGTGCCACCTGAACACCGGTGTAAGGAGGCAGCTTTCCTGAGGAGGGAGGTCAGCTTACTGAACCCTGGTGTTATTTCTGGAGCCAAGAGGTGCAGAACTGTCCTCAGCTGTTCCCAGGACAAGCCCACGCCCCGGGCCCTTCGAGAACACGCAAACGCACTTCACCAGCGGGGCAAGAGCCAGAGGAGGACACACAATGCCCCGCAAGCACAACGCAAGGCCAAGCAGGCTCCTGCCAGTCCCGCTCTCAGGGAACACAGCACACCAAGGCCAAACACGCGGTGTCCTACCCGCTGCCCCCTTTTCCCTGGCAAACCTGGGGGGCCCATCCTCCCTGGGACTCCGGGCTGTCCCTTCGTGGGGAAGAAAAGAGACAGAGAAGGGCTGTTAGGTGGCTGTAACACAACCCCGCCAGCCTCACACGAGGGGAGCCAGCTGCTCAGAAACCCAGCCGGCTGCTTGGTGATGGAGAGGGACGGGGTATTTTTGTACCCTGCCCGCCGCAGGAACTCAAAGCAGGTCGCACCACACTGAGACAGGGAGGCTGGGCACAAACAGAGGCACCGCAGGGCAGAGCCAAATGTCTCTGTGGGCACAGAGGGGTCTGGGGAGAAGGAGCTCGCTGAGACAAGCGTGCTGTGCGTGTTTTGTGGGGTAGGGCCAGCAGGAGGGTGCTCCCCAAGCCACAGGCACCAGCAGGAGGGAAGGAATCTGTTTGCAGTAGTCTCTCTCTCACTTGGCATCACTGCACATGATTGCCCTTTGCTATTGCCCTTGCTCATGGGGGCAGGTGTCATTGTGACCTGGGTTTGGGCACTGGGAAGTGCAGGGCTGTTCCTCAGCTCCCTCAGAAGTGGAGAAAAACACCACAAGACAAAAATCACAAACAAAACAGAGCAATGCCTACAGAGTACCTTTTCTCCTGGAGTCCCAGGCTCACCCTGGTGGGGAAGAGACAGGAAAATAAGGTGAGAAAAAAAATAAAACAAGAAGACAGCACAAAACCTCCTAGAGCTCTCAGGGTGGAGGAAGGAACATTCCTCTCCGGATGTCTTGCAAATAAAGGCATGAGGATGCATTAAATGCCTATTAAAACAAGCTCCAGGCAAAAGTACTATCTTCATTAGTCAGCTCCTGGAAAAACCCATCAAGCCTCAAACAAGAGGCTTTTGGGAAACTGAGTAACCACCTTGCAGGGTTTCAAGAAGAGGCTTCCAGATGCAGGGGAGCATGGTGAGACTCTTCTGCTGGCTTTAAGGAACTCGCCTGCTCCTGGCTGTGTTTGCAGACTGTGAGGCTGCAGGCCCAGCTGGGATGTGGGGGTGTGTGTTAATATGGGAACCATGTGGGATCAGGGAGAAAAACACTCCCCACCAGCTCTAGGGATAACTTCCTTATCTGTCTTTCCTGCAGCAGCTGGGGGTGATCAGGACAACAATCACTGCACATCTCAGATCCCTCAGGGGAACTTTCCGCCCCCAATAGGCATCCAGCTCATCCCTTGCTGTGCTGCCATCCCAGCCCTGCTGCGGAGCACCGTGAGCTCACCAGCCTCTGCTCAGAGAGGTGCAGAGCAGCAGGGGCACTGCTGAAGGGGGACGTAGCCTCTCTGCCAAAAGCAGTTCTGCGGTTCCCCTGCAGTGGGAGCTGTCTGACCATTTTCCCGTGCTCTCCTCGCACAGCTCCAGCCCTTCCCTTGGACGTGCCCTACTTGAGGGACTGCAGCGCCGCGCAGAACTGACCTTCATCCCGGCGGCGGCCAACCCAGGGGCTCCCTGTCAGAAAGAGAAGAGACAGAAACCTTGTTTAAATGAACTGGATGCGAGGTTTTTTGTCGTTAAGAAATAAAACAGTACCAGCCAAGTGAAACTATAAGGCAAAATCCACATTTTCCTTTCCAACACTCCAAAGTAAAGCCATAACGCCACAGAGCGCAAGTTCTCCTTCCCTGCACGGGGCGTTCACCTAGGGCAGTGGCTTTGCTTTCCAGAAAGCTCCTCTAAAGGCAGAGATCGTGGGCACAGCCTGGTCACAAAACCGATTTCCACCCCTACCCTGCTGGCGAAGCAGGGGCCAATAAGCAGAATGGCATCAAATAACTGCAGAAAGCAAAGAGACTGAGGACCAAGCACCCAGTCCAGCTCTTGATCCCGGATATGGAGCCCAGATGCTGCTTTTGTCAGAGAAGACGAGCCCTGCAGCAAGATGTTTTCAGGAGAGCTGCGAAGCCAGCCACCTTAGGGGAAAAAAATGACTCCCAAGCACTGCAATTCGGGTGTCATTCTGCACCGCAGAGCAAGCCACCGCAAAACCATGGGACTCAGCCTGCCCTGCAACCGGAGACGGGTGCTCAGGAGCCCCGGCAGACAGGTGCACCCGTGGACAGGCACATTTTCCTCAACAGCACGGATGCAAAAAGCAGGTCGTCGGCATCAACCCTTTGCTCTACAGTCTCTGTGTGCCCTGGGTTAGTATCAGTTAGGGGCGGGTGAAAATGTCCAGTTACAAAAGCAAAGATGAGGGGTAACGGGGGGTCTAAGGAGGGAGGAGGAGGTGAAGTAGTGTTAGGAAGTGGGAAATGACAGGGCTCGGGATGTAGCACATGAGGCAGAGAGGAGGACTGGGAGCCAAGTTCAAAGTAAAGAGAGCTTGGAAAAGTTCAAACAAGGAGGAGTGGGGAGCCAGAGAGCAGCGGGATCATACCTCTCAGCTTTCTGAAACAGAAATCGGGGACAAAGCTAAAAAACACAAGGACAGAAGATGGAGATCAGGGATTCTATGCAATAAAAGGGGAAAAAAGCATTCCAGAACGTCTCAGGGGTCAGTAGGTTTTAGTGAATATGGGCTGGAGTTATGAAAGGGATTATGTGCAGAAAGTGGCTTGGGTTAGGCTTTCATGGTACATTTGGGATGCCTGCCCCTCGCTCTTTGGCCTTTTAATGGCAGCGAACACAGATGTTATTTTCTAGTACTGATCCCAAAACGCAGCAAGGCACACGCATGCAGGCTTGCTCACACACACCGACCCTGACCCATCGCTGCACCAGTCTGGGTCCGTGCCCGCACAACCCCGCGGGCCAACACTCAGCGGGGGCAGGCTCGCGGCACGGCCCCCGGCTCACAGAGCACAAATTCTGAGTGTTGCCAGCCAGCATCAGACCGGGCATGCTGTTTGCTTGGTGAAACCCTTCTCCCCCTCGCAGTCAGCACCAGGAATCGGGCCCTACACTTGGCAATTTAGAAGCGGGAAGAACTCAGCTGAGGGCAGCTGACGGACACACACACACACACCAATCCAGGTGATGCTTGCGCATCAGGGCCAGCAGAGCGGTGTGGGGAGGTCAGGCAGACAAGCAGCACTGCGCTGTTTACAAGGTACCTTCATGCCGTGTCTTCCCGGCAGCCCTGGCATGCCTCTCTCCCCCTGGAAGCAGAGCAAGAAACACAGGAAAAGAGCAACAGACACAACGTGGTGGGACTTCTTGGGGGGACTTGCACTTCCCTGCTGGCATGGCAGCGTCACCCTCAGTGGGAGCCCACTGCCAACCCCCCAAAAAACATCCCTCAGCTCAGAGCGGGGAGTTCCCAGGGACACAAGCCTTCCTTTCAACAGCACCACTAAAGCTAAGGGCTCTCTGGCCATCCAGCATTGCGAGCCCAGTGAGGAACCGAACAAAGGGATGAGAACTGCGACAAAGCAGGGACAAAAACAAAACAAAACTTCCCCATCCTCCTTGCACTTCTGCTGTAGTTGTGGCTTAAGACTCATCACTTCTTGCTCAGCCAGCCCGTGGCACACACCCTGTTCTGCTCTAGGGAGATCCCCAAGCACAAAGAAGTGCCAGATGCTGGGAAGGTAAATCCAAGGAACCTGGTGGGCCACCAGCTCTGCCAGACCAGGGAGCATTCAGGACACAAACCTAACCGCAAGAGGCATCTTCCTTGGGCTGTGCTGGTTCACTCAAGCAAGCAGAAGCGTTGGTTTTTACACAGATGCTGAGCTAGGTGTCAGGGTCACACCAACAATTTAGAAGGCAGAACAAAAATACCCTTTTTCCTCACAAGCTCATTGTTTAATAATAAGATATAACCATTGCACGGCACCTTTTGCCCACTGAGCTCAAAACTATTTGAGAAAAAAAAAAAACAAAACACTAGTAATTATGAATGCTTTGCACTAGGGAAGTGAAGACCAGCTTCTGCCCCTCTCTCCCAGCTGATCACCCTCTGTTTTTTTTTTTTTTTTTTCCTGAATGAGACAAGACCAAAGCTTTCTGCTGGGAGCATGGCCCCACAGAGCAGCCCTGCACGGGGAAGCAATGCCCCATCCCAGAGAGTTTCCTGGAAGAAACTACCTGCCTGAAGAGCTGTTTAATTATTTAGCCCTGCGAAAGCAAAGCCACCCTAGTGAGAAAGAGCGAGGTAACCCCTAACAGGGGGCAAGTTACAGAGCAACCACGCAGCCTTGACGTTTTCTGATGATGGCTTCAAACCGTTTGCACAGCCCCCATCAACACCTGCAGGATCACACAGGCCCTAGAGCTAATTAGAGAGCAGAAACAAGCAGGACGCTGCACCATTAAAGAGCAGAAAGAAACCTCCAAGCCACAGCCGGAGGATAAGCAGGAAAAGCAAGGCTCCAGAACGTCTTTAAGCCTCTAAGTGCTTGAAAGCCCTTGTAAGGCAGTAAGTACCCACCGTGCTGATGGCTTAGTGCTCTCCCCACGTCCTTCGTGCCAAGGAAGGACTGCACAGCGTGCCATAGCCACCACCAAAATGATGGAGCCAAGCCAGAAGCCAGGAAGGATCACCAAAGGCAGATGTGGGAGGTGAAACACCCAGCTCAGGACGCCAGGAAGGCAGCCAGCAGCATCTCCTGGCTCTCCCAAGCTTTGCACTTCTTAGGAAATACATCCCAGCTCCTCAATCCCCCTAGAAGAGAAATGCTACCCCTCTCCTCCAGCACAGGGGAAGCCCCTGCTCTTGGTGAGCAGCTTTATAGCTGCTCGGTGCCAGCTGTGACAGAGCACGCCCTGTGCTAATCAGCTCATTAGCAGCACTGGCTATGGACTGCTAATTACACCGGAGACCCTTCCTTCTCTTCTTCTTGCTGTGACAGGCAGAAGACGTGGAGTTATTGAGCAACGCTGTGGCTGATTTCTTATTGCTCTTTCCTCAGAGCATGGGGAGAAGCCTCATCCTAAGGAGCTTTCATGAAAAGAGACCGAAAACGTCTGCTAAGCCGAATGCAATTGCCAAGCTGGGGGGCAGCAAGTGAAATGCTTACTGAAATGACCCAGCTGGTCATACTTACAGCTTGCCTAGTGGCCTTCAGGAGACACAGATGTAGGCCTCGAGGTTATCAAATGGACAAGAGGTTTGAATGCAATCTGTAAGCCCCTGCAGCAAGGCAGAGCCTTGAGATGTTCTCCCCGAGCATAAGAAGCAGTGATATGCTGCACAAAATTGATCGCTCCAGCTCAACCATGAATCAGCTGCGGTATCTGAGCTGGGCTCCCCAAACAAAGCGGAGGTAGATCCTGGCCAGGGTAATTGAATCCAAAGGTGGAAACATGAAAAGCTTCCCCAAGTCCCAAATGGCCCTCCTGGAAGGGAGGCAGACAGGAAGAAGAAATTTCTGGGGGCAACAAATTCATGCACCATGTGGATGCTCAGGAGCTGCTACTGGGTGATGTCTGGCTGCTGATTTAGGGCTATCTCTTCACTTTTGTTTCAATTCCTCAGAGCAAAGAAGAAAGGAAGTAGAGAGAAAAGCGATACTGACAGTAACAAATGAAAGTCTGTGTGCGAAAGAACAGGCTGTTTCGGGACCGGGGAGGTGGCCCTACAGAGCTCCAATTTATTAGCACAAAAAGCGTGGCAGGTTTTGTTTCCACTATTTATGAAGTGAGATGAGTAAGGGCTCAAGTAGCTAGAGCATGTCTCCAGGCTCACACTGAATCTCTAACACAGCTCAGAGAAGGCTCTCAGCTGCGGATGACCCTGAGACATCACTGAAGACTTGGACTTTTCCCTTTTGCCAGAGCCCAAACGCAAAGAGCAGGCAGAATTGCTGCAGAGCACAAAAGCTGTGGGGGGAAAGGACTGACTCCCTCTCTGCTTGGTGCAGGCTGCCCTGCAAATAACAGATGGCAGCTACTTCCCCCATCTCTGCCCCTGGTCCCCTCCCAGAGCCCCCAAGAAAGGGGGAAGAGGAGAGTGTGAGGAGCCCCTGGACCTCCATGAAACAGCGATGCCAAAAAGTAAACTAGAATTGACTCAAGGGCTTGGGAGGCCTTCTCAGATCCATTATCTCCTGCGAAGGCTTTGTTTTCATCCCATCTGGGACGAGGAGGTTTCAGTTTGGGCTCCAGAAGATAAATCAAGGGCTGATTAGTTCTTGTACGTGGGTGAGAGCAGAGCAGGTGTCTGCTAACTGTGAGATGTGGGAGCAGGGCCGGAACACGGCCTCTCCTTCCAGACTTCTCTCCCACCTAGGCCGCGCTCCAACTTCAGTCCTGAAGTTCAGCTTAATTGGAGAGCACCTGGCTGTCGAGACAGCAGCGAATTTGTAGCTCCCAGAGCACCCAGCCCTGGGTGCAATTCTGCTTTCATTTGCACGAGCACAAACCAGAAGCAATTCTTTTGTGCTCGGTGGAATCGCACTAACGCGAAGATGGACACCGGGGAACCTTTGGACTCTGCATGCTCCGTGTTATTTCTGAGGAGGCATTGTTTTCTTGCAGGAAGACAATGCCGCTGTGATATTCGACTGTTAAACCAGAGCCTGCATTCCCAAAGAACACTTCCTGAAATTTGATGTGCTACATCCATCCACGTTTAGTTCTGAAGGTGCCTTTTCTTCTGTTTTTCAAACAGTGACGCGCCCAGATGGAAAAAATACAGCAAATGTGTATGCTGCACCATAAACGAGATGCATGCTACACACGGAATACTTCAAATGTCTGTGTCACTGTTAATGCCTTTCCAAATATTGCAGAACCAATCCTTTCTCGTGATGTTTAAAATGTATGGCATGACACGGGACGCTCTGACTGTCATGAGCACTTGCCAATGTTGTAATGTTTTAAGCACAGTCTACATTGAGTAATATACATTAAATATATGGGTACAGTAAATTTTAGGCAAATAGATAACATCTGGGCACAGACCATATGAGGCTGTAAAAAGTGTACAGAAACAGACAGAAAAAGCTGGTGCCAAACCTCAGCCTGAGTTGCAGAGTTTGAGTGGATTTGATGCGTCAGCTAACCAGATTTTATGAGGAAACCCCAACCCGTCCCATCGCATGGAGAGATGCAACAAATCATTAGCAAGCTTCAGAGTCAGAGAAATGCCTTTGCGAAGCATCAAATTCCACCGAATGGATAAAGGCTGCCTTTATTGCCTGAGCGTGGAGAGTCTGTTTGCTGTTAATGGCAGCACAGATGTGTACTCCATTAAATACCCCACAGAGCTGCCTCAGACCCAACTTCCTCTTACAACCCAGCACCCCAAGGAGCAGCATCTCCCAGATGATCTACTGTGGTAGAAAACCATATTGCTCATGCCTACCTTTATGCCGGCGTCCCCTTTTTCACCCTGCCCAGCGAAGAACAAAGGGAGAAGAAGCAGAGAGGGACAGTGAACATATGGAGAAATCGAGCAAGCAGAACAATCTTAACAGCAAAGGGCCAAAGAGAAAGTTGCTGAAGGAGGGAGTGGGTGATAAAAGCAAGCCCAGGTGTCTGGAGAAACCACGCTGCCCGTCTAAACGTGGGCTGTAACCCATCCCTCGTGGGAACGCAAGGTGGCTCACCTTGCTGGACAGGATGCTGGAGGTAGCCCACACTAATCCCTCCTGCATGTTTTGGGTGCAGACTAGTCAACCATTAAACTGTTTTGGGGAGCAGAATATCATCATTCTCCCAGCCTTAACTCAAAAGCCTCTAAAAGGCAGGTCACTTCTGTTCTTGTACCGGGACCTGTTTGGGGCTAATCCTGGTCCTGGTTCAGGAGCAAGTCTTTCCGTGTGCATGCCTTACACCAGGCAGGGAATCTGCCGCTAGCCCCCGGCCCTGTGTTTTCCTTTAGCATCTCTGGGCTTGCGTGGCACTTATCTGCCCCTGGCAGGCAGCCTCACCGGCTGCACCCAGCAGTTACCTTGGGGCCCGACGCTCCAGGGAGGCCGTGCGCACCAGGCAGGCCTGCCATGCCCGCCTCCCCCTGGGGAAGAGAAGAGATGAAACAGAGAAAGAAGCAAACAGAGTGAGCAAGCACGAAAGGGAGCGTGCAGGATGGGGCAGCAAAGGTGGGAGGGGTCCTGCACACAGGTGCCTACCCGCCAGGCGTCACTAGGAGAGAAGCACCTCTCTGCATCAAGGATGCTCAGGGTGCAAAAAGTACGGATTGAAGGGAACAGGCCCACAATCCCGTATCCTAGCAGAGCTAGCATCTTTACGCAGCTCTTTGCCCCGTTTTCCCTTTCCTCGACCCACTCACCGGGGAGGATTTTCTCCCCTCCTTTCACCCATTCCTTCCACCTTTCCCAGGGAAAGGTCGCAGCCTTGGGCTCGTTCCTCCAGCCAGAGCGCGGGCTCTTAGCTCAGCAAGTAAATTAGCCAGACACGTTGTTTCACGTAAGAGGGGCTCGTGGCAGAGGCCCTCACCGCGAGGTCGTTGCAGGGACCCCCTCACTGCCCGCCCGGTGCCCTCAGAACAGGATGGGCCCTTAATGGAAAAACCGATGGTTCACTGGGACAGGAGGCAATAAATTGCATCTGTCTGCAGGAGTGGGCTGTGGGCCGCGGGGGCTATAATTTCCACTTCCTGACAGAACAAAAACTTCTCAGTTTATACAGGACTAATTAAAAAGCTCTAAGGTCTTGCCATTTTGCTCACAGAGCACCCATAAAGCAGCGCAGGGAGAACACAGGACACGGGACTCCTGCCTGCTGGGAGTGTTCACCTTCCCTGTGTCCTGATGACATCTCTTCAGCAGCGTCCCTTCATTCCCTTTCCCTCCTTTGATCTCCCTCTGCGCCTTTCCCCTGTCTCTCTTTCTGTCTCCATTACACCCTCCGGACTTGACTCAACCCTGCTGTTAATTAGCAGATGCTAATTTAACCAGGGAAAGGATCAGCTTTTCCCTGCTTTATTGCAGGGAGCTATACTTAGCCAGGATTTGGCCCTTCCAGGTAGCGCAAGAGCCAGATCTCAGGCTGGAAGTGGCTGTAGAGAGGCACAAAGACAGGAAGAAATCCATACCACTACTGCTGGAGGGTTCAAGGTGACAGTATGGGATCTGTGGGCCTGTCATAGCCCCTGGTCCAGCAGGAGCAGAGCTGGGCAGAGAGCTCCAGAGGAGCCCACAAGGCATCTGTGCGGCTGAATTCACTTAGCAGCACTGGAACTGCCCCTCTTACCTTTCTGCCGGGGTATCCCTGAATCCCAGGGTCTCCCTGCAAGAGGAAAAAGACAAAACAAAGTGATGCTTGCGCTGAGAAGGACAGGTCCCTGCCCCTTCCCCCGACGAGATGCTGGCACGAAAGGCCACTGCATGAGGAAAATTCACTTTTTTGCTCAGAGGGACCCCCCCAAGTCGCTGAACCTCCAACCCCAGGTGTCCCTGTTACCTGCAGTGACTGACACCAGCAGGAAAGATACAAAACCCACTGGCAGCTGGGGAGCTCATGCCAGCTCTGTGCCCCAGCTCCGTGCTTCCTATCTCCTCACCCTGGCTAAGTATCTCAAACAAAAACAAATGGGGGTGGGCAGTTGCAGCTGAAAAACAACAACAACCACCCCCCCATTTGCACTTTGGCAAGTGAATAAATGGGAAACTGTGGTGGAGTTAACAATAGCATTGCAAAATCGGTTCCTGAAGCGCTGGTAAATGCTTTGAGAGTGGAAGAAGCCAATAAAGCTGTGTGTGGCAAAGAATTTTGCAAGAGGGGCTGATGAGGCGTGCCTTGCTCTGCTGAGATGCAACTCAGACACTTTGCCAGGGTAAAACCCATGAGTCAGCAAGCAAGCTGGGCCCCGAAGGCAATACAGAGCTGGGGCAGAAATCTTTCTCAGATATTTGATGTAACCTCCTTTCCCCCTCCTCCAGCCTTCAAAATGTACACTTCTCCCCGTGCCAGCAGAGTCCACCTCTCAGTTTATCACCCTGCTCCTCTGAGCGAGGCCAAATGTCTCACCTTTGGTCCAGGAGGCCCAGGTAAGCCCTGTAGGTAAAATCAAAGCAGACACTGGAGTTGGCAAATGTAGACAACATTATAAAGACTTTGGGGTGATGCTGACTGATTTGGCTTGAAATACACCTTTACAGAAATGACTTGCTTAGGTGAGCTACATCCCTGACCTATTCTTCATGTAGGTAAATAACATTTTAACCTGTACTCCCAAATAGTTCATGCCCGTGCTGCTCCATTCCCCCAGGCCTGATCTCACAGAATCCAAAGACCAAAAGCTGCTTTGCCTCGTGCACTGTGCTCCAGAATCTTTCCTGCTTCTCTGGCTTTGCTTGGGAAACTCCTTCCCAGCCCACTGTGCAGCTCTGGAGTAAATCAGGCATTGGCAGCTTTCTCTGACTAGCTAAATAGAGAGAATATATTAACAAACAAACCACTTGTGTTTTGAAATGAGAAATAACCAAACAATTTACCTGCTCTGAACCATGAAGCACACCGGATATGCGTGCATGTAAATATAAATAAACAAAATATCCATACGGGAGCTGCCTCCCTGATGTGAGCAGACAGGAGGAGAAAACTATCCCAGACATGCTTTGATACCTATATCACCCTTGATTTTGCCTGCTTATGGCAATCCAAATGTTTAGTCACCATATCCTCGGCTCCTCAGAGCTCAAAGAGAGAGGAGGATGCTTGCAGGACACCCGACACTCCAACACGTGGAGAGAGGCACTTTGGCCTCAGGGGACAAGACTTGCTTGTCCTTCTGGAAGGCCTTGAAAAGTCCTGCAGATGGCAGCTCCTTTCACAGGGGCCAGCACGTCACGCTTCTCCCCAGAGCACCCAGGAGGGGAGCTGGGTTTTGGTACCCACCTTTCCATCTCTGCCAGGCTTCCCCGGTTCTCCCACTCGGCCCTGTTGCAAAAGAGAGGCACGTTAGCACGATTTTCTGCTCTGTCCCCTGACACTTAGCAACGGGCTGTATTTTACAAGGTGCTGTAGTTTTCGCCCTCCTGGGCTGCTTGCTGCCAGCCTGAGAGCAGGACAGGAGCAGGACTTCAAAGGGACGGCAGGGATTTTTATCAGCCAGGTTTCTGCTGCGAGGGGGATAATTACAGCCTGCGTGTTACTTCCGTCTGCAGAGGAGGAGGAAACGGGGCTGGTGTCACCCCCTCGCACGTGTGTGTCCAGATAGCAACAGCACAGGGTGCCCGCCCGCCCTCCCTCCTTCCTGGGAACTTCTTCCTCCCCACACACCCGCATCCCCTGCAATTCCCCCACCCGTGGCTCCAGCAGAGGCCAGAGGAAATTGCCTGCACTCTAGGAAGAGGAAGCTGAAAGGCTTTTTCTTAATCAGACTTACGGGCGGCCCAATTGGCCCGGGCTGTCCTGGGGTTCCCTCGGGTCCAGCCGGTCCAGAGGGCCCTGGCGGGCCAGGGGGCCCCGGGGGACCTTGGATTCCTGCTTGTCCTTGTTCGCCCTGAGGTTTGTTAAAACAAGGGGTTATCGGCAGGCAGAGCAAACCCGTCACCCCAACACCCCGCCACCCACAGCAGGTCAGCCCGGCCGAAGCAGAAGAGGCAGAAGCAAGCCCCAGGTTAGTGCAGGAGAGGTTTCCAAGAGGCAGAGCCCTCCTGAGGACAGCTCCCCAAGGTCACAAAGCCAGCCGAGGCCACCTTCTCAGAGCCCAAAGGGATCTACAGATGACCAAGCAGTCCAAACAGATCTTTTCCTTTTTCTTCGCAAGTCGGTGAAGTACAATTTACGTGTTAGACATCTCCTGGGCTTCTCAGGAGGCTTTCCAAAGCACTTGACAGTCACATGTGAAGCGAAGCCTCCCGTGGCCGCGCTGGCATTCCCGGCAGAGCCGCAGCGTCCTACCTCAGCCTGTTTTTCCCCCCGCGCTCCGCGTGTTGGACAAGGCTCCCTCTGTTTTTCCAAGGACCGAAAGCAGAAATGCCACAAAAGCGAACGAAAATAACACGATCATCATGGCATTTCTGGAGCTCGCCCAAAGCAGGCCTACGTACGCCAGGCAGAGCCAGTTTCTGGAGGATTTCACAAGGCAGTGCATGCGGGGCCACCTGCCCTTTCCAGCTCCCCGAACGAGGCCGTCCCAGCCGGTTCCTCCCCTCGGTAGCCCTCCGGCGGCTGCGGCTCATGCCTCAGCAATGTCATCTGGCCCCGAGGACCAGGACTCGGGACCAAGCGGCGCTGCGGAGACAGTGGGTTGGAAGCGCCCCGCTCGAATACCAGACTGCTGATCTGTAAGCGATGGATCCAGCTCCATCACAACTCTTCCAGCCCTGCTGCTGCCCCACAGGCTCCTCTCCTCGTGGCCACATCGTGACACCCCGCTGCGGGCAACCCAACTTAAATCTGACCGGCTCTTTTTCCACGGGAAGCTAGGGATCAAGCGTGGTGGTTCCCCCGTTGTAAAGCGTTGGGTGTCTGCTGCATTGCTTCTGCTGGGTAAAACCGAGCCCGCTGTCACACAGCGTATGCAGAGGACAATGCACGAAATCTGTCCCCTGGCCGCGTGCCTCACCAGGGTGATGTTTATCCTGGCTGCCTGTGGTGAAAACACGGAGATATGGGGACATCTGCTTTGTTTAGAATGAGAAATGAAAGAAAGGAGCTGCAAATTTCAGCCCGACCGCCGTGAGCTCTGTTCAGAGGAAAAATTTCCAAGGCGTGGGCCAGGCGGACGGGAGGCTGGGGAACTGGGAGCGGGGGCCGGCTCCCTGGCAGGGGATGTGGAGATGGATAGGGAGAGTGGGAACCCTGCCCCAGCACGGTGATCGGCCGCAGGGGGCTCACCTAAAGCCCTCCTCGTGTTGGCTTCGTGTGTAAGGCACAGCGAGTGCCCATCCATGCAGATCCCTCAGCGTGCAGAATGTTACTGCCACATGGCCGCGGTCTTATTAATGCATTCAGCACGAAAAGACCCCCACAGATCTGACTGGCCCGTAAGCGGATACCGTAAGGTGGAGATCGGGTGTCACGCTCCTCAGATGTCGCTCTGTATTTTTAGCTGTTGACTGGGGCGAATTTTTCAGCTCTTTCGAACGCCATTTGGTCACCCTCATTGTGCCTCGGCGATGCACAGGTCTTGCTGATGTGCTGCGAGGCAGCGGCAGGATTTTCCTCTCTCCAACACTGGTGCAAGTATTTACTCTGCAGCCTCGCGTTTTTTTCTTGGTGTTGAAACGCCGGGCTCCTGGAATTGCTCGGTGCTGGCGGATCTGTAGGCGTGGATTACGCTTCCTCACGCTCAGGGAACGAACGTGGCAGCAGCAAAAGAGATCAGGGCAAAATCCTCCGGTGAAGCTGGCCTCTGGGAACGGGGAGAATTTGCAGCCCTGGCTGACGACAGGACGCAGGGCAGCTATTCAAGTTTCCCACTTCATCCTGGATAGGAACTTCAGCTTTCAAAGCCTTCCCAAGAGGTCAGCCCTTGGCCTGTCTCTTTGGATTGTCGTGTTGAAGGGCAACCAGCGCCAGCCACGGGGCTTTCCGTGGTGTGAACGCCGAGCTGATAGGAACGGGACCGAGAGCACGGGCCCAAGGGTTAAGGTCAGGGTTTTACGCAGCACTGGGCAAGGGGCAGGCACCTCGTGGTGCTGCAGACTGCAGCTCCCTGCTAGCATCTGACTGTCTAGACGTGCAGCTGGGTGACAAAACCCAGCCGCTTGGTAGAGGGTGCCCAGCACACTTCAGTGGGGTAATTACAGCGGTTTGTCTGCACAGGAAAGCTAATCCCGACGGATGGAGCGAGGGAGCTTAAAGTGGGCTCATTAAAAGCCACATGAACTCTGACTACGGACACTCTTATTCACCATTCATATGTCCGTAATTCCTTTTATGAATTCATTCCCAAAATAAACTAAACTAAACATGAGTTATGGCCCTGGAAACCAAAATAAATGTGTTTACACAAAGATTTAATGCAATTTAATGAAACCATTATAAGAGCTTATTTAAACACATTCTCCCAAGTGTCTTAGGCCAGACTAGCCCTCAGAAGCAGCGTTTGCCTATTCATTCATCTCAGTTAAATTTCACAGACTTTAGCTACATTTCAGCAAGAGGCTTCCAGCCTCTTCTGGAGATTGAATACGCAGGAACTGACTCTTTAAGGTAGGAGACTGCTTGTCGACAGTCCTGAGAGCAGTTTCATGGCCCATTTCTTTTCGTTTAAAGAACTGGCTTCGCTGCGTTTCTTTTTAGCCATATTATCACATCAAAGATTGCCTCCACTTCAAAGCAAGTCCCTCAGCTCTGCCCGAGCCTTTTGGAAGCCCCTCCGCAGGGGAAGACAGACAGGTAGCAAGCTGATTAATTGCAAGCATCGGAGTAGGCTTAGAAACAGGCAACGAGGAGGAGAAGTCTACCTGGAAAGTGCGTCTCTTTATGACCGGAGGTGGAGCCAGCCGCACTGAATTGAGGAGAGGCAACAGCTGAAGATCAAACCAGAAGGTCGCAGGGCAAAGGAGGCCGTTAGGGCACCGAGAGTCAGAGAGCAGCCAGGGGAGAGAACAGAGAAGAGGGGAACAGAGAGATTGCCATCAAAGTCGACCGCCGCGCGGGGCACGGGGACCTGCCGGCAGACCTCCGAGCTCCTCCGCGCCGCGCGGTGCTCACAGGGGGACGTGCTGCTCGCCGGCCTCCCGCTGCACAGCTTTCACTGCTCAGAGATAAAACTCACCCAGGGGATTTCTGACTCCGCTCCACTGCTCTCCTCCGGCAGAATTTATTGCAAGACACCCCCCCCACACACACTGGCTTTGCTAAGCTCTCCACTGACAGGACGGTTTCCCTTCATCTCTCATCATCAGATTCGGGGCGACTATCAAAAGGTTGATTTCCTCCAAGTTTCCCAAGTGTGATTTCCTATTTCTTTCCCCCTTCCCTTTCAAGAGACTGCCTGTATCTGTGGGCAGTCCCTGGGGTATGGACGGGAGTGCAGAGAGCTAGCTGGGGTCAGCAGCAGGCGTCGGGGCACCAGCATGGTGCATTCAGCCACATGGACACCACCAAGGGAGGAGACGAGACCTTGGTGAGCCCCAAGCAGGGTCTTTATTGCCCTGGGAGACTGCGCTTTGCTTTTCCTTGTTTAACAGTAACATCAGCCTCCAACTGCTTATAGCCAGGAATGCTGCCCTAGTGCACAAAGCTGACCCGGACACGCAGAAATCAAATGCACGAAAGCTCGGGAGCATTTGTTCATCCTCGTGCTGTATCCAGTTTCCACTTGCATCCATGCTGCTGTCAGCCTGGCACCCACCGTGCCGGCTCCAGGCCCAGGAATGCTCCTCTGCCCTGATCCGCTTTCCTGTTCCTATCAGTTTTCCATTGAGGCCGATCTTGGTTTTACACAGGGAGAAGAGAAAGAGGCTTTCTGTGCTCAGGCACAAAAGCCCGGCCCTGCTGTGCAGCCTTTCCCCATGTGAGCTGTGCCCTCGGAGGTGTGCCCGCAGGTCTCCCGTGGCACCAGGCGTGCCCTGGTCCCTACAAATTCCGCTCCTCACGCCCGCGGTGCAGGCCAGGACCCGGTCCCGTTGCAAAGGGAAGCAGGCACCCAACATCGCAGCGCTGCCCCATGCTCAGGCGGCTGTGCTCTGATATGCTGATCCTGACAGCCCCCAGCTATGGCAATAAAAGCACTGCTGGAAAATCAGCCGGGCTGATCTATCTGGAGGAAGCCCTGCTCTTTTTAGAAGACAAGTGCAGGAGGCCCCTTAGCTCAGGAGAGCATTTGGGGCTGAGCTGACCTTCTTGGGGGGGATGTTGCTGTGAACCAGCACAAAAGGTGTGCCTGTATGAGTGACCCGGAGCCATCTGAGCTGGCTTTGTCTGTCTCCTCGAGTGCTGAAGTGTATCTGAAATATTATGCAGCTCACAGGGAAGCAGAGGGAGGATGCTGGAAAAGGGAAGGAAGCAAGTGGAGGGAAGCAGTAAGAGCTTTCCCAAAACCAGAGGAGAGACAACATCCAGCGATGGATTCAGGTGCACGTAGGATTATTTAGAGAAGGAACCCGAGGCCTCCTGCAGGCAGCTCCTGCCCTGCCCCTCTGTGTCCCATTGAGCAAGCAGTGTGCAATATTGGGTGCGCATCCTTGTGCCTTTGCGTCGCAACCGGGTCCCGCCACGCCGTCACCCACAAACCTTCAGCGTAAGGATCTGGTTAGAGCGCAGGGCTGCGAGGGTGGTGCTTAGGTATTCCTAGGGGACAGGGAAGACGTGACAAAGGGGGTCAGTGAGACACACGGCGTTTTGGAGAGCAGAGGGAGCACGGCTGCTCCCCCTCTTCCTGGCACTGGGCTCCCGACCCCAGGGCAGCGCTCTGGGGACAGCCAGCCCACACCGAAGGTGCAGCCCCACGCCTGGGATCGTCCCTCGCAGAGCCGCAGGGCAGACAGACTCGTAGAGAAGAAAAAAATAGGAAACTGCAGCATGAGCCAAGGCATACATCCTAACCTACATTTCCTTCCTAAGAAAACAAAGGCCAAACAAAACTGAAATGACATCTCTGGCTTTCCAGGATGTTGCTTTTCCCTTCCCTGCCCAGAGCATCTGACAAAGGTCCTTGTCCATGAGTAAAGCAAGAACAAATTTCAGTTCAGTCAAACGGATGGCACTTTTACTGCAGTATGGCACTTTTTACTGAGGCTCATCCTCCTTTTCATTCCAGGAGGAGGAAAGGGAACTGCACCTCAGCTGGCTGCTCGCACCCTGAGCCTGTGAGCAGACCCTCTGGGACAGCCCCCCATGAGCTGACCTGACAGCAGTCGCTCTTCCCACGAGCACATCCTGGAATGCCTCGGGATGACCCGTGGGCTTTTTAAAATGCTGAGCTTGCTGCTTTGGTGAGTCCAGAGCTAACCTCCTGAGGCTTTGCTGGGATGTGAGGCTTTGCTCCAGCCTTTTCCCTGCTGTCCCCACCCTGCCGCAGTCACCCCAGGGCACCTTCACCCCAGGAGCGAGCGCAAGGTTTCCCCGTGTTGCTGCAGGTCCCGTCCCCACTTTTCACCTTGAGCTCTGAGGACAGACAGGAGCCAAGGGCTGTAACCAGAATCCAGGACACTGCTGGGGTGAACATTGCTGCTCGCTTCTTTTTAGCATAACAATCTAGTGAGCCTGCTCGCCTAAAGAAACACAGCTGACCCGCTATTATTGTACCCGGGCTGGCACATGCCCACCGTCCCCATCTCCCTCAGTGCCAGCTGCGATCTCGCCCCTGGCTCTGCCACACGGAGCATCCAGGGCCCTGCTCCCCCGGGGACAGGGCACGGAGCCCAGCTAATTGTCCAGAGGCTCGTCAAAAATAAACAGAAAGCCCTTAAGCCTGTCTCCCTGTACACCCAGATTGCAAATTCCAGCCGCTTCATATGATGTCGTTCCAATGCATTTCCAGTGGATTTCCAGCGCTCGGGTTGTTTTTAGAGCTGGTTAAATTTTGCCCCTGTAATCCCCTCAAACCCCACGATGTTACTCTCTCCTCTCTTGGCTGTGGTACATGCTGACCAGGCCAGGACAGAGAGGCAAGTGGGGCAATATCCTGGCTTTCATTAAGCGGCTGCTGGCATCGGTCCTCCCTCCGTGCCTCCTCTCTACCCTGGGGTCCAGCTCATGGGGGACCAGACAGCGCCGTGGCCACCCCTGCTCATCTTCAGGCAGGGAGCACAACCCTTCCTTCCCCTTGGCTCTGTGCGGGGTTGGGGACAGCAGGAGGAAGAACAACAGAAGAGGAAAGGCAATACAGTGTCCTGGGATCTGCAACCCCTGTACTGCTCCTGGCCATACAAGATGTGGGAGAGGGACAGGAGCTGGAGCACCTCTGTTCCTCCAGAAACCCCAGGTTTCACTGGTTTTTGGGGTAAGGACACAGTCCTGGTCTCCACCACGTATCTGTGTCTAACCCCACGGGGGCACAGAGGCTCTCCAGGAAGAAGCAACAACAGCATTTAGCCGGGAGTCAGCCGCGGTGGGCAGGAACAGACCAACATCCCTCCTGGAAAACCTTATCTGCAGCTTTTCATGTGAAACACATCAATCAGCCGGGCGCTGCTGCCTGGATGAGGCACCTCGTTAATGAAGAGATCTGTATTTCCAACAAGAAGCCACTCAAACGAAGGGGGATTAACATGCAGGAAGGCACAGGACAGACGATAACGACGCTAATGACTTACCCTGTGGGGGTACTCCGCACACTGACCCTGCGAAAGAAGGGGATTAAAAGGAAAGGGTTTAAACCACGAACAGAGAGGACCAAAATAGACGCAGGGTCAGAACCACAAGGTGTAAATCACTGCGGCCCTACTGAACTCAGTGAGGCCATGGCAATTTACACCTGATAAGCAGCCTGCCTTCCACCCCCTGCCCCCAGAGCCCTCTGTTTCTCCTGCATCTCTCGGCCACTCAGAGTCTTTAGTTTTAATTTTTAATTTACTTTTCATTTTCAACACATCTCATGTTAAAATTACCTTTTCTCCTTTTTGTCCCGGGGGTCCCTATAAAAGAAAAGTGATTTTTAAAAAGCTCTCAGTAGAGAGGTCGGTGCATGCGAGGGGAAAGGGATCGGGGAGGTAGAGCTGCGAGATGGGGTACTTACTGGTTGTCCCCTGGGACCTGCAGCACCCTTTAAAGAAACACATTGTGATGAACGTGAGGGGAATTCCCATTTACAGTGACAAGACAACAAAACTCTCAGCATAGGGTGGAAGCTCAGATTTTAAACACGTTTGTGGCGAAAAGTTCCCAAGAGAGCTCTGGGCCCTTCGTGAAAGGGGGAGTGAAAACACACACATGTTCTGGCTGCACTGTAGTGGGGGAATTATTAGGAGAGGGGGAAAATCATCAGGAAAACACACCCTTATTGTTCCCGGGCCCTCAGCCGATGCGCTGGGATGGAACCAGCAGCGGCCAGGACTGAAGCCTGGTTGCGCAAGTGAGGGATGTCAGAGCGGGGAAGGGGATCTGCAACATGTGCTCGCCAGAGGCTACACCAACACCCAGGCTCCAAAAACAGAACGCGCAGAAGAGAGCACGCAGAAATTCAGTGAGCGAAGGTGACTACAGAGCTGCTAGCTTAGCACGTTGGTGTTCGGGGATGTCATCATCAGAGATGTCAAGAGGAACAAGACCGCATTTGGGTTGCCATCAAGTGCGGCCCGAGTTTATCATTTGCGACTGAAAGCATTTCGGTACAGCGCGCAAGTGAAACTGAGCTTCAAGAGGGGGAAGGAAGATATTTAATATGAAAAATGTGCTTGTTTTTGGTTAGATAAGTTGAAAGCCACCAGATGGGTTTTCAGAAAACTTTCCATCAACTTTTACTTCTGCTATGAGGCCAACCACGAAAAATGTCAGCTCCCAGAGTATATTTAAAGAACATAATTGCTAACTGCAAGGAAAACATATCCCATGCGTAACTAGAAAGTTGCTGTTGTGACATGATGAATCGATAGCCGTAATGTAAAAATGACAGACGTGCACCCCAGCATGCTGCAAGTTACAGGATTAGGGAGGGCAGTGGCTGAAGCAAAGGACCTCTAGCCTCGCTACAAGCTCATTTCCAGCTGAGTAATGTCCTTCCAAACTAACCCAGAAGCCACAAACAGACAGATTTTGTTATTATTATTATTATTCTTTTTTACCATTTCCCCTTTCTGTCCAGGATGGCCCTGCAAAAGAAAGACAACGTGTCTCAGCTTCAGTCATCATAACTTCTAGAAGATGTTGGCTTTTCCTGCTTACCCCTTGCCTTGGGAGGTACTTTGTTGAGGGAGTGGACACGCCAAGCACATGCAGCTTCGCTTGCGCACCTAACAGGACACCACTCGCCCTACCCAAAACACTCCGAACAAAGTGCTTTCCCTGCAGCAGGCAGGCTGATGCTCTTGCAAAGTGCTGTTTTATAGATTTGCCTAGAAAGAAAGCAGCCACGTTCTCTCTTCCTTCATCTCTTGACTCCTGCATCTCCCCCCAGGCATTTGTGGTCTCCTCCTGCCTGCCAACCTTCTAATTTTCTTTTAATCCACGCGTGTGCATGACATTGCAAAATTACCCTCTCTAAAGCATGCTTTGCAGCAGGCAGGTTGACAGGCCAGTGGGACATAGCAGGAGGGAGGGCACAAAGCCCTGAGAGAAGCTGTTTGCTTACCGGTTTGCCGTCCAAGCCAATAGGGCCCTGAAATCAAAAAAAAAAAAAAAAAGAGAAATGAGGAGAAATGCTGTTGCTGGGGTGTCTGTCTACTTGTCCCAGCAAGCTCTATGTGCTGCAAGACTGCACAGCTGGCTACCACCCCAGCATCCTCACTGCTCCTGCAGGGACCTGCTCACTGTCAGCCCACTGCAGCAGCAAAGCTGGACACACGAGGAGGCAGGAGGGATTCACAGGCAATTTGCAAAAACCCGCAGCATTTCTCGTTGCTTCGTCCTGTAAAGTAGTTGGAAATCAGCACAGTTTTCTCAAGACTTTGATTTTAAAAGGCACCCACCGTTGGGGGAAGAGGAATTTTTGCAAACGATCGAATAAGAAAAGCGCCCCGGGGAAGAGGTGACACAGCTCAGCAGCATTTTGAAGGTACTGCCTGATGAGAAACAGGCTCTGCAGAGCGCTGTCCCACCCGGCGCTTCTTGAGCCGTGCCGATTTGCTCTCTGCTGCTCCAAAAGCCAAAGACCACAAGGGCTGGGGGGAGATCTGCTTCTCCTCAGCCCGGGGGCAGCTCAGGGCCCCCCTTTCCACAAAGGGCAGAGCCACAGATCCCAGTCAGACAGCTCGCAGACTGCCAATTCCTCCTGTTTTCCAGGCGTGAGTCTCCCCCGCAGACCTGCTCTGGCACACGGAGCAGCAGCTGAGCTGCCTGGCGGGAGCAGGGGCGCCAGGGGTGTTGGTGCTCGCCTTAGGCTTCCTGGTTGTCCAGGAGAAGTGCACAAGAATAAATAGCAACCCTGTGAGTTCTCCAGCAGCCTCAATGCTCCGGAGAGCATTGCCAGCAACCGTAGGGCTGAAATGATATTTGTTTTGTCCTCTCCTGGGCTTGTTTCCCATTCCCTTGCCCATCTGTAACTTAGCATTGGAGAAAAATCTCCCCCTTCCTGCGCTTTTTGTCCTTTCTCTTTGGCATGACCAGAGAGTTCAGCTCACAGTCCCCAGCTGAACTGCATCGTGTGGGACCTGTTTGGATCACAGATGCCTGCTGCACTGCAGAATCACCTGAAAGCTCAGTGAGGGCTGGAATTTCGCCTAGCTGGGGTTATTTTCTTTGTTTGGGTGGTATTTTCACAGGATGGTTTTCTTTTACTGAACAGATCTGGCTTCAACTATGTTATTTTAACACTTGTGGTGTGTTTTTTTTTTAAATTAATTTCCTTTTGGATTTTTTTTTCCCCCCCTCCATAAGTATCTTTTAAAGGAAAAAAAAAAAAAAAAAAAGAAAAACAAGTGAAGAAAAAGCTACTTTTTCCAGTGATCAGGTCAGGTCCCTGGTCTCAGACAGAAATGATAAGCTCCAGCGAGCACTAATGATGCTTCCTAGGAATACTGCACACACGTACCCCATAAATTAGCAGTTACACTTACCGGGAATCCAGGAAAACCTCTAGTTCCAGGCTGTCCCTGGAAAGGGCAAAACAGAGAGAGCAGTTTAGAGGAACCGAAGAGGAATTTGATGAACCCCCTGTCCTCTCTACGGAACCTTTCCTTCAGCCTCTGCCCATTTATCCTGCAGCTCTCTGAAGAGTTACCCAAGGTCTGATTTGATTTCCCTCCAAGGGGAAGGCGACTTGGGAAGGAGTGGAAATCTCACATCCCTGCTTCAATTTGTACAGGGCCAGCAAAATGCTGGAGCAGGTCCAGCTTGGACTGCAAGCCGTTTCCTTGAAGTTTGTACATTAATTAAACGGGTGTCCCTAGCCCATACGCTAGCCTTTTGGAGTACGTTCCAGAGGCTGAGCTCATTTTATGGCAATTCTTGCTGCCATAAACCAGAGGCGTTTAATGCAGGGTGCTGCTCTGTGCAAGACAAACCTCTCAGGTCACTGGTGTCTAAACACAGCCATTCCTCTTTTCCTCCCCTAATGTGCATGTCCCAGTGCATTCATTTTCCTCACAAATAATTCTGGAGAAGAGATGATTTTTTTTTTCTGCCTTTTTTTTTTTTTTTTCCTCTAAGAGCTATGAGAAAAAGGAGAGTTAGGCGGTGTGATGAGGAACATGAGCACCAAGTTATTTTCCCCTGTGTTTTTCTGGCTAGCCAGTGCTGGCTACCATTTTGGGATCAGGTACAGCAAACAAACTAGCTCGCTACGTATTTGGCATCTTCTTTACTCACTTAAAACACAAGGAAAAAAAAAAAAAAAAAGGAAAAAATTGTAATTGTCCTAGCTGCTAATTTTGCATAATTGTACAGTTTCTGGGGCTTGTGACATGTCAGGTCACAAATACCCTAGGCCTTTGCTCATCCAGTAAAGATACCACTTTACTTAAGGACTTCACAAAAAAATGAGTGAGCCAAGTCAGGAAGGAAGGTGGACCAGATTTCAGCATATCTGGAAGCGAAGCCACGTAGATGAAAATAGCAGGAAGAGGTAAATCCTGTACCATGCTCATCGAGTGACCACTGTCCAGCTTGCTTTCCCTAAAAGCTGTGCTGCGATGACAAGAAGCCCAGCTTTCTTGTGCCTTCTCAGCTTCGTTTTGGGGAAGAAAATGCCTTCCGTAGGCACTTGGAGATACTGTGACTGGACTGTTTGAGCCTTGCAAGGGTCTCCTAGGAAAGAGCTGGGTATGAGCAAGGGTTTGCTTCTTCACCTTAACATCCTGTGTGGTGACGTGGGAAGGGGAAGAAGGGCACAGGTTTGCCAGACTGCAGGGAGCTGATGAGATTTGCTATAGCAAATAATTTCTGTCCCCTTGGGAGACTGCTTGGAGCCACATCAGCAGGAGAGGGAAAACCTTCAGGTTACATCCCCTCCATCCTCCCTGTGCAGAGATATTCAGTGGGGATTTGACCCCGCAGAGAATGAAGGCAAGGAACCTCTTTGCACAGTCTGAGGGCTGCTCCTACCACAGCGCCTGGACTCGCACCAAACAGTTGTGTTTCTCTACACAGTGCTAGCAGGACCGAATCACATTTGCACTGTTTTCTTAGTTTTGCTAAGTTGAACTTGGTCAGCTTTGCTTTGCGTTGCAAGATACATATAAAACCACCTGGTCTTGTTGGCCAGTGACCAGGAGGGAAGATAGGCTATAAATTAAAGGATTTGTCCACCGCTGCTTTCTGAAAAGGCAAAAAGCAAGAAGAGCCTAGCCACAATTCATTAATTTTGGTTCCCTGTTGGAAGCCTCCCTGGACAAGAAGTGCTAAAAAAAGAATTAAGGAGAAAATCTGGAAATGGTGCAATTTGGCTTCCTCTCTAGACTACAGACTGCTGCTTCCCTCTCCTTGGAGGCCGGCAGAGTGATTTGCACGGTATCAGGCCAAAACAACAGTTCAGCAGCGAGCAATTCCAAGAGACTGTTTTTGTTGGGTAGCTGTTTTTCCTTGTCTTCTTTTTAAGATGTTGATCCTATGAAGTATGTAATCCTGGGAGCTGCCAAATCGTGGAGATCATCTGTTTCTGCCACTATCGGCACACTGTCCCTCTCCGGCCAGAAGTTTAGCAGCTCTGAGCTCAAGTGAAAACTTCAACCTCCAAATGGAAATCTGGAAACTATTTCTCATCCCACGTCTTCCCAAGTGGCCCCTTGGCCGGGCTTCCCGTGTTTGTCTTCAGTGCTCAGCCATCCTTTTGACCTATCACCAGCTCCACTGGAAACTGGATCATCTTCACAACAGGCTTTGGGGTGGAAAGCGGGGAGCTGCCCCGTTCCTTGCACCTCAGAGCTTTGACCAGGTTAGGCCAAAACCCATTTTAAGTACCATTCGCCATTTTCTGCCGTTTTCAGGGTGCAGCATGTTCTGTGCTTTCCCAAACAGCAGCAAAGGCAAGGAGGCAAATAAGCAGCACTGAAACAAACATTAGAATTTGTCCTGCAGACCAGGCACATGTCCTGCAGGAAAAGAGCAGTGCCCATCCCCATCTGCAGGACCTACAGTGCCAGGGACCACCAGCTTTCCTCTCCCATTGCTATTCCACGCTGTGCAGGAGGCTGAGCACTACAGCTTGAGGAAAACAGAAAAAAAAAGGTGCGGCATTTACCCTCTGTATCTGCTCACAGGGCTGGGTGGCCTTTCTCAGGGGCTGGAGGGACCGTCTGCTGGGTAGCAAATGCTCAGGGCACACATTCACATCCTGGGCTTCAGTTCTGTCGCTTCTCAAACTCCAGCATGCTGGGCAGGTGTGCCTGGGACCCTGCAAAGCTGTTTCTTGTTAGAAACACTTATCACGGGGCTTTTGGAAAGCTAATTGGAAAGCCAGATGTAGCCAAGCGTTCGTGCTGCCTAGGTCTCTCTCACTTGACCTCTGCTGGGAAACAAAAGTCGCCGGCGGCCCATCCTCTTCGCAGGTCAAGGACGGTGCTCTTCACAGGTTAATCAAAATCGGAAGTGCCCAGCGGGAGGGAGAGAATTGAGGCTCTGGGTCTTTTCTCATGGAAATCTCCGGTGGAGGCTGCACGGGGATGGAGTGAGGAGGACTGGCTGCATCTGCACAAAAGCAGAGGCTTGACGGCTGAACCGCAGAGCAAGAAGCATCCAGAGCTTAGGGCACGCCAAGGCTCCAGCCCTTCACGTCCTGTCGGCCTGTTTTTATTACCCCACGCTTGCAAAAAGCTTTGTCTGGCTGACTCCCTGTGTGGATTCTTTTGCTGAAGTGCGGTGCAAAATCCTGCCTGGCCTTTCCTCTGCTCCCCAGCCAGCAAAAGGACTTTCAAGATTGTGGTAACTGTGCTGACAAAGAGTTTCCAAGATTTTGGGTACTGATAAGGACCTCTGAACAACTCGGATCTACCCATCTGTATGAGTTCCCAGTCACCAGCTTAGCCCTGATCCTGCCCTTCTGCAAAATCAGGGCTTTTGGCCTTCACTAATGAAACCAAAGGCTGAGATCAGCCAGAAAAAAGGGATAGTCTCCTCAAAAGTGGTAGTGGCCCTGCCTCAAGAAGGAAATATGCTTCTTCCTTTCAAATACAGGACTACGGTCTCCTTGCGAGGCAAGGCTTCTTCATTTGTTCTGGAGCATGAGCTGTAATTTCATTATATATAGTATATAATAGTGGTATAAAACCAAGCATGGCTCAGCACGAGAACCACATTATACAGGGTTTTTGCTCTTTCCCACCGATGCTGTCTCGCTGCCCCTCCTAAGTCTTTCCCTGTAACTTGCCCACATCCTGAATCAGTCAAAAATAGAGAAAAAAGCCACTTACGGGTGGACCGCGGGGCCCAATGATGGACATGCCTGCTTCTCCTGGAGCACCCTGCAGAGAGGCAGAAGAAAAGGAAAGGGCTGAACGAAGGAAGAAATGAAAATACTTTAAAAAAAGACATTCCCACCAAGACTGAGGTTAAATGAGGGTGCCCAAGGTGTGAGAACATCAGGGCTCATGAGGCAGCTGCTGTTCTGGCCTCCCCCAGCTCTTACCCTGCACTCTGGGAGAGGAGCTGTCATTTGGAGCTAAAATGGAAGCTGCACAGCAAGGCAAACTGTAAACAAGTCAAACACTTGCAGGCTCTGTCTCTTACAAGTGTGAAAGATTGCCTGAAACCCTTACTGTTGTTAGAACACATCATGGTGTCAGGCCAAGCTTCAGCTCAAGAGATGACTGTTTTTCTTTGGCATTTGCCCCTTGAAAATATCTGCTGCTGATGCTCAGCCTCAGTCCCTGATCCCCTCCACAGTGCAGGACTTTCTAGGCACCTTTCACATTCCTCCCCAGATGCAGCTCCATTTTAGTGACTGCTTTCTGCCCATCGTCTATACTCTTTGTAAAGCACTCCGTCTGCTTCAGACAGCAAAAATATTTGGGGAAAAATAAGCTTAAAGAAAAGCACAGATTCTGAATATTCTCCAGTGGACGTTTATAAGAACATCTTTTGTAGGCAATACTGCTGGCTGGAGAGCACCATGCTGAAGAGCATATTCTCTATTACAGGGTAAGGAAAGGGCAGAAAGGGATTGTGCAAGCTGCCATGTCTTTGGACCGCAAAGCTAGCGATTCTATGAATAGGTCAAATGAGACTTAATGACCGGACAGGAATGTAAAAGTTTAGGTCTAAATTAAATAACCCCACGTGGAAGCAGCTTGGCATACCGTGCAGTATAAAGGGCTGGGGGGAACATCCAGAAAATAAAGGGCTTGCTCATATGTGGTTTCTGGAAGAGACTGGGTCTGCCATGGAGGCAAGGAGTATGATTAATAATGGATCACGTTGAGCCAGACAGTTTGGGTCTGATCCTAAAAGGACATCAATCCTGACACCATTTTGGTACCTGAAAATTGTTGCAGCCCCGCTGCACCAACACACAAAAAAAATACTTGAGGTCTAGCCCCTCCTGCACCAAGAACCTGCCAGCTCCACTGTGGGAAGGGCTGGATGGAGCCTTTGGGGCTGGTTTCCAGCCCAGCTGGGACTCGACGCGGGAGATCCTAGCAGCAATAACCCCTGGCCACTCGTGCCCTGCCACACAAACTGCCTTCATCCTCAAGGCAGAAACAGCCAAGATCAGCCAGGTCTTGGATCCTCTGGATCCTCTTCTGGGTTGACTGAAAGTCTTAAAGCTGCAACATTGGCTGGGGAGAGTGCAGCACGATTTGCCCAAGGCTTCTTCTCTATTGAAGTGTGGACTGTACTAAGCGGGCACAGAAACAAGACCAGAAGTCAGCAACAGGCAGCTGATAAGAGGGACGGGGCAATTAACAGCTGCCAGCACAGCAGCTGAGCTGTCTCCTCCCCACAGCTCAAGACCTGGGTGTCCAGGAAGACACTGACGTGTCCTGCACAAGAGACAGAAGAAGGGTGGCCTCGAGGGGAATGGGAGCTGCGGGCAGCTTGCCGGGGAAGAGCTTTTCTGGTGTGTCAGCTCAGATGGGACGTGGATGAGAACAGCAAAGTCCTTGCTGGAAAAGCAAACAGCCGCTTGCCAGCTCCTAGCCACCCACGATGCACGATGGGCAGGCCACGTTCGTGCCTTTGGAAAGCACGCTGCATCCCTGAGAGGCAGCTCCAGAAGTGCCCTGGGCACAGCAGCCTTTGGATGGAGCAGCCCATAAAGCAAACAGCCTGCGGCAAGCAGGGCTCTCTGCAAAACAAAGCTGGGGTGGCCAAGGAGCTAGGGCCTCACGGAGGGCTTTGGGGAAGCGTGGTTGGTCTGTCAGATAATGTTTGTAGGCTCCAATGAACAAGCAGGAGCTGGAGAGCAAGGAGAGGACCTGTCTTACCTCACCCTTCCTCACTGAGCTTTTCTATTTCCTAGCAAGAGCAGCAAATGGCCCTGGCATGGTGAACGTCCACCCCTTTCCTGGTTCCTACACCTTGCTGCTGCTGGCTGCCGTTTCCCAGTTATTCACACACCCCAAACACATCCATTCCACTCTTCTTGCGGGTGCCAACCACTACCACGTCAGAAACGGGAGCGTGCCATCCTGTTTGGCCCTGCAACAGCTCGCACCAGGGACTGGGCTGCCCTGGGAGGCAGAGGGGAGCTGCAGGGGTGGTTAGGGCAAGCGGCGCTGCCAGCAGGGAAGAAACTCAATGGTTAACACCCAGGAAGCCTTGAGGGGAGCCCTGCATGTGCCCGCCAGCTCTTACACTGTTAGTAAATTGTCATAAACAATAAATGCAGTGTTTTGGGAGGCTGAGTGGCCTGGAAAGAATTTGGGAGATAAACTCACACTGCTGGGGGAAAGGGGGCAGCCTGGGGAGCGGAAGCCCAAAGCCAGGGCTGTGGCAAGGGGTTTGGGCTGGCCCTACAGGAGAGCAGCTGGGGACAGTGTGGGCTGCAAGGAGACGACTCACCTTCTCTCCGGGTTGCCCTTTTAGTCCCTGCGTCAGTGGCACCCATCACAGCCACATGCAAGAGGGTGCAGGGGGGAGAGAGAAAGAGAGAAAGAAACACAAACACAGGCGTCAGCGGCAAGAGCGTGCTCCCCTGCCCCCAAACCCAGGCTGTGGGGTCTGGGTGAGCAGGGTGGCCTCAGCTCCCACCCCAGCCCTCCTACCCCATCCTCACCCCAGGTTGCCCGAGCAGAGAGCAGCCCCAAAACGCAGCGCTCAGCCAGACAGGGCTTGCTCAGGGCAGGGTTATTTGGATAGGGCAGCTGCGGGCAGTGGTGTGAGTTAGCAAGCCCACGGTTAGCAAGCCCAGCCGGCGCACAGGGCAGATCCCGAGGGGATGGAAACACCTCCCACACGTACGTGGTTTACAGGGCAGGCCACCCTGTTGCAACCAGGAAAGCCCCTCAGGTGTAGGGCTTGGGGAGGGTGGCTTTGCTCACGTTGACACCCGCCAAGGGCCAGCCTGAAAGATCCCTGAAATCTCAGGGGTTGGAAGAGGAGGGGGAGGACAAGGCACAAGGTTTTGACTTACCGGCCGTCCAGGAATCCCCATGGCGCCTTTGTCTCCCTGGCAATTAAGGCAAAACCAGAGGCAATTGGAAACTGGCCAAAAGCAAGGTTATAAAAACTGCACAAATGAGCTGTGCCACAGACACGGCTGAGAAGCACGGTGCAAGTATCCGGGGATTTTGAGAGAGGGAGAGAGCAAGTTAGAGAAAAAGTGCGTCTGTGTGCGCCCCAACCTGTCAAGGCAGCTGTGTAAGCCACTGGTTTCTTTGTAATATGACAAACCAGCACGTCTCCTGATAGAAATGACATAAGATGACTTTAGGAAGGGAAAAAAAAGGCAAGAGTCAGCCTTTTGTTCAGCCTAACAAAATCTAATCCCAATTTCCAACACTTCATAAAATCCACGTCCTGGGAACCAGCTTCGTGCAGTAGTCAACTGTCACATTTTTCTCTTTCTTCACCAAAGTCATCTCTGGTGTTAGCTATTTATTTATAGAGTTATCACTTTTAAACAGGATTCTCTTAGACTTGAGAATACACTCCTGTCCAGAAGCATGGAAAAAAAAAATGTGGGAAAACAAGCTGACACAGGAAAAAGCATGTCTGGAAGAAGACATACGAGCAGCTGTGTTCGGTGTCCTCTACCCCTTTGAGATACTTCCCAGCGCATTGTCAGGGTGTGAACAATCCTAACAGCGGTTTGGGGAATGACTTTGGGTCAGGCAACGCTGAACAGAGCCTTGTAAACACACTGACAACACCGGTGGCAATTTCCTTCAGCCACTTACCTACACAGCAGATTCCTGCCTCTTGCAGTTCAGTTTGACTTTGTAATTAAAAATAAAATAAAATGTATATTGCTTTTTAAAATTAACCCTTTCTACATTCCTGGTTGCCAAAACTAAAGGCTGTGCAGATCTGGTAGCCAGTCAGAAAGATCCTTTCAGCAATCAGCTGCTGTGGCTTCAGCAGTCACATCACTTTTGTTCTATGTTTTGCAAAAATGACACGATAACAATCTCTCAGTTCTGTTCCCAGCAACGTTTGGGATTTTCTGATGTTCTCCTGCCCATGGCTGCCTGCAGCCCTAGACACAAACTTAGCTTCCTAGTTTCTGCAGCTGGAGGCACTGCTTCATCGATGCCACTTCTTTGTGCCTTCCCCAGGGCCAGTCCCAATGTCTGTGAACGCGGTCTGAAATCTCTAGAAGGGGAACGCACTTTTTTTCTGGGTGTACACACAGGTTCCTTTGGTCATGCATCCCAAATCCATATGTTATTGCCAGGATCCAGCCACGACCTGGTGAGAGTTCAGCCATTTCCCTCTGCAGAGAGGGGAGGCCGTTCAGTTTTGGGTACATTTCTTTCCACACAGCTCATGTTTGGACCAACTGGAAAGCAGTAGCTGCTTTGCAAGAACATCCCTTGCAGATGGACAAAACACTAAGCAGCTGCTTGATATAACTTTCGTAGATGATGGGAAACTGCTTTCATCTAGGGTTTTTACGCGGGCTCCCAGTCCAGCTAATATTTGCCTATCTCTGCATGTCAGCAGCGAGCAAAACTCCCGGTGTCAGCATCCTGCCCTGGGATTACTCAGCGGCTGCTGGAGAGCAGAGCGGCGAGTTTCCCTAGGCTTTTAGCCCTTTAAAAGCTGCTTTCCTCCTGAGCTGCGCTCCCTCACGGTTCAAGGTAAAAGCTGAGTTTATTTCTGCTGGCTCTGCCGTGGCCGGTGCCCGAGCAGGAAGAGCCCGAGGTCGGGGCTGAGCTGTGTCTGGTCTCCAGTGAGTACCTGGTGCCGGAGCGGTACGTGACTGCGCCGTGTCTGTGCAGCGTTACAGCCCCCTGAGCAACCTCAATGAAAGGGGGAGCTCCCGGTAGGACAGCAAATAAATGCCAGATGTTTCTGAGGAAAGGTTGGCTGTGATGGGGAGCCAGGAAAGAGCGCTTCTGGGTGGACGATACCATGTAGGTCAGTCACAAATCCCCAGCGAAGCTGCCTGCAGCTCCCGTGTCGGAGCTAGAGGAGCACAAAAAGCCAGGAGCAGCCTCTGTCCTGAGCCAGGGGGAAGCCAGCAGCACAGTTGGCTTTGCATTCGTTGGGACACTGCCCCTTACAGCTGCTGCCGTCACCAGGTGAGCTGCTGTGACCCCAAACCCTGTGCTCCTTCCCTGATCACGACCATCACAGATGCAGATATTATGGACTTCCACATTTGTACCAGAGTGACTTAGCTCTTGCAAATCCTGCCACAATTACCAAGCCCCATCAGCAAGAATACAGCACGCTGCACCTCTTCAGCTGGGCCTTCACACTGAAAAAGGCATCTTCAGAAGCAGGTTCCCAAATGTGGGAAGGCTCATAAGGACTACGCTACCCTAAAGTCTGGTCCTACAAAGCTCTTGCGGTCCCAGACCTGTTACAAGCCATGTGTGAGACCTCTACCTTCTCCCTGCTTACAAACCCTGGAGATGGAATTACTGCCAGACAGGGAGAGGGAACAAAAAAGAAAGAAGGGAGTATTTACCGGAAGCCCTGGTCTTCCTGTAGGACCCTGAAACAAAATGCACAGAAAAAGTGAAAGTTAGCTTCAAAATCTGAATGGGGGTCTTCATAAAGAGAAGGAATCACAAGGCTTTAGGAAACAGGATGGTTAAAAATCTCCCCACAGCTTGTTGGCCATCAGCTCTGACTGCCTGGGTTTCCTAATCTCCTGTTCGTAAAGTTTTCTCTCCTTTCAGCATGGCTCTACCCACAGCTCTCCGCACGGGCTCCAAGGTATCTGCAAGTCCGTGGAGAACAAGCTAATTACAGGGCTCTGACTTTCCTCCTTAGTTTCCATCTGCTAAATATTAATTTTTCATGTATGGAATTGCTGTAGTTGCCACAGAAATGTTGCATGTTCAGAAATGGGAGGGAAGATGTCCGTGAGAGGATCTTTTCCTTCGGATGTGGTCCAGACAGCGAAAAGAGTCCGGGAACCTCAGGCCTATTGCATGATTTCATCATTTCCTTCCTTCCTTTGCCCCTTTTTAGTCCCGATCTCACCAAATTTCTCGCATGACTGCGGGTTGCCCTTGCCTTCACCAAAGCCTCGATTGACTTGGTGGGAGCATCTGTTGGGCAAGAGGAGAGCGTGGAGGCTCCTTTTGCTCCCGGGAGCGTTGCTCATCCTTTTCCTTGGCTCTTCCCCCAGCTGGCCAAGACTACAGGCTGGGCTCAGCGCGTTCCTGAGGTGCCAACACCTGGCACCAGGGGCTGAGCCCTACCACCTGGCATCTTGTCTTCTGCGAGCTGGGAAAGAAACCCGGGAGAGGGGCGAGAGGTTGCCAGTGCTTTGGGGTCACCGTCTAGAACACGTACGACAGCCAGCCAGGCAGGAGCCCCAGTGGGTTGCTCATAAGCTTGGGTTTCCAGCCGGTTTTAATCATGAGAAACATGCAGGGAAGAAGTACTTCCTACAGCAACGTGGAAGACTCTGCTCGACTCTTCAGCAGTGAATTTCTGCTCACGGCAACTGAGCCGGTCTCGCTCACCAGCCCCTTGGAAACCCAGAGGTCCTGAACGAGACGAGGGTGCTGTTAGCCCTAGACACATCCCACTTTGGCTAAAGACGCTCGGTCTGCCTGACTTCCTCTTGTTATTTCCATTGGCTGGAGCACTCCTCACGGCCTGTCCTCAAAGTCTGCGTGCGGAGACAGGTTCAGGGGTCGCAACGAGGCAGGATACGGTAGCGCATATTGTCAGCACTTCTCCGGTGGTCCCATGTGTTTCTGCCAGACTTCAATCTTTCATTATGATATTAAGTTTCTAACCCTTATTGCTGCAAAGAAAGCCTGGAGTCTGCGTCTTCCTTGCCCTGCAAAGGCACGGACTGCTCCCCAGGAGACGTCTGCACTGACCTACAGCTTCCTCTCCAATTTCCCCCAGCAGCAATATAATCATCTAGTGCCAACTTCCCTACCAACGCTGTGCCACATCCCTTTAGCACCAACATGTGCCTGCCTGAGGCTCCGCTTGCAGCCCCCTCCGGAGATGCGATATCCCCCCAGAAACCACAGGCTAACGCTGAAATACGTTCACTTCAGTGGCCGGTCCTGAAAGCCCCTGGGATCAATGATTGCTGAAGGTTTGCACGGAGCAGGGCTTCCAGCTGTAAAATGCTTTCAGACCTTCTGGCCTGGAAGGTGCAACTTTTTGGAAGATTGTTGTCATTAAATCGGGCTGCGCTCATATATCTGTGGGAGTTCAGTCTACAGCATTTTGACTTGATGAAAGGGGAAAATAGGTTGTGCAGCAACTACTTCTCCTCAGAACGTCATCTGCAAACTGTTTAAGACATTTTTGCATGAACAGACAAAAGATGACTACCGTATGTTTAACTTCTCATGTTCCTTCACAGAAACCAAGTATAGTTACTCTATTGTACAGGAATATAACCCATTTCCTCTGGAAGGACCGTGCTACAGACAATATAGCATTTCTTTATAATCCTGAGAGATATTGATACATGGCCTCATTCCTTACATTGCTTCTTCTGATTCACTGTGGGTCTCTTAATAGCTGTAAGAAAACTTCTGCAATAACCTAGCTATTTTCCTGAAGCCTAAATCGTCTGCGCTGAGGTTTTGCATTAGCTAACATTTGAAAAGGAAGCTGTCAACACAATTTTTCCTCTGAAATTGATAGTTATGCAGCTATACTTGAAGGCCCAACAGTTCCGCAAGCCCGGGTGAGTAGCATGGAGCAAGTCCCTGCCGCTCAGCTCGCGCCATGTGTTTGCGATCCATCTTCCCTTTTTTCACAAACATGTCTCGTTCGGCGTGTGGCATCCAGTGCATGCGAAGCACATGCAGCCGATCCCCCTGGGGTATGCGGGGCCAACTGCTAACACGCGGATATCTGAGCCCCTCACGTTTGCTTTGTCCCCGTCCCTGCAATCCCCCTGTCTCGCCCTCGGAAGTTGCGACACGGCCGAGAGGGATCCCACCCCAACGCAGGCGCTGAGCACCCGCAGTACTTGCTGTTTGTGACATCCCGGGGCACCCGGACTGCAAAGGACACCACAGACGGGAGACTTTGCCAGTTCATGCCCCACAAACTGTGTCAACAGCTTGTAAAACTCAGAGGTTCGGTACTTACAGGCGGACCTGAAACAGAGAAGAAGAAGAAGAAGGAGAAAAACAATTAACTTCATTAATACAATAAATCCTAAGGAGAATGGCTGGATAAACACAGCGTTATCATTTGGGGGGAACTGATCCTGATGCTGCTTCCATTTCCTGACACGCTTTTACCACCTCTCTGCTCTTTAATTAAGGCATCCCCACAATTAGCAGCATCACTTGCCAGTCACCATGAGTGCAGGGCAGCCCCAGAACACCCCGTGTTGGGATGGCTGTGCCAGTCAGGCTCCCAGCACTGTCACCTTCACTGGTGGTCCCCTGGCACACCGAGGGCTCCCTGAGCAGTGACACCACTGAGCACAGGGTCCTCGTTACCTGTGTGACTCCCCCTCGCATCCCACCCTCCACTCAGGGTCAAGAAAGCTAAATGTGGGGAGGTGGGAGCCCCTGTGCTGCAAAGATGCATCTGCCATCAGTGGTCCTGCAAAGGCGTGGAAAGGTTCATGAGGAAAGTGCAGCAATTAAACATGTGGGGTGCTTTTCTCCTCCAGTACATCCTCGTTTTCCTTCTTGCTTCTGCCTCTGTTCCCGTAGAAGCCAACCTGCCCTCTTGGAAGAGATCCCCTAAAAACCTCGCCTCACCTCACCGAAGCACCACATCTCCCCTGTACAGAACCGTTGCACGATCCATACCCAGGCTCAAACAACACACTTCTTTCATTGGATCCCAGAAATTTCCTCAAAATCCTGACAGATATTGTGTGTGGAAAGAAACCCCTGAACTCACCATTTTGTGGTTTTCCTCTCTGTGAGAGAAGCGAGACACACAATACAACTGTCAGGGGTTTCTACATTTTCCATACTTTCTAGACACTCTCTTCCCTTTTTTTTTTTTCTCCTCCACGTAAAGTGCCAAGAAGTAAGACTAAGCAGTCTAACAGGCGAGCTGACAGATACCAGGCAGCAACCTCTCCTCTGCGCAGGGGGCGGATGTCACGGCAAGCACCTGCAGAGTACGTCGTCATCCTGAAAACGCCCCTGGCTGAATGTCCATGACAGGAACAGGAGACTTCAGATGAACAAACGTTCTCTGTGCTGGAAACATCCCACTTAGCGTGACACCGGCAAACGGTTTGGCTATCAAGCTCTGGTGACCTAAAACTGCACTGTCAAATGCTGTTCTTAGCCTTGTGCTCAGCTTTCTTCTTGGCTGATTGAAAAAGGGTATCTTTCGGTTAAAACAGAATAAAAAGTTTAGCACCTTGCTGGTAACCAACTGAGCTGAGCCAGAAGGCTCAAGAACCCCAAACAAACAACTCTACCCAAATTTAGGATTGGAGCTCAGTGGGGCTGCCACCAGCACCAGCACTGCCCTAGCAGTGCGCCAAGTCTAAACAACAAAAGGATTTCTGATCAGAGAGTTAGTTTTGGAGGGCAAGGTCAGCCTCAGATTCAGGAATCCCAACTTATGCCAGACTGGGAGGAAAAAAACAACAGAGTTTTCTGACTCTGGCTTGGCTGACAATGAAGTTCTGTGAGAGAACTCTTTTGGAGAGATTCTGTTTCGGAGCGAGCACCCTGTCACAAGGTCACTGCTTGCAGCCTGCCAACACGCGGACTTTATTTCCATTAGCAACACGACAGACCCTTAATAACCCGCCTACCTGTCTGCGAGGCTCTGGGGCACTCGTGGGCTGCACGAACCGAACTGCTAAGCTAACACCGCAAGAAAAAATTAACGGCAAGCAAATCCTCAGCTCTCCCTGCCCTTCCACACCGAGAGTGGCCAGCCAGCAGCACAGCCAGCAGCGGTATTGCAGCACCGCAGAGAGAAAACACTGCAGCTTGTGTTTGCTCCAGAAGCTGTGTCTGCAGAGCTGAGTAAATCAGCAGGTGCCGGCAGCCCCGGGCCCATCAGGCTGCGCACCCCACGCAGATCAAAGGCTGGAGGCGTACTGGAGGCCCATCTTTGTTACGTGCCCTCTATAAAATTAATGGTGGCGCGAAGGGGGGCTGCACAGCCTTGTGTAAACACGCACCAGTGGGCGGCAGGGACACGGTCTTGGCTGCAATAACTCCAGGGGTAGAGACCGTCCAGGGACTGGGCTTCAAGTGTCAGGAGCATCGGTGGGACCCAGGAGAAAGCAAAGCCCTCGGGCACAGCCACTTCTGAAGGCACCGTCGCCTCGCAAGGGCCCAGGGAGGAGGAGGGCAGATGGCCCAAGGACAGTGGGGAGGGAGGAGGTGCCGCTGGACGAACTGTCACGAAGCACCGGGGATTTTACCAAGTGAAATAATGCTTCAGCAAAGGGGATTTGTCATGTTCCGTCACGGTGATTAACGAGAAGGCTGAGCAGAGCTTCAAGAGAGCCTCAGCCTTTAATACAACAACGAGTAATTTAACGCACATTAGAGGGAAGAGCAGGCAAGGGAGGGAGGGGACCCCCATGCCTCTGCTCCTGCCACCAGCAGCCGGGCTGAGCCAGCCTCTCCTGGGCAGCACTGGGCTGGCCCCTGGTCAGGGCTCAGGCAGAGCCGCCCTGTTCTGCGCCAGGGACAGTGGTGACCTCATAAACTGAGCAAGCAGACCTGCAAGTTGAAGCAGGAGCCTTTTAGCAGCTGGGCGAAGCCCAGCAGAGCTCCCCAGGTTGGCTGTGCTGCTCCTAGCAGGCTACCAGGCTGCACGGAGCCCTTGGAGAAAGCCAGGGGAACAGCGGCAGTCACCGCAACGCCGCTGCGGGTTCTCCCACGCACCCCCAGGTCCTCCAGTCCCTGCCAGTTTGGAGGAGCAGCACATAGCGTGGCCTGACTGCCCCCAAACAGGACAGGGCTCAGCGGTGGTGGACAACCAAGGACTCCCCAGACAACCAGAACCAACAGCCTGTACAGCCACGAGTGCAGACCGCAGCTGCGGGGGCTCCTCCTCTGCCCTGCCTCTAGCAGGCTCTTTTGGGGTGAGCCCAAAGCAGCGCCGTGTGGGAGATCAGCTCCATCCCCTGTGCACAAACAGCCAGCAGAGAAAGGCAGAAAGCTGGTGGCCTCCTGCCCACGACGGGTGGCTCAGGAAGCGTCTCTCGATGCCGGCACTCTCGCTGAAAGGCACTGCAGGGCTGCGAGCGCTGGCGATCGCTGTTTATCCAGCTGCGGCGCTCGGCGAGCAGCGGGGGACGGAGGGAGGGGAGGGAGCAAACGTGTGGAGAGTGGACGAGTGGGAGGAAGCAGCAGCCTCCTGCAAAGAGGAGAGCTCCAGAGCACCTTTGAAAAGGAGCGTTAAGAAAACAAAGGGTTCTTGCGGGGGTACCCGGGGTCCCTCCAAACATGTGGCCTCTGGAAATGAGCACCATCTGCACTGTCCCTCCTCTGCGGCGCTGCTTTTTGTGCAGATAGAAACTCTCTTTAAAGAAGCTCTGCTTTCCTGGAGACCGGGTGGGTAAAAGGAGCAGCCGTGGTCTGCAGGGAGGACGAGCCCACCTCATTGCACCTTCTGAGGGGGCACACTTGCAAAGAACGGGATGGCTGTGCCACAGAGCCCTCTGCTCCCTCGCCCTCCTCTGTGGCCAGCTCAAACAGCCACTATCAAAACCAGAACTGCAGTGACCCCTTTTCCCTCAGCCACACAAAGAGCTAAAAAGCCACCCTCAGAGCTGTGGCCTCTTCGGGCCCAGAAGAGGGGATGCTTAGTTTTGTAAGAGGGTCATATTTATCCTAATCTGGAAAGTCCCACGTCCCGGCATATCGCAGCTTAAAAGCCGGACAGTACGAGAGCGGGTCAGCATGGTGTGAGACCTTCTGCTGATGGCAGAGATATCCCCCGGCAACGATCTCGGAACTGATAGGATCATTGAAACCGTCCCAGCCATTTAAGGGCATTTCCCAACATCTGGGAAAGTGGCTGTTTAAAACACTCTTAAATGCTGCTGCTTAATTTTTTTTCCCCCCTGACTTCTTGGAGCCAGGCACACCAGCGTCCACAGCGTGGGTGCCTGCTCCAAAAACCCACATCCAAACCATTTTTTGTTCCTGCTCCAAGGCACAAACGACACCGGGAGGGTAGGGAGGGGACATGAAGACATTGCCATCGCTTCCTCAGATCTCATCTCACTCCACACGGCAGCAGGAGGGGAGATGTAAACATGTAATCCATCCCTGTGAGGAAATCCAGCCACTTCCCAGAGCCAGAAGGCAGCCTTAGCGCGTTAGAGAGATACAGTTACTTCCTGACATTCGGGACTGTTAATTGATAACGAGATAGCTGTGGGCCAGGCAATTAGTTATGAAAGGCTGATTGAAATGTCAGCAGCCCGCGCACAACCTGGCCCCGGGGCGGCAGAGGGAGCCCCTCGTTTGCAGCGTGGTGCTCCCCATTTTCAAAGCAGGCAGACCCCAGCGGGGTGCGTGGAGCCCAGCTGGGGGTTTGCCTTTTTCAAAGACTGACCACGCTGCAGTTTTGAAGCCCAGGGTTCCTCACAGTCTCCTGGAAACATCTCCCCTACCTCCATCAGGGGCCAAATGATTTGAGAGGAGGTAGAGGGAGCATTAACTCAGAGAGCTGCAAATGAGGAGGCAAAAATGCCACGCACCTGCCAGGTAACAATGGGAAACACTTGCCATAATTCAACAGTCTTAGAACTAAGTTAAAGACAACTGAAACCTTCAAAATAATAAGGAAAAAATAATTAACAGCGGTGATTTCCCACAGCACAGCCTCCAGAAGTGTTGCTTCAGGCGGTGTCAGCCACCTGGGAGTACAGCTCCCTCCAGAGAGCACCAACCCCTCCGAAAGCCAGGCGCCCCGTCCCCAAACCAGCCCCCTCCCCGCTACGGCCACGCGGCACGGCAGGAGGTTCTTCAAAGGCTCGCAGCAATGCCGGGCAGCAAAGAGGCTCGCGGGATTTCACGGCCAAAAAATGCCACCAACGCTAAGCCGCGGCACCAGCTTACGCCAGTCACTCGAGCTGGCCTCCGAAATCAAGCCCATGACATCACCGAGCCTCGGCAGTCGATATCAGCAGCTGCTGGGGACA